TCCTCTCTCTCTCTCTCTCTCTCTCCCGCTCTTCAAGCAAACAAACATCTCTCAACTCCGTGTCGACACGCCAGAAGCACTCATGTCTTGAGAAGCCGACAAAGACGATCCACGGCCATACGTTCATTACAGTCCAGTACTCTGCCAACACACGCTCTCTGCTCTGTCCATTTTAATGCATAGTCACACCGGTTTCCAAACAATTGTCCCTTTTTCCCTGCACCAACCCGTCTCCAACGCGCCGCACCTCTGCCCCTGACCAAAATACCCCCCTTCAACGCGCGAAGGACATTCGATTCGAATATTGCAGCAAACCCGCGTGCAGGTCACCACGTAGGCATTCGAAGTGTAACAATTGGGAAGTACTGTACGGAGGAACTCGCAAGAAAAGGTTCTTGCAGATACCAGTCAATGCACCCACGATATTCCAGGGATACCGAAACGACCCCGACACATTCACTTTCAGATCTGAAGCAGCACTTCCTGGACTCCCCACGCCGTTAACAGCAGTCGTTATCGTCATTGATACCGACCTGCGGAGGCTATCTTCCAAACGAATCACTTGCCATTGCCGCCCCGTTTGCCAGGACTCGGCTCCGATATCCTACACAGCCGGTGTGTTATTCCTCTCCAACCTTCCCTTCCGGGTGCTTTATTGTGTCTTCAGTGCTGATTCTTGTACTACGAATCAGAACCTTTCGTTTTTCCTCGGAGCTTCGAAGCTGCTACTGTACGGCGGATCGATCTCCTTGATTCGCAATCTAATCTAACCCGCTTTCGAGCCGTTGACCTTAATTTAATACAAGCTGGCGGTGCTCAAACTAAGCTTGTAAGCGTACTCGCCTGCACCTGTCACTACCTAAGAGTTACCTGGGAACTGCAATCCTCCTGAGCTTTGCCGACTCCCAAGGGTCGAGACAACATAGTCAAAATGAACCGTTTCCGAAACAAAAAGAAGGCGAAGGAGACTTCCGAGTCATTGGTACGAGCTTCGACGGAGTCTGAAGTACCTTCAATACAACCTGTGAAGAAGTCAAAGACATTCGGAAGGGGAAAGAAGAACCCAGAGCCCGAGCCAAAGCCGGAACTCGACCTCGCAAATGCTTTACCACCATCGGACGACTTCCGAACAAGTTTATTGATGAATGGCCTGTCAGCAAGATTCTCAATGCTGCGAGAACAAGATGATCCAAAGTCAAAGATAGGCAAAGCCAGCGACGACAGTGTATTATTTCCAAAGCGACAATCAAGATTTAATGACCTTGCCTTCCAATCCCATGGCCTCTCTGATATTGCAGAAGTAGCATCCATCAATGGATCCATCAGACCCCCTTTTGCCATCACTAGAAAGGAGTCGTACGACACGACTGGAAGTTTTGGCACAGATGATGACTCGACGCATGGAAGTATAATGAACCGGTCAAAGCCAGGAGAAGGCAATAATCTTTTTGGAGGACGTCAAAAAATCTACAAAATTCCGGTCACTGCATCTGGATCTACAAAAAGCTTAGCCGAAGCAGGAGGGTCTGGAATGGGAGGTCGAGCTTTATACGGGGACGATGTTAGCCAGTCAGCCTTTCAGAAGCTACGAGAGCGTGAACGAGAACAAGAACGAGAACGAGAACGACTAGCATTATTGGAACAAGAAGAGAGCGAGGCTCAGTCTTCACGACCCCCTTCACCTCCTTTGTCCGGATACAATCGAGATAGGGAAACATCATCAACAACATCCTCGGGCGGGCCTTCCAATACTCGGACCTCAACAGCTGCTACTTCTTTCACCTCACAACGAACGCCTTCACTCAATGGATCCCATACTCCCATTACACCTGGAGGCTCGGTCTCAAATGGAGGTCTTGAGAGAACCACCACCAAAGCTCGCCGCTTGTATGAAACTGGCCTTGATCAGCACCTCCACGAACAGCAATTCTCAGCTATGAACAGGATCGACACTTTGACTAGACAACGGACTCTTGGTGGCCAAACACCCCCGCTCGTAAATTCGCCCACGAATATACCCAATCAGGGCGAGAAGTGGGGGGAAAGAAGGCCAATCGCGGGACAAGCAAGCATGCCAAACCTACGAGCCGCTAGCCCCCCACCGAATGTCAATCCCTTGAACACTTTTGACTTTGCCATAAGATCAAACAATGCCCCAGAAACGAAATCGTACGGAATGGTATCTCCACCATTGAGCCCACCAATGAGCGAACATGACGACCCTGCCATTATGCCTGTCCAGCCAAACGATAGGGGGAAGGCTACCGCTCTGGGTGCTTTTGCAAAACCAGTGCAGCCATATGATGAGAACAAATATTCCCAAAGGCAACTTCAGATGCAGCAAGGACGAAAATCACCACCGATAAGGAAGAACTCTCCTCCCCGCGCGTTTCCTGCTCCTCATCAGCAGCCAATGGGTCGCACTCGAGCTGAATCCAACGCTACCTTTGCTTCTGGCAGGTCAAGATCCAACTCATCCGCACAACGACAATTCCTTCCGTCGGACCGTATACCGGAAGCTCAGTCACCTCCATCCCAACCTAAAATCAACATTTCTCAAAATCGTGCTATTGCTAAAGGGGCATTCTTGAGCTCCCCAGATGAAAGTATTATGTCTTCCCCGGCGGAACACATCCCAAAACCTCATCCTCGGGCTAACCCGCAGCCGTTGGACTTATCGAGGATGAACTTCCAGGATCGCAACGTTAATCTGCAACGCCCGCCGGAATCACAACATCCTGCTAATAGACAGCGGCCAATTGCCGAAAACCCGAGCCGTGTAATGAACGAATCAAATAATATTCCAGCTTATCCCCAGGTGACTCCTTCCGAATCCGAAATTCCTCCGGCTGAGGATTCTCCTACTTTGGGCCCTACACCTACAATGACAGGCCTTAGTGGTATGGTCCGTCAGCATCTGAGATCAGACAGTAATAACTCTTCAATATACGGCGTCTCTCCATCCGCGGGATTGACATCCCGTTTCCCTGTGGACTCTTCCGAGCGCATGGCCGATGTTGAATACAACCGCAGGAGTAATCCTTGGGATAATGAGGACTGGGACAAAGCTTATCACGAATCCTATGAACCGTCTGATGCGCAGGCAATAAATGGTGCAGCTTCCGCATCTTTATCATTCCCTTCTACGAGTGCCAGCACTGAACAAGCTGAGAGACCTTCCTGGGAACGGGAATTGGATGCTCATCATACCAGAGATGGAAGTACGGAGACTCAGAAAGAGCGTCAGCATTTCAAGAACGACCTCGCAGAACGGCGAAAACGAGTTCAGGAGAACTTGAAGAGTTTTGTGGAGACCGAAAGCAGATCTGCAAGCCCTTTGCCAGGATCTGAATGGTCGAAAGACGAGAATGCGAGAAATGCAGCGAGGAGTAATCCACTAGGCCTTCTCAAGTCAAAGTCGCGTCGAGGATCCCTGGTTGGGAGACCAAAGGAGCCAAGCCCAGCCTCTCAGGCAAAAGCAATGAAAATGATGGGCCTCGGAACCACAACCATAAGCAGCTCACCATCTCCGGCCAAGCAGAGCTTTGAGGCAAACTATCGAAATCAAGAGAATGGAGATCAGGCTTCTCATGTGCCTAATTTGGTCCAGAATCCTGGAGGCCCTGTCCATCCCCCACAGACAAAAGCCTTTCGGCAGGCGCGAAGAGATGCTCAACGTGACAGAGAACGACAGGTTACGACCAGACACCAACCAAAACTGGCCCGTGAAGCAGACCGGTCTGAATGGCCAAGTTCTCCAGCTGAGTTTCATCCGAGACCGAACGAGCAGAGACCCAATGAGCAGAGGAGAGAAAATGTACCCCCAAATATCAGAACTCGCCAACGCTCTCCGAGCCGAGATAGGAAGCCTCCACCAGTTACGGTTTCGCACCGAAATGGCAGTCAAGAGAGTAAAGGTAGTCTTGGAAGCAATCGATCTGGGTCTGGACCTCCTTCTCGTGCGTCACGAGATAGATCAAGCTCAGATGCTTCTGGGCGATCCAAGAGCCGTAATGGTAGGTACAAGGATGATTTGGCAAAGGCTATGGCCGAAGGGATCTCTAGTTCGAGCCAAGGCATGTACGATGAGCTTGAGCCCCCTCCTTCTGCTCGATTCCCTCAGAAGTCGCCTGCTACTCCTGGCTCGCAATACCAACCATCTCCCGTTCCGTCTCCAATGATAATGGGGCCGAATGGAAGATCTCGAAGCAACAGCAGAGCTACTACTGGCTATTTTGAGTCTCAGACACTGCAACCAATTCAGACAAACGTCGCGATGGCGATTGGTACTTCTCCTCGACCGTCCCCTACAGCACCATTCTCGATCAATTCGACTCCAGCGCAGCCTTCCCCCGCAGTATCTACCGCTACTACTCCCACAACGCAAGGGTTTCAACCCCTGGGGCACCGTAAGAAATCGGTCAACAAATCGGACATATCTGAACCTAGATTCGTCTCATCTACGTCGAGAGTTACTACTATCAACCTTCCTCCCGAGGCATCCCTCCAGAATGGAATGGAAGCTGCTCCGCCGATTCCCCCCGTGAACCCTATGCGACGCCAGACTCGTCGGATGTTCGGACTCAAGAAAGACTCCGATGGCGAAGTACAGCTGATGCCAGCCGCCACTCAGTCCACAGAAGAAATGAGCACTTTCTCTGCCGATGAAGGGGATTCCAAGCCCAAGTCCCGAAAGCTCCGAAAGAGCTCCAGCGAAGGCGGAAACCTCAACGCCAGAGCTCGACAAGCAGTCAATGCCCAACCGAGTCCAGCCATGCCTTCTGCTACGTTCTCAGTCAGCAGAGGAGACAGTCCACCGCGTCCCGTTGATGGGGGCATGTTTTAATTTCCCTGCGTTCTTTTCGATTTCCAGCAACATGACACCTCGATACACCCTTGTCATCTACTTGCAATTCTTTTTTCGACCGTGTTCATTGATGCCCCAGCTAATGTTTTAAACGATGAAATCAGGTGGTCTTTCTTTTGTACATTTGCCTCGCGGCGCTTAAAAAAGATGGGGGCATTCAGGCGTTTTCTATGGAAAGGATGGTCAGTTATTGCCAGAAGTATGAGATTGTATTGGTGTATCATATTTGAGCGGTGGCTCAGCAGGCCTGGGTTTATTCGCTAGGAGGAGGCTTCTATCAGTCAGTCATTGATTGGTAGTAATCAAGTTGATTGGGTTGGGTTGTATGGATGTTGTTTGTATACTGATTAGGGGATCTTGCTCGCTCTGGGGATGGATGAATGGGGTGGAGCTTTAAAGTAGTAGTGAAGGAAATAACAACAAAATTTACACAAACCCGGAGTGCTCAGAGCGCATGTCATGGACAAATGAATGCGGTGAAGGTGCGAACTATTGTATTTGCGATCTCGAACCTTGGTTGGGAAGCGACAAGTAAGGAATAACAACCCACGCGGTCGGTCTAATTGCGCTCTAGTCTAGTCTCCACCAAACAAACACCGAATGACCAGCACTTGCTGTGATGGGTATCTACGCTACGCAAAGCAATTCACACAATATCGCAATAAACAAATGAATCTCAAAGATCAACCACAACCACAATCAAAAGCGCCATGCCCGCACTACACGAGGTCGATCGAGAAGAACGCGACGTAATTTCTGGACATGGGGAGGAGAGAACAGTTGTGGAGAAGGACACGACGGAAGAGCAGATGGGGAAGACGGGGAAAGAGAAGGAAAAGAAGGGGTTTGGGAGGAAAGTAGGTGGTGGTGGTGGTGGCGGCGGGAGTAGAGTGAAGTCCAGATCGAGGTTCAAGTTGAAGTTGAAGTGTAAAAACGGGGTTAGGTTTGAGTGGCGCGGCGATAGAGGCAGAGGTGGAAGAAGAGGTCGTGGAGGAGGTAGGGGTGGTAGTCGTCGTGGTAGTAGGGGGGAAGAGGTGGTTAGGAGAGAGAGCGTGGTTGATGGGTTGGTGGAGGGATTTGAGGGCATGGGTATTGAGGGGAAGGGGAGCGAAGGGGGAAGGGAGGACGAGAGGGAGAAGGATGGCGAGATGGCGAAAAGGGGTTTGTGGCGGGAAGATGATTGTGAGATGGAAGGGGTGGGGGCGGAGAGTGTTTGTTGAGTAGGTAGGTAGATGATGAGATTCGGTGGGGTGGACAGATGAGCGTTCTTTACCTAGGTACCTAGATTCCGACGTTTACGGACATGGCATAGTAGGGGCGGTTATATACTCGGGAGGAATGAACACGCTATTCTATGTTTGGGAGCAGTGATACAGTATCAGAGTTGTAAGATTACTTTTCTGCGTTGGTGCTATGTAGAGCTGAGTATAGGAGCTCTACTGACATGTAGGTAGTTATTGTAGATGTTTAGCCGTGCTGTACTCCCTGAAGTCGTCCAGAGCTTGCGATTGTACCAATGGTTCTCGATCCTAGGTCGTGTTGGTTGGTGGCAGGAGCGTGGCCTCGAACTTCTCGTATGATTTCAACTCGTACAGCTTGTCTGTCGTACCACATCCTTTCTGATCCTCTGGAATTATTTGTAGAGCCTCGAGATACCTCGGAAGTTTTCTTTTTGCGTTCTCGGCCTGGAAATTGCAGAGCCTCATGCCATACCTATTTGGTGTTGAGAAAGTAAGGTCAGAAGATACCTTAGGCAAGGTAGGTAGGTACCTATCTTATGTATCATTTTCTATACGAAAGAATACCCAGTCTGTAGGAGTGATAAAGATAATATAAGGTTGCATAAATCAGCCCCTCTTTCCCCGGACTGCATCTGCCAAGCAAAGCAAGTGTTTCATACCTCCGATGCACGACATGGGTTGATGGCCAAACGGACGCTTCCTATTGGGTCGAGAGCTGTGCGAGTCGATGTGGCGTGAAGGGTTCTGCATCCTCAGGGGAAAGTACGAACTCCGTACCTAAGCCGTATGGCTGAATACGGAGAATACGGAGTTATCTCGAAAGCTTGTCCCTGATATATCTAGTCGATTGGCCGCCTGAACGATAGACACACAGGCAATAATACAATGATAGGTTTATAAACTTGGTGATGAACTTTCAAGGTATATAGTACAGGGTTTGTATTATGGATGATCACCCACTTCGCATGCATCCTTTGGTTCTAACCGCCGAGTACGTTCTTTTTCTGGCATATAAACAGTTTCTTAGCAGTTTAATTATCAAATAAAGCATACAATAGACTTATACAACCTATCAATACCTTGTCTTGCACTTACCTAGGTAGTGCAGTCATGATGTATCTTATTTTAGAGTAGACGCGATGCGCCCTGCTATAGGGCCCGTCATGTCCTTTTGTAATGCATCGGACCTACCTCGTCTCGTCAGCTCGTATCGTACGGAGGAGGCACGGAGTATACCACGTAAGAACCTTAAAAGACGAGCCGCCAGGAATCACTTGGTGGGACGACGTTCTGCCTCAGGATCAACTTGCTGTCATACCTACCTAGCCTAGGTACACAAATGACCAAACCTCCTAATCCTCGCAGCCTCGCTATGCCTATGAGTCTGTGTACGGACGGCTGATCAACGATGGATTGCTAACACAGCCTTTTCCATTACTAAAGGTACTCGGGAGTGTAATAATATACGACCAACTACCTTACCACAAGGTTGAATTCGGGCCGCTTCTTCGTTCTCTTAGCGTAGGATTGGTGTGGATACGGAAAAGGATGGTACTGGATACCCAACTTACGAAGTAAAATGCACTTTTGATCCTTCAGAACCCCGTGTTACCATGCTGGCATCACATCAGACTAACATCAATCTTTTGATATATCGAGCCTTCCCAATTTTCCCATTTCAACAGCATAGCATATGCAAAGCAGCATATTAATTATATCACCCACATTCTTTATTGCAGAATAATCCTTCTTTTATACTAGCTATGCGTACCTCCATCTTATTGCCGCTGTTTTCAGTGGCAGCCTCGTTTTTTAATGTCATAGATGCAAGAGCAGTCTTTGCTCATTATTTGGTACGTGAATAATTCCTCCTTTTCTGATACAGAAAAGGCTAATATAATTGTCCTGCAGGTTGGAACTATCACCGACGCGCATGCTCTACAAGACATCAACGATGCCATCGCAATGGGGTAATTCTTCTCAGCCTAGATACCAAACCAAGATGTATTTGCTAACTGGATGCTCTACAGCCTCGATGCATTCGCTTTGAATGTCGCAGACCCAAGTGCATCATATGTAGCCCCGGCTCTCACTTCTTTGTTTAGCCATGCAAAAGATCGAGGCTTCAAACTCTTCCTAAGCATGGACTTGTCTGCAAAGGGAGGTGGCTCGCTGTCAGATTACGACTACATCTTTACCGACTACGCCACTGCTGGTGCTTGGTTTGCAGGTCCTAATGGAAAGCCACTGGTCAGCAGTACGTATCACGTTGTGGATTCGAAGGGGTTAAGCAAGCTGATTTTCCTCGTCACTTAGCATTCAGCGCCGCCGCCTTCACAGCCCCTGATTTCACCACCTGGAGAGCAAGCCAGGACATTTATTTCATGCCCGATTTCGACGGTACCTCTGGCTACTATGACGCTGCCGACTCATGGTGGAGTTACTGGGGGAGTGTTGTCGATGGACTCTTCAGCTGGGAATCAACTTGGCCAAATGTTGGAGCTACGAATGATGGAGACCTGACTCTTGATACCACGGTTCAGGCCGGCGCTGTGGCACACGGAAAGACATATATGATCGGTAAGCAATAATCTTCCCCTCAGTTTCAATGCCTCTACGCTACTTGGCTGGCTCTAAGTATATCATGGGAGAGCGAGTTTCTCGCTGTCTTGAACGGGTCTGACAATATCATGCAGGTCTGAGTTTGCTCCAATACAAGGATGCGGTAAGCAACTAGAAGCACCTGAGTTCTGGCGGCTACTAAATGATAACAGTACAGTACGAACCTTTACCGTCGTGGCGAACTAAATATTGCGAAACGAATGGAAAACATTCTTAAAATGACCACGGCGCCACTTTATGTTGAGATACAGACATGGGTAAGAAAATCCCATTCCACGCTCAGGCCTATTCACTGACAAAGCAAATAGAATGACGGACCAGGTAAGCTCTCTACCAGATCTGCTCTGGGATCAATTCAGTTCTCTGGAAACAACACATCAAAACCTGCCCCTTACAAAATTTCCATTAATCCACAATACTAACAATCTTACTCAGAGGGTCACTACATCGGCAACCTCTGGACAGAAGCAAACGGCGATGCTCAGCCCGCAACCTATGCCACGCAACGCGGCGCATCTCACACCGGCATCCAACCCCTCCTCACACAATTCATCTCTGCCTTCAAGAACTCAGAAACCAGCTTCCCAGCATCCACAAACCCAGTCGGTGCCATCTGGTACAAGACAATCCTGCAGAGCACCACGTGCCCAGACAACAGCCTCGGCGGCTTCTACAGCGCTCCCAGCGGCGCATCCGTCGGCACCGACACGATAAACTGGGCCGTCGTGCTGCCCACCAACGGTGCCACCTACTCGATCCAATTCGTCAGCAACGGCGCCGTCGCCGCGACCGTTGCTGGGAAAGCCGGCTTCCAATACGGGTCTGTGGCGCTGTCGGCCAACCAGCAGTTTATGAAAGTCGTGGATTCGGCGGGGACGGTGCAGTACTCGACGGGGCTGGGTAGATGTGTGTCGGCGACGTGCTGGGATGATATCTATAATTATAATCCGCAGATCTTGGCGTTGGAGCAGGGCGATCATGCGAGTGTGGGCTGCTGGCAGATGACGCAGCAGGCGAGCGCGGCGAATGGGGCGACGAATGGTCCGTTCTATCCTTCTGGTATTTAAGGAGGTGGAAGGGGAAATGTGCAGATGGAATGGCTGTAAAGGTAGGAGTTATGTAAAATATAATAAACAAAATTTCTTGACCTAAATCAAAAGCCAGTGAGCCAATCCGGTTTTACGCTACTGTACAACCTTCCACGACCTCCTTTCCGAGCAAATCGTCAGTTTCAACATCTTTGAAGGTATCCTAAGAACCAAAAGCAATTTCCGAAGTCCGACTTTATGGGTACCTAGGTATGTATAGATCTTTGGGATGTTTAGATTTTTTTGGGTTGCGATTGCAGTTGCAACTTGCAGGTGCTTGGGAAGTGTATAGATACGAATGTTTTGGTTTCAATGAAAACCCAAGTTAGGCTCAGAACCAGGCCAAATCCGAAGGTGTAAGTTCTTGATATACTTCCAACCATTCAATCGATGTTTTTTGAGCTGATTGAATGTTCCGCAAGATACCAAGGCAAAGAAGGAGAAGAAAGAGAAGGCGAAGGCTGAGGAGGCTCACTCGGACCAGGTTAAGACCGGCAAGATCCTTTCGAGCTTGAAGATTGGCACTCCGTTACTGACTAACAAGGACAAGAAGGCTATTGAGAAGAAGCTGAAGCAAACGGAGAATGAGAAACTTGGTGCAGAGTTGAGAGAGGGCGTTGGTGGCCTGAAGGTTTACCAGTAGATAGTACAGGTAGATTACTGTCGACCGACAAGGAGAGACAAGGCTGTTGATGAGAACGAGTAGCAAAAGGAGAATGATAAGCTGAGTGTACCTATGCTTAGAAGAGGACCTTGCAGACGAATAGAGAACCCACCATTGCCAATCGACACCAGAAGTCCCATTGTGCACAATTGAGGATATCAAACCTGCAATTGATTTTTGAAAATAATCTTGTGCAAAGTAATAAAGGAGTCACTTTTACCTTTTGTCCGCTTCGCTTAATCGCTCCTACTACTTGCCGCCTCCTTTTTAAGATTTTGGCTAAAATTAATATAATTAATTTATTACCCATACTAGAGAGACTAGTAGAAACAGCTTATCTAACCGAAAAGAAGAAGAAAAATAAAAGTCAAAGCGTTAAAGACCAAAAGTGAACCGCTAATCAAGATGGCAAAAGGTCGAATATGCTCGGTGGCTCCGCCTTTAAGGTAGCAGAAGATGAAATAATATACCGGCAGCACGCGACAGGCTATCACACCTGACCGTACCGTCCATACCCGAAACACCCTCCCGAAACCCGTTGAGTGGGTAATTGCTTATTTCGTTATATATATAGCAAAACAAACGGCCGAGGTTGTTCCACAACCGCTTTAAGGCCTTGGCACCTTTGCGGTATACAAAGCGTGGAGGGGATGCAGTAAACATTGTCCAACACTGCGTGCGCACCTAGAGCTTATATGTTATGTTTGATAAATGCTGTGTTATTAGTACATATTGATCTTATTTATTCATAAGTCGTTTCATAGGACTTGTTGCCGTTTTCCCTGGTTTGATCACATGTCTTGGGAGAATGGATCACGCTGTGTGTGTGTATCACATTCTAGTTGAGCATGGAATGACTTGATCTTCCTTTAATACATTCATGATTTCTAAACGATGCCTACGGGTATCTCCAGAATTATATGCAAGAAAGATGGCAAGTACAAACATTTATCCCATAACACCTGACTTATCTTCAATTCAAGCTTTTATCTCGATTTGGAAAACCTCAAAACTCATCTTCTTTCCTATACCTCTTATCATCCCTCAATAGCTTCGCCATAACATCCGACGTGTTTTGAGAACAGAGTCCGAGTGCCGTATATCCGTATTGATTCCTAGCATGGACATCCACATTCTCCTCGCCGAGCAACAACTTGACAACTTCGACCTGATCAGACTCCGCCGCATAATGCAAAGGGGTTTTCTCTCCCAGATCTCTCGCATTAACATCGACTCTCGACTTACGATCTTTCTTGCCGGCCCGCCTGCCAGACTTCCTCGGGTATCCGAGTAGAAACCGCACCAGCTCCAGATACCCACCGAGAGCTGCATGGTGAAGCGCGGTCCTGCCTCCTCGATCTGGAACGTCGAGATTACGTTCATTCGATATCGGAAGATCCAGGACTTCGTTATACCCGTTACGAGCAGCGAGCACGAGACCCATAATCCCCTCGTGGTTACGAGTCGTCTGCGCGGACCCATCCTCAGATATCTCTTGCAGGATATCCGTAAACCCATAGAAACAGGCAATCAACGAAACATTGGGCCGTAAAGGCTGCGGGCCCTCGGAACGAGCGATCGTCTCTTGCCAGCGTTCATATATAGGCTCCGCATCCAAGATGGCTTGGTCGTGTGCTGTGGCTGGCACGAAGATCATCGGAGCTGGGTCGATCATCGGGACACTTGTGAGTTTTGCTTCATTCAGCAAAGCTATTTCCCAGAGTTTGTACTCTGGGCTTGAGCCGTTGTCGTCCATGAAATCCCAGAACAGCTCGTTTAGTTGTCTTGATTCATCCATCCTTGGACCTTTGGCGGCCTGGCAGTGTGTTGCCCAGTATATCGATGCATATCGTTGGAAGCGTTTGAACGCTTGCTGGGGCTTCAGGGCTGGCGCAGAGTCCATTCGAATATACTTATCGGCTAGACTGAAATAATCGGTGTTGGTCGATATTACTTGCTTCAAAATCAGTGTTTCGGTAGGATTGTCTTCCATTTGTTCGAATCCCTCTGTACCCTCTTTTTCGCCGACATTATCCTGCTCCGGCTCTGGATTCTGGCTCCCATCTACCCATCCGTGAAGACGTTGGGTTTTTTGATGTGCAGTCTTAGCGGCTTTCATTTGCTCAACAATCTCCCTATTCTCTCTGTCTGCTCCACCTTGAACAGGGTCATATTCTTGATTATCTTCCTTAGGTTTCGTTATGGTGACAATTAAGTTGTTCCTTGGATCCGAAATTGACATCGCATCTACTTCTTCCACGTTCTGCTCATCTTGGCTGTCATAATTGAACTCCGATTCATCCTCATGCTCGTCATTAGAGGATATCTGGGACAGGTTCTTCCAGTACAGGATACAAGTCAAAGCGACCTCCGCGTGAGCCTCTTCAGGGGAGAATATCAGACACCCTGCCACATTCTTGACCTCCAAATACTCCCTTACAGATAGGTGGGCAAGTTGAACAAAGCCTTTAGAATCCACATTGAAGAAATTACTGCAAGTGTCAACGATCAAGCTTGTGGTAACTTTGTCCTCGCCATCAACAGCCACAGCAGCACCCAATTCCCATATTTTCAGTGGTCTCGCTGCACACAAAACCCATTTGAGGGACTTCTCGGCCAATCTTCTGCTATGACGGCCTTGGGATGTGTTTCTTTCGTATATTTCGTCATAAGTATCTCGGAGCGCGTCAATGACTTCTTTTCCCGAACCAAGTTCGAGTTGAAGTAAACGCTCCTCGAAATCTCGCCGGTACCTGATGCGTCGCTCGGAGCTGATTAGGAGATCGAGCTGTAGCTCGACCCATCGGAACCTACGAGAATATCAGTATCCTGAACATGGAACTTGATGGTAGTACTTACATTCCCTGCGCTCGCTGGGTCAGGATTTCCACCATACGTTCCGCGAGCTCATCTGTAATGACTTTCGCGTTTCGTCGATCCTTGCGCTGCAGCTCTTTTCTTATGTATTCTTTGATGTCTTTGGAAGTCTTGCCAAAATCACTCTGCACCGTGGTGATTTTTGGGAAAACTTCGAGGACATCCACGTGGAGACGACTCGTCAGGAAGACCTGCAGGTTGGGATACCTCCTCCAGATCCCATAGAGTGATCTTAGCAACTGCATCTCTTCCTCACACTCATCAAGACCGTCGATAACAATGGCTGTCCTTACATGCTCAGCCATCAAAGTTACAAGAAGATCCTCACACCTGCAAGTCGGGTCAATATTGCCTCGTGGGGAAGAACATGAAGTTTGGAGCTATGGTGTAATATCCCAGAGCTCCGAGACATTTAAAAAGACATTGAAGTTCTCGAGTGTATGCGAACCAGGAAAACAATGCTGGGAAAAGTTACATACTCTGTTAACGACAATCGACTACCCATGACATATCGCTTCGCATCCCTCTGATACCATTGGCGAATAACCGGATATACGTCTACGTCTTCGCCATCAACTTTGCAAGCCAGCTGCGCAACAAGACTTCGGAAGATTGCGGTCGTATCGTTTGATGATCCAGTTGAGCTCCGTGAACAGTAATAGAAGGCTATGCATCTATTATCACCAGCTTTAATCAGATCATTGATCACAATAGACGCCAGACTCGTCTTGCCCGTTCCAACTGAACCTTGGAGCCAAAATTGGCCACGGTTTGATTCCTTCCAGACTTTGAACCCGGGGTTCTCCAAGAACCACTGGCCGGCATCCCAGTAACGAGCGCCAAGTTTTGTTCTCACGCGCTCATGATCCTCCCCGACTTGGGCGTCCGAGATCCAAGATACAATCTGGGAAATTCCTTTTCGATTCGAATCCCATGCCTCTTGAAGCGTAGCAAGTGCTTTACCGATATCATGTATTTCCTTACATCTCTGCCGGAGCTCAACAAGACTATTGCCAATTCCATTAAGATTGGAACCTAACGTAGCCAGTCCGGCCATCGAGGTAAAAGCCACGCATTCAGCGTCGCTTTCTTTGACCTTTGATAGTAGCCCTGTCCAGTCAACTGATTGGACTATATTTGACACTGTCCTTGCCATGGTAGGCCTGTGAAAATGCAAAGCGGCTTCAACTTGAAAACGTAGAATGCTAGAATAGACTTTGATGATAGAAGCCTCAAATGCGTCGTTGCTCTCGGCTTTGGGATCCACCTGATGACTTTGGACATAGACATCTTCAATCGCAATATATTTTGCCACCAAAGATGAGATATCCTCGAGCCCATCTAAAGCCGCCTTGTGTTGAGTAGAATCGTTGAGAATGAGCTAAATAGTTCAGCTCCAATGTTTCGTCATACTTCTGGTGAGTGAACGCTTACTGTGAGAATAGCACAGACGCCTGCCCAAGGAATACCAGCATGAACCGGATCAATCTGTGCAATAGCCGTGCCCAGCTTCGAAAACGTCTGAATAAACTTGACAATGCGTTCCGTCTGCTCTCGAACAACAATAGACTTCTGATCCCACTGAATCGTCCATTGTCTGCGTTTCATGACATTGACTTGCCGCTGTACTGACGCTTGCATTTTCTTGGGGAAACTATCTCGGGTCTCTGGATTCGGAGCTGGGGAACTCTCCTCTAGGATCGCTTCGTATTTTGTTAGAAGGTCCTTGTGCTTTGTGTCCTGGGAGAGCTGTGTGTAGGCTTTCTCCCAGAGGTCGGCGCTCTGCATGCAGGCTTTGGGATCAAGCAAACGGGGTACAGGTGATGTATTATTCTCGTCCTCCTTGCGATAAGGCGAGTTACTATTTGCAGCACTGCGGGACGTATCAACAGGTGCAGCTAAAACTTGAGATGCGAGAGGTTTTGGGACTTTCATAGTCTCAACTGCTGGCATTGGTATACTGTTAGGAACATCTCCTGGCCGCTCCTTAGGATCAACCCCTGCTTTATCTTGATCACCTTGAAGCTTTGAATCATTTTCGGCAACTGGCACTTGGGACGATGGCTCGGTATGGCCTTTGCCGTCGCCCGAATCGGCTTGAAAAGGGGTAGCTTTTGGGCTAGTCTTGCGGGACGAACCGTCCTCAATTCCGCGGCCTTGGCTTTGGCCTTGTGCTTTATGCTGGTCATTTTGGAAATTTGTCTCAGCGACCTGAGATGAGCTTTCACGACCGAGCACTTTCGACAGCCATTTGGCTCTACGGCGAGGCTTCTGCTGTTCCATGGTTTCGGACTCAATGTTCAAAATGACAAAACTTCGCCAGACAAAGTTGGGGCAGGTGGGGTTGCTTAGTAATCGAACATATGTAGATCTAGGTACTTAGTGCTTGTGCTTCCACAATTCCCAAGAACTCGAAACCTTAGAAGATATAGTAAGGCAGATAGATATAGCCCAAAGTAAGAGGTTTAGCGTCGCAAGCAAGGTTTAGCGGCGCGATGTAGATGTTGCAATGTAGGTAGAAAATCTTGAACTTGCAAGAAATAAGAGCCAAATAAGCAGCAAAGCAAATGTATTCGTTATCATCATAGCAATGGTATCTCTTCAAACATCATGAAACAGGCATCAAAAGTCCCACAATAGCCCTTACAGCCCCTAATGGCCCTCGTCCCTTCACCATCCTATCGAAAGTTTCCGGTACCGTATTCAAGACCTTCCTGTCGTCTGCTTTTTGCCCTGTTTGTATCAATTGTCAGCCAAAAGACTTACCATCTACTTAAGATTCGCAGGAGGGGAAGTAAGCCACTTACAGTCCTTCGGAACCCTCGCGCCAGCAGAAATAGAATTCTCCGCCTCACCCGTCCAATCAAACCCAATCCTCCATTCGACCCTCAATTCTACCCCCTCGCCCACAATCTCCATGCTGGTGCGTCCCATATGAGGTAGTAATTGTCTGCGTGTCCATTTTTTCTTTTTAATTTCATCTTCTTCATCTTGCTCAGACTCTTCGCCACCTGCAATTGCAGAACCTTGCCTTTTGCGCTTCTTGCTTCTAGCACTCCTCTGTAGAGCCTTTTCTCTACCTTCAGGAGCAGTGAAGTCGATCTCTACAGCACACCAGAATGCAGCTCGTTTTATGGCTAATTCCACCCAGCGGCCCATTGCCCAGCATATCACATTGATGTCCTTTCCAAGTGATCCATCTCCAGCTGCTCGTTCTCTAACGAAGGCGCCTAGTTCTTTCTCGGATGAAGCATCAAGACTCGGGATATCGATGTCTGTGATTGAGAGTGTGGAAGAGTTGACGGTCATTGTGAGTCGGGATGCGAAGAGTCCGGTGGGATGAGAAGCATGTATGGAATGCTTTTGGAGAATGGGTTGCTCTGAGACTTCTGATGATGATTCCGAGGATGTTTGTTCGGAAGGTAGAAGCACGATAGTCGAAGTGTAGTGGAGGGGGCTGAAAGCTTGAAGATAGGGCAGAGGATCATCTAATTCGATGGGTAGATGAGAAGGCAGAGACTTTTCGAAATCCGACGAGGCAGCAGGCTGCGTCCTACGTCGTGATGAGAAGGGCAAGAATGAACCAATGGACTTGAAAATACTGGTTGGTTTTGGCGTGGGGTGTGAAAATTGCTCTGTTGACCTCCTTAACAGAGCTATAAGCTCTTCAGGATTCGGCGCCAATGTTGTACGGCGTTTCCCAGATTCGTGGTGTAGGCGTAGTCGCTCATTTTCTTGATTTGCGAGAGCTACATCTGCTTGTAACTGCTGTAACTCTTTAAGGAGGTCATCTCGAGCTTTCTTCTTGGATGCATAAGGGTCTTCGGGAACCAAGAATCTGGCTGATTTTCGGCGTTTGGGTTTCTCTGGTTGAAGTTTGGCTTCAGGTTCAAGCTCGGCCGCTGGCTCCTTTTCCTTGTGCTTCTTTTTCTCTTGGGTCGGCTCTGGTCTTTTTGACGGTTCTGGAGGAGGCGGATCTCGAGGCTTCAGGGGCGAAGACTTCAACTTCTGTCCCAACGACTTGCTCTTTCTTGCCCTCTTGCTAGGAGTGTCATGTATACCCGTGGGAGGAGTAGTGACAACGGGGTCTAAAATCCCCCGTTGAGTGGGGGTGGGCGGTAGTTCTGGTTCTTCTGTTTCTGCTCGATGAGGATTCCTCGAGTGATCGACTCCCTTTACTGATAATATTATTTCTTCTGGCTCTACCCGATGAGATCTGCTGGGTTGCGTGATCCCCTTTCCTGGTAGTTCAACCTCTGGCTCTTCTGACTCTGGTCGAGAATGATTTATGGAGTCATTGACTTCCTCTGCAGGTATTTCAGGTTCTTTTGGCTCTGATACATGATGGCGGCTTGATTGAGCGGATTTCGCTGCTGATATTCCTGATTCTTCTGGTGCTGGTGTTTTGAACTGCGTGGCCTCCTTTACTGAATCTCCGGGTAGCAGCCAACTCGATCCGTTGGATTCCCTAACGTCCTCTACAGACAGTCGCGTTTCTACTGGTTCTGGTTGATGGGGCGTTCTGGATTGAGCAACGTCATCTGCTAAGGATGGCGGTTGTAGAGGGGATTCATCTGGGGACACTGCTGCATCCTCTCTTTGTTGCTGGACGTCGTTCATATCACCCAGCCCCATCCAACTTTTGAAGTTGCTTTTGCGAGCAAGTTCTGTAACCTGAGAGGTGCGTCGTCTTGGAGCTGGGTATGAGTACTCTGCTTCCCGGGTCTTTTCTGGCACTATAGGTTTTTCGGCATGGACTTTTGGGTGCATAGATTGCTCCTCTGAATTCTGACCATCGTTGAAAGTAATGGGTTTTGCAGCACGAGACAGAGTTGGTTCAATAGGGCCCGTTGACACTTCTGGTTCAGCAATGGCTTCCTCAAATGATCCCACAGGTTGTGAAGATATTGGTGATCTCCTCAAACCCTTCTTCTTGAAGGGATCAGCAGCACTGGGAACGCTATCCCGTAACTCTGTCTCGACTTGTGACGATACTGGTGACCTCCTTAATCCTTTCTTACCAAATGGGTTGCTATTTTCTTGCAGGTCGCCATATCCTGGAACTACTGGAGCTGATCGTTCGGGCTGTTTGGATGGGGATCGCGACATCCTCCTCGGTTTTGCAGAAAGTATTCCACCAACAGACAGCCGGCGCGCTCTAGGCGTTGTATCTCTCTGGGTAGCTGGTACATAGCTTCCCTGAGGCGTAGCATCCGATTGTGTCCCTCCTCCGATTACCTCAGGCTGAATCTCTACGGCATTCTGCAAGTCCCCCAATGCTTTCGCGAAGACATGATCTAGATTCTTCCCCGCGCTCTGCGCACCACGTCCAGAAGACGACGGTCGATTTAACAATTGTGGATTATGCCTCGCGATACTCGCTTTCGTCGGGGAAGCGAAAGACGGCCGTCTCTCAGAAAGATTCTTCGCCGCGGAAACGGGTATACGACTTGGAGTTGCGGGTGGCGCGTCGCCAGGGGCGGATGTTGTTGGCGACACTTTGCGCCGTTTCGGGGGCGGCGTGCGTTGCATCGTTTCTGTGAGGTCCTATTTCTGCTCCATACTATTTCGAGAGCATCCACATCACGGCGATATTTGGCGATGGACAAAGGGATTGCATTCGGTTTTGGTTGTAGGAAGTCGCGTACATAGGAAGACGCGCCGAGGGGGAGGCGCTCCAAGATTTCAGCCGCGGTCGAGACCATGCTTCACAACAAACGGGAGCCACAAAGTTTAGTCAATTGAAAATTTGAACCCAATTGACAAATAAAAAACAATACAATATCCATGTAAATATCTTGACATTAAATTCCTTTTGATATGTCCCTTCCTGATTTCAGTGATCACGAGACCTTCTGCTACTGCTGATAAACAACGCCGATGACGTTGGAGTGGCTGGCGATCTTTCTTTAAGGATCGCAAACAAATTTCCTCCATCTCTTTAAGATAAACATGATTTTCAAACCCTGCAATGCTTCCTCGATAACGCAATCCAAATCTCTATAGATAAGAGATCCTACAGCTATTATAATATCATGGAAACAAGATTCCTCCTCCGCGCAACCCAGCGCCTCAAAGCACCCCCATCTCTCTGCCAACAATTCCGATACTCCTCAAACAGATCCTCAACCCAACAAGCAAATCCCATAGGGGACTACTACGCCTCCCTCCTCGAATCCGCTACTCCAGCAACAAACCTCAAACCACCTACAACCCCACCCCCCTCCACAACTCCCCCATTTTCAACCCAAGAAAAAGAACCCGCCGAAGACCCCGAGCCCGCAATCCTTTTTTCCTCCCGACTCTCCTCGCCCCTAGAACGCAGATCTGAGATCCAAAAGAAAAGCGTCTTAATAGCAGGTGTCTGGGTTCCTCCACGCCCAACAGAACCGGATAATTGCTGCATGAGCGGGTGCGTGAACTGCGTATGGGATCGGTATCGGGACGAGCTGGAAGAATGGGCTGCTGCGCGAAAGGAAGCGGATACCGCACTTCGAAAAGAGAAATATCTGGAGAAAGATAAGAAGAGGAGGAAACAGCAGGGGGTGAGTGGGACGGGGGCTGATGTTAGGGGAAGGGGAGAAGGGGGCTCAGCATACGATGGTTAGTATGGATGATGATGGGGGCGGGAGTGAAAGTAATTGGGGGACGGGGTTGGATACGGATTTCACGGGCGAGGAGCTTTTCAAGGGCTTGCCGGTGGGTATTAGGGAGTTTATGAAGCAGGAGAAGAGGTTGAAGGAGAAGCATGCTAGGGAGGAGACGAGGGGTTGAAGTTGGATGGTATATGCACCGTTGATTATATCCCCGACTCTTGCTTTTCTTATGACCATAGATCAGAGGAGCTTCCCAGCTCGTACAACGACCTGCCACTTTCCTTGCGCCGGCTCCCATGCATAATCCTACAAAGTATACGGAGAATTTAGTCAACCTCCACACCCTTAGTCCTCAAATCAGCCCGCGCCAAATCGATCTCGTTCATGAGTTCTGCGTGTGCCTTGGGGACGTCGTTGAATGTGAAAACGCCGAATCCAAGTTTGAAGAGGAGATAGGAACCGAAGGATACGAGCGCCCAGAATGGCAGCTGGGTAGATAGTGTTAGTCGAATTGATCCAGTAAAACATAGGATGCGAAATCTGCGATTTGAGGTCTTTGAAGACCCAAAAGAGGAAACCGAGGGGTATAACGTACAACAGGTATTATCTCCGTCAAAATAAGCTCTGGCAGAGGGATGAGTTGCAGATAGAGCGCTAGGTACAGCTGTTCTTTTATTAGTTCCCATTCTTAAAGGTTTAAGTCAGGGGCGCATACCGAAGTGACCAAAAGTCCAATGGAGATGGTTTGCTGTGCCCGAGTCATGATCGCGACGTTGATATTCTGTCTTTTATTGTACAGCGGATTTGTAGTTTTGACAGCTGGGTTGTTTAAGGAGCGTGGTTCGTAAGGAGGTGAAGTGGTTAAGGACAGCTGGATCGCGAAGCTGGAATTTTTTGGCTTGTGAGTACGGTCACGTGTGGATAAGAACCGGTCGAATTTTGAGCTGGTGAGTTCTTAATGGTAGGAATTTTGCTAGAATACTATTTATTGTGTTCTGGACCTTAAGGTAAAGATATACTAATGGCCTCTGCAAAAGGTTTGAGATTAACTACAAAGGGTTGGAGTATAGAGGGCACGAAGTGGTTTCTTAGGGCTTCATTTCCCAAGTTACTTCGTCCCAGGCGTAAATAAACCCCCAAACAGGGGTGTGAAGGCAGGGGTTCTGCTAATAGGAGCTGCCACAGAAAACCACCCCTAGCACAAACCCTCCTGTTGGGGGGTTTCTTACGCCTGGGACAATGTAGCAATTCAAAGAAAGTGCTTAATAAGTGTAAAGAGTTTAGGTCATTCAACTACACTTTCTCACTTGCTGTTATCGCTATTGGTCTTTTAATATAAATTAGAACTGAATGGTATATACGGATTTCAAGCAATTGATGAGCCAGAACAAAGGTCCAACAAGAACTACCTACTGCCATTTAGAACACTTCATCAACATCCCCAGCAAGTTGCAGACTAATCTGCCCATAGATCGGGTCGTTCACCTCTTACAATCAAGTCCACACATACCTATGTAGTGCAATGAAAAATCTAGCCCTAGAAAGTGTATACATCAAAGTAAACCCTTAAAATAAAGCACTCGCAGCTCGCGAGGATGGCATAGGAATATCAGATACTAGAGACCCTAAACATCCATGAGGAAAAGAATGACAGTGGACAAAGGAAAGCAAAGTGCCGTCGGACTAGTTACTTTGAGTGACTCCCATGCGCTGTCAAACTTTGACGGGTTATTGAGTGAATAAAGGCGGAGACCATCATTGGAACGTGAAAATCAAGTTTCTCCTTTACTCTCCCGCGGTCTATTCCCTCGGCCATGGGTCGATCGTCAGCCCTGTCCAAATCGTCTTCCACCTTTCCACCTTCTTCTCATACGATTCCCTATTTCCAAGAACAGGGTTTGGTTTTACGACTAGGTTGAACATATCTGCTAACCCCCATGGCGCGTAAATATCCCATTCGTCCTCTTCCTGCTGCCCCTTCGTGTCCTCCCTTATTCGCACACCAATGATAGCGGTATTCGAAATGAAATTGTCGATCCCGTCCTCTAGGGTCTTATAGGGAATGCACTTTACCCCATACTTTTCCCCGTACCAGAGATGAACTCTCGCCTGATTGCGTACCTCCACCTCTGTTGTTATACCGGCGAAGAGCTTCTTGCTTGCCTGGATGACCCTATCCTCCGCCTCCCATGATAGATCTGACGCATCGTAGTATACGAGGTCGTAGTCCGAGATGCCCGTCTCAGGGTCTAGACCTGATACGTAGTTCCACACTGTCTGCGTGATGGATCCGGCAGCGAGGTACCAATGGGTCAATTTGAGTTGCGGCGCCAGCTTGAGGATTGTGAGGAGCGTCGGATTGGTGGAGACCGCTTTGCGGAAGTGCTGCACCTGGAGATGTAAAGGTAGCTGGCCTATCTTTCGAGGACCATCCATTGTAAAGACTGTATAATCAGATGTTCGAGCACGCCCGGAGAACTACTCCATAGATAGATTTCGTGACTGGGTTCGTAGAGGTATGCGAAAGACGTTCTGTTCTGTGATAGGATGGGCACACAGAGTTGATTGGGTCACAGGTGGGGTGGGGTGGGTCAAAACATTGATGACTAGTATCGATTAAGCCGACTCTAAAGCTATTGATATCCCTACTGCTATTATATAACGAAATAAGCCAAAATTGTCACAAATAACCGATTGGCACTTTGGCGGAGTGGTTAACGCGATGCCCTGCTATTGCGCAAGCAAAGTTGACAGGCATTTCCCTCGGGAGCGTGTGTTCGAATCACACAGGTGTCGGATTCTTTTCTTTTTGTTTTTTATTCTTTTTGCAAAAAATAATATCGGTCGTAGGCTACCCCGTGAAATCTTAACACGCTTTCAAGATTCCATAGGATAAACACTTTTTTGACTCATATCGCTCTTTTCTGTTTAAGGTCTGATACAAAACATAATTTTCTACTCAGAACCAGAAGTCATGTAAGTATAATATATATATACTCGTCTTAGCGTGATTATTCAGCCCTATTTGTAGATCATTCTACCGAGTAAATCATGTATTATGGAAAGACGCAGATTGGGTGACAATAATACCCTGCGTGAATATAAAACTCGACTGACGATGCATATCTAGAGCAGAATTGTTCTGGCATGCACTTTTGATAAGAAACGCCATATCGCAATTGGGAAGAATACTGTCAAACGTCCCGACACCCCCGGAAGCGCCACATCTGATTCCACACTCAATTCAATATTACTCAAAGACGATGAACTTATCTGGAACTACGCACAAGAGAATTTATCAGGTAAGATGACGCACATTACTACAATTTTCAGTAATGCAATTTTAGTTCCAATTGCTTGCGACCAAATTTCTAGTAAGCTTTGCATTGCTGACAACCGACTTGCCAGGCGTGTGATAATTGCCGGACCAAGAGAGTGCGATGTCACTTGGGCTCTGTGGACCAGCCTCAGGATCCTCCCTGTGCACGATGTAAACGCGAGAATAGAAGATGCGTCTTCTCATCCACGCGGAAGAGGCGTGCCAAGACCGGCACCAATGTCGCAGACCACAACGTAAACGACGACGACCCGGTTCGGGATTCCCCTGATGTAGAGAGGACGGATTTCGACGTCTCTATGCACAATGTGTACAACCCTCAAAATCCAACCGGAAGACAGCCGGAGTCTTTCGATGGACAGCAGACCATCAGCGCGCTTTTGGACCATCCGATTGACACGTCTAATGACGCGCTGGAAGTCCTTCACGAGGCTTTCCAACACAGTGGGACCCCAGTTGTAGATCCTCTTTCGTCGAGCTCTGGAAAAGAACAGGGACGTCGGCATAAGCACGAGGCTGACAGGCATGATAATGATCATGTTCTCAACGCATGGAGCAGTCTTCGGTTCGTCCAGACTGGTCTGCTCACCGCACGAGAGGCGCTTTCCTATGTCGCATACTTCTATACCCATCTCGCACCGCTATCTCCCGTCCCCACTCTCCAATTCAAGAATCCCTCACAGCACCATAGGCTGCTGGAAGAAGAACCCATCCTGGCTATCACGATACTCATGCTGTCTTCTCGATATATGAAATTGAGCGGTCCTGGAGCCGTCACGCGGGGTGATATTATCCATGACAGATTATGGATTTACCTGCGGGGCATGATCACGAAAGTGTTCTGGTCGGAAGAGAGCTTTATGAGTGGGGATACGCCCAATCCGGGAAATCCGCAGTGCAGTGTGCTTCGGACGATCGGGACCTGCGAGGCCTTGTTGCTGTTGTTGGAATGGCATCCTAAGAACCTGCATTTTCCCTCCGCGGACAACGATACCAACTCCATCATAGTTCGTCATGGGAACGAGAACAGAACACGATTTCTCTCTGCCGAAGGAAGGTATGGCAGGACGAGATCAGGTGTAGACTGGATGTTGAGGTCTGATCGTATGTCCTGTTCCTTACTGGGGCTTGCTCAAACATTAGCTATTGAGCTCGGTCCGTTCGACGCGCAAGATAAGACTAGAAGTCCAGAATACAATGAGCGAGCTCAGCGGATCCAACAGCTACTCTGGGTCTTCTCAGTCCAAGTTTCAGGCAGGTTAGGTATAATACCCCTGATTCTTGCACAGTTTCTACACATTTTCAGATGCTAAAGCGTTCTTTAGGTTGGAAGTACCCACTCACGTCCCAAAGCATAAGACAAAGCATTTCAACCAGCTTGGATGGTAGCACTAACTGCTGGGTCGGAATCGCATCCCTATTACAAAAAGGACACGAATTACTTTTCTCCACCCCGAAACAGATAGACGACCTAGTCAGCGAACGGGAGTATGGCCCACTCCTTCGAATCCTGCTAACACTCCTCGAAGACTGGCGGCGAGGCTTCGAATCCTCAAATTGTACGTCCACACATCCATTTATTCATCCTGGACCTACAGCTTTCTTTTGTTTTTTTGGGAAAGAGATCGACGAACTGATCAGAAACGTAGTGTCAAAACCAATGCGCTGGATCCTTGCTGTTGAGTATGAATATGTGCGCGTATATGTTTATAGCATTGTTCTCCGAGCCGTGATCGAACGCCGACGGAAGGAGAAGGATTCTTCAGGTGATCAGATCGCAAGGCTAGAAGGGCAACGTGAAGATAGTGATGCACTGTATGACGGTTTATATCTTGGGTATCTCACGGATGCCGCCAGGTCATTATTGCGTGTTGCAGTCCACGAGATATTCCCAGACGGCTGTTTACTAAATGTCCCCGTCCGAACGTATTTCAGGATTCTTACAGCGGCGGTATATTTATTAAAGGCAAGATCATTTTCTTTCTTTCGTTATCAGTCATTGTTTGTTAATTGGTATGATGGATAGTGCTGATATTGACAGCTACGGTAGACTTGTGCAATTGAAGTCGAAGACAAGGAAATCCAGAAGTCTGTCGAGCTCGTCATCCATACCGCCGTGGCCCTCCAGTCCTCTGTCGTAGACGACGTGCATCTGAGTCCCCACTGGGGCAAACTCCTAGCCGGTCTATGTTCCAGTTTGAGAACACGAGCCACACAGACAGTGACGCCGAGATCCGATCTCGAAATGCAGCAGCAACGGATTCCAGCCAACTACGTACCCGAAACTGTGACGGATGATCAGCCAATACCTCAAAGTGGCTTTATACCACAAAGTAAGCCATCGGTGAACCCATCACAGTCTATATCTCCCCTGCTTTCAAACCAGCCAGGGACTCTAAACCCCGCCTCCTATACCCAGTCCTACTCTTACGATTTCGGCACAATTCCGCTAGCTCTCAATGCCGATCAATCCCTTACCTACGACGAATTATTCTCCTGGACGGACCCGATGAGCGGGATGGACATCACTCAAATGCCGTGGAATGGTGACCAGGCAATCTTTGATATCCTAAGCTCTGGAATGGGTCCTGAAAATTAATGATGGCAGGAGAGAGAAGATCTTTTCTAGGCGTTTGTTTGCCGTACTTCCGTTGTTGGGGATTTGCTTGTTAAGTGATGCGTTGATGACACTAATGGCTCGATGACCGGGACTTTGATTGGATTTGAGATGGCGCACGAAGCCTCGCAAGGCATGTTTTGGGGGGGCTTGGAAATGGCTGGGGCTAAATAAAAATGACCTATATTGCCTGGATTTCGTGCTATATAGAAATAATGATACTAAAAAGGAAACACTGGTGAGAAACATGCGCGATTCTTATGCAAATTCAATGATTTAATGTAGCTTGTAGGGTACTGTTTAATACTTGGTGGGTTTGAGTGGCAAGGGAGGGCTGTTAGTTATTGGGGGACATCTTGTTGCAGGGCTCCAGGGTGAATAGATGTCGTCGCTAGAAAGGGAAGAGGGGTAATTATTAACAGAGGATGATAGCGGGCCGTATATGTGGCGATTAAAACAAGGGTACCTGAAAGTCATGGATGGATTTGCACAGCATGTTTGAAGTAAGAGGGGATAGATACACATGCCAATTTTGGAAGCACTAGTTATAAAAGAAACAAGCTTGAATTATCCCTCATTTAGCTACTGGACCTGGAAAAGCCGTTCCGAAAGCGAATGAATGAAATGAAGTACACACAATGGGCCGAAATGACCGTGACCCAATATCAGCGCAACGAAAGGGGAATGAAATAGCCAGGACCCTGAGACAATTCTGTGATGACCACAAGTACCAGCATACCCAGAAGTCACAACAACTTTGCTACTTTGCTAAGTGACGAAACCGAAACCGAAAGCATGTAGCGTCGTTGGCTGAGTCCGACGAAGAAGGCCAGAATAGAAAGCGAGAAAGAAAAAGCGCGCTCCGTCCTAAACAACCATCACCCAACGCCTATATGAGATATCCTCCTGAAAGACTTCTGAGCCCCGAAAAACTTGCGCTTTAGTACGCTGAACCACCCGGTGGATGGTGCCAAGTCTGCCCGTACTGGAGGTTTGGATTTTGGCGGAGGACGTTGAGCATCTGACCGTGGCCGTAATTTGCTTGCTGGATGTGTAATGTCGTAGCCGCAGTTCTTGCAGGCGAGGTAGAAGTTGGGGGATTTGCAGGCGGAGCAGGTTGCCATGATGAAAGTGAGAAAATGGATGACTTGATGTTGGTTGGTGTGGTTTGATGCTTTAATGTTGATTGACCATGAATGACAACGCATAAGAAACTTAATGGAGCGGAGTTTGCTAAGAAGGTGTAAAGTAAGCGCCAATGAATCAGCATGGACATTTGGGAATTCACACTTCGGGAAAGAGCTCCTCAGGAAACGCTTTCACAACCCCACGTTTCAGAATCTCGGGGTTGTTTACGCCGCAACCCATCGTAGCCTTTCTGCGATGCATAAGAGGCATATGATTGTAGTTGTAATAAGTGGCAACCCTTGTGTCATGGAGAATCTCGTATCCGCAGCTGTTGCACTTTCCGCTAAAGCCTTTTCCTCCATGGTTCGGGCAACTTGACATCGTATTCGTTGCGCTATGAAGGTCTTGCTGGGGAATAATCGAAAATAAGCAACGTGAACTATATATGCAGTTCAGTAAACACCCTTTCTGTGAAGGAGTTTCTACTATTGAAGATTAAATAGATGAGATAAGGTACCTTCCAGATTCTATTTGAACTATAAGAGAGACTCCAAGGAAATGCTAGCTGCCAATGTAGAAGACGAGGGAGCAAAAGTCGAGCAAATTGGAGGATTTGAGAAGTCAAGCGGAGGAAGTAGATACCATGACCGTTGCTGTATTAATGGAGGATACCCGCTCTTCCATTGATGTTGTATGTGTGCAATTGAGAACGCAAGGTAATTCGTAAACTGTAAAGAGAACCGAAGCGTAGAAGACTGATTGCAACCTTGAGCCAGGAACTAGTTTATCCCAGCCTATTTCTCCCGCAACTGCTGCGAGATCCACGGCATTGTTTCGTCCAAGGCTTTGGGCGAGATAGTCTTAAAATGATGAGAGATGCAATGATATTGAAAAGACATGACCCGCTCATAGACAGCGTCTCTGTGACCTCCTTGTAAGCATGGCAAGACAGTGAGCTACCAATGAGTCCTTTAAGAGACCAGCCCTTCAGAGGATAGCATAGATCGGTGCAAATTAAGACTTATACCGGAGGCCAATGCCCGTGTTGTAGTTACAAGAGTAGCACTGTCCCGTGTAGCCTGTGGCGTTGCATCTAGGGCATGGTGGAGGTGGATTAGTCTTGGATGGAGGTTGACTCTTGGACGGAGGTTGGGTTTTGGAAGGAGGTGCAGCTTTGGGAGGAGGTTGCTGTGTTGAGGGAGGTTGGGCTTTAGAAGAAGGCTGTTGAGTGTTTGCGCTGGAGGGCTGGCCTGAGGAGGATGAGTTGTCCATGATTGCCTCGTGACTTGGTGATGGTTCTCTTGCTTTCGACTTGGGTTCTTGGAGTTGGAGAAGTATACGGTGTTGCTTATATGCTTCAATTGACAGAGCTGGGTGGAGGTTGAAAGTTTGTGGTTTCTGTTTCGTTTCTGCCGAGACTTGAGTCGAAATATGAGTTCGCTTGGTCGAGACAACTAACGAGTCATCAGCCTTCCATTCACAGTCGAGTACCTAACAGTATCCGACAACGAAATCTCAATTAACGGGGGAAAACGTGCATAGGACAGTCATATATGAAATGCTTAGTATGCTACTGTTCGACGGATCTTGGCCTCAAATGTCACATTTCCTTCAGCGATAGATCGCCAAAGAGACATATTAGTGTAGAACTGGCGCATAACAACCCCTGCTGAAAATGAAAACACACAAGGGCTCACACCTAGAGCACAGTCACAACATGAGAGACAAACAAGTTGTGCAATGTCGCTTGCATTCATGAAAGTACACTTAAGCAATCCTCTAAAGTTGCCAATGCATGTATCTCCATCCATCCAGAGCAACCGGCGCAGAAATCAAAGACCCATTTTCAGACTACGCCCGTTTATTTCTTAGCAGCAGCAGCCTCATCAGCCTTCTCCTTCGCCCGCTTCTCACGCTTGCCGGCGTTTCTCGCTTCGCTTCTAGCTTCTCTCAACTTCTTGTAAGCACCACCCTCAGTTGCCGATGGCACGTCACCCTTCTTAATCTCGCTGAATCCTGACTCGGTGTTGGCGATTGGAAGAGCAGCCTTGAAGCTGGCAACAGTGTTCTTGACACCAGCAACTTCCTCCTTGGATGCATCACCAGACTTGTGCTTGCCCAACTTGCGGGGGAAGAGGATGAGACGAGCTCTGTAGGCCTTTAGACGGTCGACGTTGACGGCAAGGGATTCGGTGGAGAGGTTTTGGCGGCGGGGGTCGACGGAGATACCGATTGTGGGCGCAAGCTTGCGGGGGATACCAGCTTCCTATGTAGTGTCAGAACACAGTTTTTTCTTTCCAGATATCCTGCAAATCCTACCTTCAGCTCAGTCAAGGTGAAACCACGTCCAGCTCGTACACGGCGGTTGTACTTGATTGTTGGGCATCGGACGATGGGTCTCAATTTATCGACTGGGCGGGGTGCGACAGCTGCTGCCTTTGAGAGACGGGCATTGCGGCGTCTAAGCTTGCGACCGGGCTGTATGCTGTGTTAGAATCTCCTCCGCGATTGCTGGTACTGTCTGTATGAAATTACCTGGTCGAAGTGAACGCGGACTCGTCGCTGCCAATCCTTGCGGAAATCTGGTTCCTGTCAGTACTGTTTATATCGTCGCTAGGTAAGGACTAGAGCATACGGTTGTGCGGGATCTGCTGGTTGTGCTTGATCGCCATTTTGTCGTGGATGCGATCGGTTTTGTCGTCGTCGTGATTAAGAGTCTTTGGAACTTCTCAAAAAAGCTGGTGTGCGGCCTCGCTTAGCTTAGGAAAAGTCCAAATGGTATGTCCACGTGATATTTGCCTCGAACTTCTTCCTCGCTTTTCATTGGCTAGCTCTATTTAGCAGTTTGCTCTAAGAACATTGTGCTGACACATCATTTGAGACCCCTTGCTGGCCCTTCTCACAGGTATAAAGGCTCCCTCCCCGCCCTCCACCAGATCTTTTTTTCTTCATACTTACCTTCTTGAAGCTTTTCCTAGATCATGAATTAGGGAGCTACGATACAAAACCTCCATTGCACAACGGGGAGTTGCGAATCGTTCAATTGGTTTCGGCCACTTGTTCGGGGGAATTTTTGATTGCATCCTACGGCTTGTCCGTTACCATCTTTTCATTGTGCTTGTCGCTTCGCGCGATGGTATGAAGAAGAGTAATAAATAGCTTCTGAGATCTATGCTTTTGTGACGGTCGACCAACCACTCGTGTGCCCTACGGTCTGCCAGACGTTCTCCATGGGCGATGTTCTCGCCATGATTGTGGACAACTCAAAGGTGCCAGAGCATCGTCTGCTCCAAACCCCGCAATCATTCCGTGAAGCTATTCCGAGATGTGTCCTCGTCACCGCCTGCGTCAATGTATGCTCCGCATCGGCAGGCAGCGCCTCACTAATAACTGGCAATAGAGTTCAACATAGCTTCGACATTCTCTGCGCGCTTTGCTCCCGCCTAGCTAATATCACCGTCGTCGGTCTGCATTCTGCACGTTACAACTTGAGACGAAAGACTGGATATTTCGCCGTTTTGCGCATATCTGGATCGGACGGGAATTTCAACAGATATACAGCCCGCTATACCCGAAAATCATCTTGCTTCCATCAGTGGCTATCCTTGAATATCCGGAGAGCCTTACTCGAGTACAGTACTGACATCTGAGCTCTAGCGGAACGGAGTTTTCGGTGTGGGGCATGTGGGCCGCTCGGTCAGGGGTATTTCGGTAAAATGTATCTGATGATTCTGATGCGACTACACTTCAAGATGTGAGCTAGACATCAAAGTTTACGCATCACCTTGCATGATGGCAGTGGAAGCACGGTGTGGTCCTTGAGCACCGCTGTGGTATCTTCGGATCATCGCTTGGAGAAGACTGATCATGGAACATCTATAAAGATGTCAATGAATCTTCCCTTTTGCAGGATGTATAGCATCTCAAGCATCTCAAGCATCTCAAGCAGCCCTACAATCCAATATATCAATCACAGCAACAATCACAGCAACATCAATCTCCATCCATACAAAATCCTACAACATGGCTCCAAGATTTAGCATGGTTCCGACCAAAATGCCTCTTCTCGGCAAGATCACTCTCGAGGAAGCTTTCCAGCCCCCTTTCAACATGGAGGCAGCCACTGGTACCAACATCGACATGTACGTCTACAAAGAGCGCGCCCCCGAGTACCTGTCGGGCATTGTCAACATCAAGGACCGCGTCATGGAAGCCCGCACAACTGGCGTCGGCTACACTGTCTGCTCTCTTACTGTGCCTGGCGTTCAGGGTGAAACAGACCCCGCCACCGCCGAAGCCTTTGCTACTCGCTCCAACAACTGGATTGCCGATCAGATCAAAGCGTATCCCACCGAACTGGGTGCTTTTGGAGCCGTCTCTATGCACAACCCCAAGCAGGCCGCGGTCGAGATGACCCGATGCATCAAAGAGCTTGGCTTTTGTGGCATCATGGTCAACAACTGGCAGCAAGCCGTCAATGATAAAGGCGAGCGCACGCTTCTGCTCTACGACCGCCCCGAGTACGATGTATTCTGGTCCACTCTCGAGGAGCTCGATGTCCCGCTCTACCTCCACCCTTCGGCCCCCGAAGCTCAGATATTAGACCTCCTGTACAAAGACCATCCCTACCTGATCGGCCCGCCCTCATCCTTCGCCATCGACGTCTCAACCCACGTCATCTGCCTCATCACCAACGGAGTCTTCGACCGCCACCCAAAAGCCCAACTCATCGTCGGCCACATGGGCGAACGTATGCCCTATGACTTCGACCGCACGCACCGCTGGCTCGAACAGGTTGAGAAGCCCCGTGGAATGGCCGCCAAGAAGACTCTGTACCAGTACTTCCAGGAAAACATCTGGCTCACCACTTCTGGACAATTCTCGACGCCGGTTATGAATTATTGTGTCAATCTGGTTGGGGCAGATCGTATTTTGTTCTCGGTGGATTATCCGTATGAATCTTATCAAGACGCGTCGAATTGGTTCGATAACATGGATTTAAATACTAGGGACAAGCTGAAGATTGGGAGGGAGAACGCGAAGAAGCTTCTTAAGCTCGGCAAGTACAAGGACAGTGATGCGCCATACCATCAGTAGAGGAATGCATACCTATAGGTACTAGTTATGTTAGAAGATAATTGAAATAACTAAGACGCTAGTCGATGATTTTACTAGAAACGTATCCAAAAACCCGGGTCCTCATCATGTGACTTTTTAACATCTAATATCTATAATAGCTGATTACTGTCCATAGCTCCCTTTACTTATTGTCGGAATACCAATTATCGCGAAGAACTACCTTAGGGACAGCGTACGGTCTTGACAGCAGTCTTTGAGTAATGCTAGCGTAGAGCTGTAAGCTGGATCGGAGCACTGACTAGGCCGATGTTAATCATTTTATAGCTTATATTATAGAATTCCAATACATTTGATTTAAGTGGTCGTTTTGATTAAGAATGATCTCTTGATAATCCCAGCTAATCCTTGTCATTCTTGTTGAAATTGTGGTGACCAAGTAATAGAAATAAGAAGGGTATTGATCAATAAAGAAGGAAAGTGGGTTATGAGTAGGGAATCCCTAGATAAGTCCCTCCCTCGTCCTAGATTGGAAAAGCTGCACTGAATTATAACCTCTGATCCGAATAGCCTATTCAAAGGCGGCGATATCAAGTGTCGCTTCTTTTTATACTGCGCCCTCCTTCTCCCTCCCCCTCCTCTTACACTAAAATAGCTTCCGCGCTTAGCGAGCCCCTTTTACCGCCCTCCTAGCGTAGGAAGGGCGGACTACCCACAGCCCAAAGGTCAAACACAAAATAAGATAGAAGCTAATCAAACTGCAGAATTGTGTAGGTTACTAGAGATCACACTGTGAGGAGTTCTATGCGTCTTTAATACTAGTGCGAAAGGGGATAACATTTCTGAGCTGTGGGTAGAAGTATTATAATATGAAAGTAGAACGTCCTAGATAGCGTGAAAGGTATTTAAGTACTAGACTACTAGTCCTGGCTCCGCTCGATTATCCATCTCAATAGGTTCTTCTCTCCCTTTTCCTTTATCTACCTTTGGTTTCGCTTTCCACGTGCGCATGGAATCGAGAGAGGTACTTATCCAGCGCTTGCACCACGTGATGGGGAAATTATATAACCAGAATATGCCTTGCCAGACAGAAAAGCTGGGGAAACAGTTAGTCAGCTGCTCAGAAAACGTGGAAACTGATGGACGGGGTAGCTTACAACACAATCCACCACTCCGAGGGCTTGGTACGATCTCGTTTGGGCCCAAATGTGTGGAATGCGTTTGCGCGTTTCACCCATTTACTGTCAGCCTCTTCATCTTCTAGACTCAACACCTCGGCGCTTCGACTAGTTGGTTCTTTCTTTTCGGCCTCCATTCGCTGCAACATTATTGTTCTCAGCGGTTCGTAGAACTTCCAAAGATGAATGGCTAAATTATCAAGATTGAACACAATGCCATAAGTCACTGCCCCAATTAAGATCGAGGTGACTATAAAGGGAATCTTCGTTCCATGCTCCATGATGTTGGGGATTGCCCAAAGTGCCTGCCTGGTTAGTCGATGCGCGGTTCAAAGTCAAGACTTGAAAGATTTGACTTACTGCACAGAATGCTAGAGGGAGATAGAAGATGCTGACGTACGTGAGAAGTTTGACATTCTCACCTAAACGTGTAGAGGCACGGCTCTCTGCTACAGCGCTCGCATTGAATAGCTGTGGGGCCTTAGTATTAGAGAATGATAGAACATAGTCTTGGGGGACTTACCCCGTCGCGCAACATTTTCACCTCCTCGCGAGTCGCACCAAATCCCATCCGGATTCTCTTCAGAGACGCAATTGATGCGTCAATTGCGTCAATTTCCTCTACGTGTCCTCTTGTATTAGAGATGGACCCCTTGTATGGATCAAGATAGGACTCTTTAAATTCGCGCCAGTAGTTTTCGGCGTGTTCGATCACATTTTCAAAATCTTTAAGGCATGCTAAAATCCAAAAATATTTTCGTGAGCGAGAAAAAGAATCGTCCTCGAAAAGCAGCTGGACGAATTCATCGCCTTGGAGAATTGTAGCGTCTTCAGATAGAAGGTCGTTGACATATCTATTAATTTCCGTCCATTTGTCTTCGACGTCTATTACCAGAACTCGAATTTTAAATAGCGTTGCCTCTAACATAGATAGGTTGATCCCACCGGAGTAGAAACCTTGATAAGATTTTGACGGTCCCACAAAGACCATAGTCCAATAAGGCGAATGGAGCGCTTGTGTTGAAATATTAAAACCGGAGTAAAATATGGGAGGAGCTTCAAATAAAATCTAGTGATAATTGGGTTAGCACATCTACTAGCGGTATTGAAAGATGCGTGAGGCTCACACAAAATGCGCCATAACGAAGCTGCCTTTTCTTTCCGTCTCCATATAGATTGCCAGGTAACCACGATCTTTCATTGGGGTAGGTCTGGTGTGGCTTGTTTTCCGCATCGGCGGAATATGGTAGAATCTCGAAGAAAGGTAAAGCGAATATAATGCTGCATCGATGATCCAAAGCGGATGTGTTTGTCGCTATCTGCCAGAGTAGAGAAGGATTCGTCGTTGGCTTAGAAGCCAACTTATCATAAAACCACAGAAGCATCCATGGATTACTTGGCCATGCAAAGAACTCACCTTGTCTTGAAGAGGCTCCCTGAAGTACACTGCCAAAACAGGTCAGAGAGTCGGAGACAAAATGTAAGATCTAGGATCACACATAAGAAATGCGGGTTCTAAAAGAGTTTGGTTGCAAAGGGACTTACATCTGTCTCTTCCAAGGCGCAATATGAAACTGCTCATTGTGAATCGCTGCTGGCACCAAGAATAGTTAGCGCTCCGTAGCTTGGCCTGCTTATCTCGTACAGTATTTTACGGCCCTTCCCATCATGAACTCATGATCTCTTCTCTATGCTTCCTTATGCAGGACACAAAAAGCAGCACATTTTTAATATTCCATGCCGCCTGATACATTATTAATTACTGCATATTTTCTGTCTCGCGCAAGGCTTCTTCGAGTACCGGCTATTTGTGGAGAAGACTGTAAAACACCTTAGGCATTATATAATAAACAGACAACCTTTTAATATTTTATGTTCAACAAAGTCAGTTCGGGCAAACCATTTTTCAGTAAGAGCGTTGGTGTGTTGGTCGAAACCTGCAGTATCAAAGCTGTCTTCGGGTTGATGACCTGGTTCGTGACGGTGCAGTGAGTAACTTTTTGTATTCTTCCAACGCCCCGTAGAATCCAAAAATATGTCCTCGATCCAGAAATCGCCACCCGATCCTACTAGATCTTCTTGAAGCTTTCGGAAATCCTTAATTTCGTATTTCCGGATTTGATATCGGGCTAGATTCTGCTTCGTGAAATTAAGTCCTATGCGTCCATCGGAAGGAACCTCCCAGACATTGCCTAGCTCCTCTCTGAGGGACGCATCGACTTCGGAAGCACTTTGGTCCACCACTTCGGCTGTGCTGGGATTGTATGGCAAGATTTTCAAATGTTCTCTCCACACGGTTGGGTCTCTAGTAGTCGGCTCGCTGCTTTCGGGCTCAATGGTCTCCTCAGGCCTGGGATCTATTGGTGATTTTGTGGTAGCTGATTGACAGAAAACATTAGTTACAGATACCGATTAACGATTGCTAGCAACCAATCGGAATCATCTTCACCTTGAAGCGCTTGCTTCTCGATATTCGCTAATCTCGCACCGTGATTCTTGAGCTGCGTATCAACACTCTCCATAAGGGTTCGAATACCCTTTAGCACGTTCAATGTCTCCTGGTTGCTACCCACAGACTCAGAAGCCACCTTGGTTTGGGTTTCTCTTGAAGCTTCTTCTATGTTGGCCATGATGACTTTGAGATGAGATGATGGATGGGCTCGTTGAATAACTGCGTAGAAGTTTGTTGGAGAGGAAGATTTGGGAAGGCTGCAGCTGAGAATTTTGATTTATCCTGTATTACACCAGCCTTGAGCTCAGCGCTAAGAGGTGAAGATCTTTCCCACTTGTGGCAACATATAGCAAGCTGACATACTTCGGGTCCACTTTTACGGGGATACCCTTGATTTAGTGGATTAGCCGTCTTTTGGCTGATCTTCCGATCGCCTTGGTACTGAAAAGGGATACCACGCGCGCTACGTGACAGTAGGCTCAAATTTGATTCGACAACTAGTACTTCGAGAAACGAAAGAACTGCGAAAGTAGATACTGAAATGCCCCACTTGGGGAAGACGGTCTTTCACGCAAACAAATCATCCAGCATGGCTATTTTTTAGCCAAGTGACATGCACAAGGACTATATATATTGATCAACCTACTGCGCCTCCCAACTACCGAACACAAGGGCCTCGATTTAGATGACCCAGTATGCATCCATGAACTCTACATTTACAGTTGTATACAGTCTCTAGCGCCTATGAATGCTGCCACCAGATCCTCAAAGTAGCATCGCTCAAACGCCGCACAGCCGTTCCATCATGAAAAGGAAATCTATTAGCCCATTACCAGAAACTACACCAGCCAATGTAGTGCTGGCACAGATTCTCGAACTTCGTCGCCTCGGTCAATAACTTGTCAACCTGCACGATGTATGACAATTCTTCTTCAGGTTTGAAGTCTCGTCCTACCAACTTCTCCTTCACTCTGTTCAGAACTTGCATTGCTCGTTCGTTCTGCGTCTCTGCCATTTCAGGATCGATTCCCATGTTTCCTGCTGCTGTGGAGTTCGTTCTTCCGCGTGGTCGGGATGATGGCGGTCCGCCAGGAGCTGCTATTGGATCTTGAGCCATGAGAGCCGTGGGTGGAATCTCTGCATCCATGATTGAAGGCCGTCGGTCCCGTGCTGCCATGAGAGAGTCACGTTGTTCGGAGCGGAAATTTGGACCAGCTGGTGAGGTGTCGCCAGTGAGACGCCAATTGAGGAGCGGGTCGTGGATGAACTGTATATTTGTTAGTAAACGATCGCTACAAGTTCAGGCAAAATCTTACAGCTTCAAGAACAGCCATCAAAGACTCCTTGTTGTCACGCAACACTCTCATGACGTTCTCACAAGTGATTCTGAAACTTCCCTCGATATTGCCAACCTCCATTGCGTAGGTCAACATTCTAGTCAATCGGAATGGTACCCGCTCTGGGTATTTCTCACGATGCATCGCGACTTCAAAGCAGTCCCCGAAATCGATGTGAATGATTTTGCCCGTCACTCTGTCCAGCATCAAATTCGAAGGATGCCGATCACCAAGACCAAGCATGTAGCCGACCATGGACATGACACCCAGAGATCGTGTGTAGTTCGTTCGTCGTTCGAGCCAAGCTTCGGAGCTCTTGCTCTTGAGCCACAAAACTCGGTAGAGATCTTGACCAGTAGTGTTGTCTAACGCATATCCGAACACTTCAACCTTTTGCATCAGAGTCAAATTATCGTAATCAGGAGCCATTTGCAGCATAATGCGATGTTCAATATTGAGCAGAATTTTGCGGCTTTCTCTGTACTCGCGAATGAGGACGTGCAAAGTGTCACTGTTTGGAACCCATCCCAGAAGACCAGAGCTCGGTGACAGCGGAATAGCAGGATATCTCTGAATATTCAAGTGTCTCTTATAGGACTCCGAATCGCCATGTAGGAGAGTATTGCAAAGGCCAAACAATTGCATTACACGTTCATCCTGGCGGATATCTTCATGCCCTTTGAGAAGGAACGCGTAAGGTTTACCGTCGCTTCCATTCAAGCTCAGCTTTCGTGGCCGCTGTTTTGATGAGATGACACTGAAATTCGTCTCAAAGTTTAGGATGCGAACAATTGGCTTGCCACTTTGATATGTGCCAGGAACAGCCAAATCCAAATCTCGAGCATGAAGTAGCTTGGGAGAGACGTAAGCTAGCTCCAGATTATTAAGCTGGGGTAGTTGACGTGCAATCCTCTTGAAAACTTGGTAGTAGAGATCCCAAGCAGAGTTAATTTCACCGACATCTCCTGATTGCCGGTACGCATTGCACCATTCCCGAGCTTCCTGGAGATCACGGCCGAAAGTTTGGGCAAATGAGATTTCTCTGAGTGTCTCGGGTCCCAGGTCAAGCATGTCATGAAGTGGTTTCAACGTCTGGAACATGCCCTCGATGTTGCGGTCACCAAAATAGAGTCTCGATGCCTCCTCAAGTCCCTCATGCCAAAGTTCGTGCCATAGTACTGCAACGCGGATAAGCTCGTGACTTACAACGTCTGCTTGTTCAACGAGTCTTGCGCTGTGCTGACGCATACTGTCCATAATCTGTACAGCAGCTTGTGAGCGCTGTTTTGATCGGCGATCGTCGGAGCTTGACTTCATCGCTACAGTCAGAGGGTAGACGAGAGCTTGTGGATGAGCCCTGCCAACATCTGCCAGTAAATTATGAATCGATTGACGAACGCGTTGGTTAGGTTGATTGATCCTGGCGATGAGTTGAGGAATGACTTCCAGCCAGGTGTCGACACTGACAGAAGCGAAACCTTCCGTAACGGCTGCATTAACATCTGCACTTCCACCATGGGCAAACCACAAGGTCAGAAGTCGCAAGGTATCTTGCAAAGAGCTTCCCTCCGAGAGGGAAATGGACTTGAAAAAGCCACGAACAGCAGGTACGACGTGGTCGACCTGAACATTTGCAGGGATGACTAGACTGCGGCTATCTCGATCTATTCGATTGGTATAAGCTTGGACGATCTCGAAATTCGCAAGAGCCCATGCATGCCAAGCCTTGTACCAACTAGGATCGAAATGAGTAGCGGCGCGGTAGGAAGAAAGAACGTCCTCAACATGGTCATGTTGCCAGTCGCCTTTCTTTTGGGCAACTTGCCATTCGCCCTGCTTTAGGCAACATCTGGCCAGAAGCTTCGTATGTTCAGCCAAGGCCTTTGGGTTCAAAATTGGGCTTGCGGAACCTCCCATGTTGTTGTGAGGGTAGCCGTTCGTGAGGAGACCCGCGTTGCCATTGAAATGATCGTTGACACCATTCATACCTTGGGCACTCATCTGAGCGGCATCCAACCGGTCCGCCATTTCTGTTGTCAAATCTCTCAATGCTGCCAAGGCCGGGGCTTTCTTCCCTGCCGCCCAATGGTACTTGAGAACAGCATATTGAACGTGAGCCGGTACATTTTTTGTGCGACGCCCATTCTGGTGGAGATCGCCATCAGCATTTGGTAGCATCATGTTCAAGCTCTCATCACTCCCAATGAGACTCTTCAGAGACTGTTCTGCGAGACCCATTCGCCCCGAGTTTCTACAAAGATTTGCAAACTTGATTTCCATCTGCATGTTCTCTTTAGGGGAGATGACCAAAGCACGCAGCTTTAGCATTCTTTGCCAGACTTCCACGTTTCTCTGGCAGCCGAGAAGACGCTTTTCCCATGTGTGTCGTAGCGTTTCTTGCTTGACTGGGTTGTTGTTGCTTTGCTTATAGACAATAAGTTCTTCCAGCTCGGCAAGCATTTGTACCCGAACCACAACGGTATAAGCTCTGTTATACGACTCGCTAACCAACGCACTCAATTCCGTATCGAGGCCTTCTCTAACTTTCTGTACGTAGAGAGCGGCTTCTCGGAACTGATTACGGTGCAAAGCAAGGATGGCACCGAAAAATGATCGATCCGGTGTGTTTGGCTTCATAACACTCAAATAGTCGTCCATCAAATCCCATTGTCTCAGTCCCCAAGCGGCGGCCGTAGCCAAAGGAGCAATTGCTCTCTTGACATCGAGGGTTGAGGTATGCCAATGATCCTGAGCTAACGTCGAGAGCGATTCCCATTCTCCCAGCGCATGCAGACATCTCATCTTGCCCATGATTACTTCAACTTTCTCAGTACCGCCGAGCTCTTGCTCACGTTTCTTGTAGAAGTCGAGGGCCTCCTCCCAACGCTCAAGCTTCTCGAACCAGGTCTCGCGCAAGATGATACCGTCCTTAAATGTTTGGGCCTTGCGTAAAATACCAATAGCTGCATCATATTGCTGGAGCTGATTATTGATCTGTATCAGTGCCTCGACAGCTCCACCGGATTGGTCCTGGATAAATTCCAATTCCTTGTAATGCAAAGCCTTGGCCCAAGCATGGCACCTACCAGCTTCACGTCCCAAAACTCGGATATCAATAGGTAGAGCTTTATCGTCGTGCTCCATGAATTCTGCCAGATTAAGCAAGATACCAAGAAGCTCTGGCGGAACCTGGGGTGACTTGATGGCAAGCTCAATGTTCTGGATCAGGTCATCCTGCGACACTATTAGCATTTGTCTGATGGGTCCTTTATATGGTAAACTAACCTGATATGGTTCAAATAGATCATTCCAGCAAGACACGAACGCCGAATTGAACAGCTCCCTTGCAAGCGGGGGATACACGCTTGCTAACGATGCACACGCTCTGAGGGCATGGTTAGGTGACTCAGTCAAAACGGTCAAGCTGATACGTCGCATCCATTCTTGCCAATCCTCCTTTGTAGATTTACCAGCGGCATCCCATGCAGCTTTCAAATGAACTGGATTAGAGTCAAGTTTCTTGTTAGACGGTTCTATAGAGGCACTATCGTCATTTTGATAGCGGTAACGGTCATCGGCGTTGAGGTCTTGTGGAAGGACCTCTCCTTTTTGAAGTTTGGCAACTAAGAGTTCATAGTTCTGGTGCTGGATTTGGTTTGCAGCAAGCACCTTGTTGATCGTTGAGGCAAAGTGAAGATAGTCTTTGCCAAGTTGAAAAATCAGAGCACACAGAGTGTCGAGGGCTGCAATGCGCAACGATGGATCATTACCCCCTAGTACTCTCGCCAATGGATGTATGATTTTGGACGCGTAATCATTCAAATTGACTTGCCGCGAAATCTTGCCAATGGTGTCTATTGCGGATTTTCGAATAAATGAAGGCTGTTGTGGCTTCTCGAAAACACTAACGATGACGGGAATAATGAGGTGCATATATTCCTCCGCACTAGAGCCAAAAATCAGGAATGCGTGTAGAACTCGCTCGGAAGGCAAGCGTCTTGTCGAGGTATCCTTTTCAAGTACACCAAGCATGAGTGGCAAGAGGCCTGCAAGATAGATCTTGAACTCTCCTTCCAGTGACCGTGAAATTGCTTCCACAAGTTGAAGAATATTTGCTTGTAAGCTGGGCGACACATTCCAATACTCCTGCAAGACAGTTACGATATCTGGAAGATAGTTCCTGATATGCTGCTTGACTATGGTTACCAATATGCTTAGGTTACTGAAGTAGGATTCGAGTCTAGTCGAAGGAGAGCTCCGAATAACCGCTAAGAAGGCGGGGATAATTTTGTCCAGGAAGGGAACACACTCCATGTTAAGTGTTCTGAAAATTTGCATGATGGCCTCAACGACCACGGCATGATGCTGAACAAGGGATGGGTCCTTCAGAATTTGGAGCAAAGCATTTATGACGACCGTCGGGAAGTACTCCTTGTTTGAGGGGGTAAGTCCTGTCATCATAAGTGAAATGTCCGTTGTCTGATTCGATTCGAGACGTAGCTGCATCTCGGGCGACCTCTCTTCGACTTGTTGGTGTTTATAGGGATCAAGGGCCCCAAGGATACCCAGAAGTTTGATGGTTTCTTGGCGAAGCGGTCCTCGTTGAGGCTCTGTCCGGATGATACCTTGGAGAATTTCGAGCAGTGAGGGGTAATCTAGGTAAGGCTTGATGACATAGCCGGAATTGCTGGCCAATTGACCCAGGGTTCGCAGGGCAGCTTCACGTTTCGCAGACGAGCTCTGATCTTGCAACGCTTCAATGATGATCGGCATGAGTTTGTCGATATATGGAAGCATATCCTCTCCTCCGACGGTTGCTAGATCACCAATAGCCTTCAAGATTGTCGAAGCAACTGCAGGACTTGGATCTTGGGCTTTTGGGAGTAAAACAGAGATCATCGGGTCCACGTAAGGCTTTATCAATCTTTGGGAGTTCTGCACCAAAAGACTTAATAATTTTGCGCTTTCCTCCTTATTTCTCGCCACATCAGAAAATTCCAGCTCCGTAAGCATTTGAATGAGTACTTTGCGTAAAGAGGGAATTACATATGCTGGGTTGACGTGTGTCAAGCGACCGATGATAGCAATTGCTACTTCTCTTATGGCGAAGACTTCGTCGTGGAGGGCAAAAAACAGAGTTCGAATGTTTTCAGCCTTAGCAAGATGCCGATCGAAGCGCTCGTCTAGAGCCGCAAGTACAGTTCGTCGGATACTTGCGTCAGGATCCGCAACTCCGACAGTAAGCAGTTTCTCGATGACTTCGCTAACAACCTGGATTGCATGATGGCTGGTCTGGTTGACAATTGGGTCTCTGACATACAGTTGGCAACAAGTCAATGCTGCCGCCTCGCGGATATCTGGGTTCTCGTCCTCCACATATTTTATAGCAACATCACGGACGAACTCATTCAACACGTGACCTGAGAAATCGAAGCTGCCTAGAGTGTTCAAGGCAAGCTTAATCTCCGCTTGCCTGTGCTCGTATGCCTGAGGGTCTTTCGAGTCCTTGGGAACAACAGGAGCTGCCGCAATGCTATTTGGAGTAGGTGCGCCTAGAGGTTTGAAAGGTTCGCCACAGAGCACTTTACTCAGCATGTCTAAAAGTCGCTCTTGGATGGTTGATTTTACTGGTGGGATATAGAATGCCATATCCACCAGAGCTTGGGTGAGTTTTGGAGTCAATTCGCAAGCAAAGATGGGATCCAAGAGGGCTTCCATGTATTTGCTGAGAGTCTGGCCAACAGCAACAGCGAGTCTGCTGATACAGTCAAAAACCGGATCTACGGTACCACTTCGTCGTCTGAAAGTTGTCAGCATCCTACTTCAAGCCATGAGAACCTAAGTACTTACGATTTGAGACTCAACCCCTCGCGGACGTATATCAGCACACCGTCTAAATATGGTGCAATTGCGCTCTTGACAGCATTTGCAATGTTTCCGATGGCTAAGAACGCATCATTTCGGTCCTTGTCCTTCTTCAGCATGCCGGAGAGGAAAACCATAAATTTATGGAGGTATGACGAGGCGAACTCCGTAGGTGAGTAATTCGCCAACTCTGGAATCAATAAGACGACAGTTCGGCGGATCTGGTAATCCCGGTGGTCTTTGTGTCGGAACACTATCTCGCAAACCTCTTGGTAGTGTTCATGCATGAACATGCCTCCTTGTTGGAGTAGCTCTTTGATTACAAGCAGTGAGCCATGGATGTATTCAACCGACGCTTGTCTCACCCCTTGGACTGCCTCCTCGTATATCTTTGACTGCCATTGCTGACGCATGTTCTGATCCCTCTCTCTGATGATTTGGAAGCAGGCACTGATAGCCTCGGCTGCTGTCTGTCGGATGAGCAGTCGTTGATCGCGTAGTCCAACCCATATCTGATCAAATATGAGGCTCACAAATCCATATACAAGAGTAGGGGCGTTGCGGGCAAGTTCTCTCAGCACAAGAACTGCACTGTATCGTCGTTCTTCAACACGGTCCGACTGCAGCCACTCCAACGCCGTTTTGATCTCCGCTTCCACGAGATCTGATATAAGTGAGCCTCCAGGTCTACAAATTTTTCCTAGTGCCACAGCAGCCGGTTGCATAGGCACCAGATCTTTCCCTCTCAGTACGGTTCGCAGTGACTGTGTAAATCGGGTTGTCTTCTGTCCCACATCAACGCCATCGAAATCAATGAGCGCGTCGAGCGCATGGATGCCACCAAGACGGTCGGCAGGGTCGTTGCCATGACTTATAAGTTGTGTAATTCGCTGATTCACGAGATTGTATAATTCCTGGAATCGTTCCTGGGGTAGGTCTTGTGTGTCGTCAGAGTTTAGTTCTAATATTGGGAGCCTCGTTCTACTCACCTCTTGAGGAGACTATCACCAGATCTCTCAGTTCTAGAGCAGCTCTCTTGCGTGTCTCATCATTGTTACTACTCTCACCGTCAGTATTTGCGTCCAGGATCCAGGCTAGAGGTTTGAGGGGCATACCGTGAGCGTAAGTCTCCCACAATCCGGTTGAGGGTTTCGTTATTAGTTTGGGCCATCTTGTGCCGTTTTTTCTACCGACTTCCTCTCTACTGTGTGCATGCCATCGTGGTCCATATGCGCCTGTGAAGCGTGTTCTCTGGTGTGGTTATGATATGCGACAGCGTCCGTTGACCAGCTGAGTGAAGCTCGTAAATTGAGCTTCGTGACCCACCCCTGCTAGCTCGGTCTTCGATAAGTCCAGCCAGCTAGCTTATCGGCTGCTTCTACTTTACTCCAGTAAGTATCTTGTTCACAAACAGATTCAATTCTACACAACACAGATCTACACCAAATACCAATTCTACAGCCATGGGTAATGATGGGGGAAGTATTCCCACTCGCCGGGAACTGGTGAAGAACGCAGCGCGCAACCCCAATACCTCAGAATTAAAGGCAACCCAGCAAGAAGCGCAAAGCCATGCCTGGACTTACTGTCCCCTCTCCAACCGCCCTTTAGCAGCCCCCATTGTCTCCGACTGCGCAGGCACATTGTACAATAAAGACGCGGTCCTCGAACAACTTCTCCCCAAGGACGACGACGTCCCAGCATCCATCATCAAAGAAAAAGAAGACGTTCTACAAGGGCGGGTCAAAGGGCTACGAGATGTTGTGGAGGTGAAGTTCACGATTTCGAAGGAGGATAAGGAAGAGAAGAAGATCTGTCCCATTACGAGCAAGGAGCTGGGTCCGAATACCAAATCTGTATATCTTGTTCCGTGCGGACATGCGTTTTCGGAGGTGGCGATTCGAGAAGTTGCAGGAGAGACTTGCGTAGAATGTAACGAGCTATGTACGCCCGAGAACATCATCACGATATTACCCGTCGGAAAGGAAGATGTTGCGAAATTAACAGCAAGAGCGCTGAAGTTGAAGGAACAAGGGCTTACACATTCGCTGAAGAAGGCTCCCGGAAGCAAAAAACGAAAGAAGAACGCTGAAGCAGAGGCGGGTGAGAAGAAACCAGTTGCGAATGGAGGATCGGCTCTAGATGGCCTATCCGAGAAGACCAAGGCTCGATTAGTAGAAAATGGATCAGGGAATCCTCAATCGAGGAGCGGAACTTCCACGCCCGTGGCAAATGGGATTAAGAATGCAGCGACGGCATCCCTAACTGCCAAAGTACTGGAAGAACAAGAAGAGCGAAACAAGAGACGGAAACTGGGACAAAATGAAAATCTGAAGGGTTTGTTCTCAAGTGGTGGGTACAGCGCTCAGGCTCAGAAGTCAGGAGATTTCATGACGAGGGGGTTTTCTTTGCCAAAGCAAAAATGAGGTTCGAAACCAACAATTAGGAAGCATGGTTTTATGGCGTTTGGGCATTTAGACGGCACTAGGTTTCTGTCTCGAGTCATATTGATACACCTTGGCTGAGAATGATGCTACAGCTGTGACATTATTCGTAATACATGTGTACACATCGGTACAGCTATTTGTTTAATCAAGCATTCGCATCTGTGTAGTTTACAACTAGGCTGCCGGCTAAAAACATAAACGCTTTTACGACTCGTCCTCTAAAGCTCATAATTCGTCCTTATTCGCTTTTTCAACCTTAACCTCTTTTTCACAAACCGTTGGAGACCCTACGTCCATCCTATACATGCACTTCTCCTGCTCTTGCACCTTCCAAATCTCATCTTTCTCCGCACACGCCAACACCACCGTGGTTTGTCTATTTGGTCCATTCCAGCACCCCTGTCCATTCTCATACATCAATACGAACCTTTCACCCTGACCAAGTCCCTTCCCATCAGCGCCAACTTCCTCATCAACATACAGTTTGTCGAAACGGACGAAGTTGCCCATGCCGGTATTTCCACCCCCCTTCTTGCTTTTCTGGGTGGTTTTATCCAGCCAGCAGAGCTCGTATTCATACTCGCCTGAATCTTTGGAAACACATGTGTTCTTGAGAGCGCGGAAGATGTCGTCGGCACCGTAATCCTTGCTAAGATCACCCTGGAGGTCACCGAGGGATGATTTCTTGATCCCGAGGTCGTCACTGACAGTATTGTAGCTGTTGCGAGCGTCGGTAACTGCTTTAGATTCGCTGCCCGAGTTGGCATTGTCGGCCAAGATGCCGTTCTCAATTAGCATGATACGAAGATCAGTGATCTTCTGGTGAACCCAGGTGCGGAGCGAGGCTGGAAGATATTCTTCGATTTTGTAGACTATGATTGTCAGTGATGTATTTGAGGCTAGAGACAAGGTGAGACTTACGAGCTTCAACATCACTCTCCTCATCCACTGTCTCCCATTCGGTCCAGTTGATACCCTCAGACTCGCTATCTGGCTTTGAAATGGACTCGATATCACGGTCTTCAGCAGATTCATCTGCATCATTGCCTTTGTTCGCAGCATAGTTTTCCCAGGACTGGACAGCCCGCTTGACACCCTCATCGTTGAAATTAGGGTTATACTCTTCCTTGAACGTCGAAAGGATAGCCTCCAGCTTGGCGACCTTCTCCTTGAGAGCGTCCCTCTTTGACACAACACCGGTAAGAGCATTCCTCAGCTCCTCAACCCTGATCTTTGCCAGTCCAGCCAAAATCGTAACCTTGCTTCCCTTGCCCGGACTCTTAACCACCTTACCCCGCTCCCTCCTCTCAACGTCCTCATAAACTTTCTGTAGCTCCGCCGCCTTAGCCTCTTGAATCTTAATCTCCGCCTCCAGATTCGCAATGGTCTTTTCGACACCAGCCCTCAATTCACCAGCTTCCTTGACAAGCTCATCCTTCTTCTTGAGTGCTGCCCTCGCGCTCTTCTGACGTATCTCATCTAGCTTTCTCCACTCCTTGCCAATCTCCTTACATTTGTCCTCACACTTGGTGCCACCTACGCCTTCCCACTCATCACTGCCATCACAGCAGAGCTCGTAATCGCAGACACCGTCGTTGACGTACATGTGGGGGATATAGCTCGGGATGTGGCCCTTGTTCTTGCAGTAGAAGCCGGGAAGTGCTACACTAGAGTTTTGAGCGGACGAGCCAGTGAGTGGCTGCGGGGGAGAGAGTGTGGAGATGTATGTGCAAGCTGAGGTCCCAGGTTCGTCTGAGCCATCTGGACAGTCACAGTAGTCATCGTTGATTTGGGAGGGCGAGAGAGTGATGGAGGGGTTGGAGATGCATGTGAAGCTGTCTGAAGACTTGTAGAATTTGGCAACTGTAGGGAAAGAAACTTGTCAGTAATGCTTCCAATTAGGGTTGTAGATATGCTGTGGGGGAGCACAAGAATATGAAGGGGTGGTATACATTCTGGACCAACACCTCTTGGTCGTGTGGATCCTGCCGCAAGAATCGAGGTCGTGAGGGTACTGAGAAGTACCAATGCTTCTATTCGCCCCATGATTGAGGTTGTTTGAGATGTGATAGCTGGTCTGAAGTTGAGTTGAAGCTGTTGAACGGAGCTTCATTTGTAGAGATGCCAGCTTGCGGTACCACCTCGGCCACCGTAGTGTATCACTGTACAAGTACAGTAAGTGCGAAACAAGCCCCCTTTCCTTAGACGAATGACCAAAATGTACATAGATTTTTCCTATAGGACTATTTATTCATTACCTAAACTGCGAGGAAATCACTTATGGGCCTGGTGGGCTACAATAAAAGGATTCTTATCCTATTTGGATTCCAAGAATCTGTTGCCCCATTGGAATACTTCGATTGAGCCAGGATAATCAAAGAATCAGTGTCAGACGGTGCATGGTGATCATATGCAGTTGCAGTGACCTCTTGAAGGACCGTCAGAGACAGTTTTCGAGTAGTTGAGTTTCATCCATTGTCGGGTTCGTGATAACTGTGGTTCTCCAGGTTTCTTACCTCTCTACCTGTCCACCAAGCTGATAGATATTTTCATACCTTGAGCATTACCATGGCGACGGCTGATGAGCTTTCCAAGATGCATTCAGCGTTGAAAAAGGTTCAAATGGGCGTCGATTAAAGAGATTCTAGTATGAAAAGCTTTATCCGTTACTCATGATCACTTTGTTTTCCTATCAAATACGCCTCTCTCTCTCTCTCTCGCGCGCGCTCTCTTTCTCTTCAACTTACCTCTTCCGTAATGAGACACCTTGCAAAACCCTCAATCACTCTTAGCGCTCTAACATCCGCTCCAATTCATTCCCTCAGAAGCAATTCAATCATACCTTCTGTGTCTGTGCCTTTCCAATATGCTATAACTGGATTCAAATCCGAGACTTTACACTCTGAATGCGGTCTGCACAAACCAGCAGACGTCTATGTACCCATACACGAAAACTTCGCTCGCCATTGTCAATGAGCTGCTAGTTCTTCAAGTCCTTGTTTAACAGAGTGCAATGACTCGCTTGGATGTTGACAAAATTGGTTTGAAGCGGGAGTTTGAAAAGCTTGAAACTGCAGCTTTCCAGAACAGGATTGTTTGTTGAAGAGTTAGGCTTCCTTCCTTGAGCAAACGTAATACTACCCTCCCCATCAGTATCTGCAAGATCGCTCTCGGATCGCCAGGATGTCCTCCACATCTCAAAAGTAGAGACGATCGATGTCTTCACGGGCTGAGATATATCAGATGCACATACTTTCAACTTGGAACTCTTCGCCTACCCAATACATGCCACCAATAGGTTATGTAGCAACGTGTCCAAGAACTCCCCGTAGATTTCTTGTATTCATGTACAGTACACCAGAAACACCCCTAGCGTCGAACCCCCCTATCCAATCCCTTTCAAATCTCCACTCCATCAAAGCTAAGTAACAACTCCAGGAAAACACAAGAGGGGTAGCCTATTTCACGTGGTACTCGCGTTTGCTCGTGCTCGGGATATGATGGCTCCCTGCATGTAAGTTTCCGATCCGTTGGTACCAAGACCATACAATTTTCGGAGTGTCTATCATACCTTACCTTAGGGATTGATGATCGGGACATATGCATATGCATCATCTCATGGACACGAACGTGCAGCCGCCCGAAAGCGGTCACCGAGTTGGGTCGACACGCAGATGCAGCTTCCCGCAAGGCGCGGGTGCGAGCCTTGCCTTGCCTTGCCTTATCGCGACGTGACTCAGGGCTCGTGATGTCGGGATTAATCGAATCAATTGTATGGCCGATGTGTGACGCGGACTGGTGGCTACCTATGCAAATAGATGATATGATGTCTGAGGTTGCGGGAGGTTGGTTAAACCACGAGATATATATTGTATATACTGGGATTCGAATAGCGCACATGGTAACAATTGGTGAGTTAAGAGGATTGCGAGAGTCATTTTTTCTGACACTTGTTGAGGTCAAGACGACTACGCTCTTGTATTATCTTCTATCAAGCAACACTTTTGCGTTGATGTCACGTGTGATATTCCCCTTTGTAGGTTTTGAGACCGGTTTTGAGAGAATAATCGAGGAATATGGATAAGCTGCACTTCAGGACAGGTCCTGTACTGCTCGACAATTACGAATATTGTCTCCTAGTATAGATGCGCCATATGTCGGGAAGTAGCCAGCCTTGACAATGATGGAGAAATTATGGATACAACCAAGTAAGAAATCCGAGCTTTCCCAATAGACTCGCAAGCGAACAAAGGGGTCCCCTAGATGAATATGGCGACTTTTGAAGTTGCTAATAACCACTTGATCGCTATTCCTCTCTGAACAACTCAGTTACCCAGGCAGGTATGCAATAGAAAGTTACACTTCGCTAGGTTGGACTCGCGATATGCAACCAAACATGAAAGTTTTCTCACTTTGGAGATACATTCACGCCGCCTGAAACCGACCCACGGGACAAGTGAAATTTGTGGGAAGGTCAGAACAAGACGCGGCCTCACACGTAAATAACGCTAGCGTAGTTGCAAGGTGGGACAAGATGGATTCGATTCCCTATCTATAGATGAAGAGAATCCCTTCCGAACAACGGGTAAGTTGCAATACCAGTGAACTTTCACTAGCTCGTGCCGTCACTTTGCGGCCCTTTTGATTAAGCAGCCGTTTCGAACACATGCCAACGTAAAGATTGAAGCGTTTGGAAAACAAGTGAGAAATTAAGTCAATATTTTAGAGACATACAATCTTTGATGAACATGTTTGGGCTTTTCATAGATTGTAAAGAAGCGAGTAGCAAACCTACTCAGTAAGACGCATCCGGGGCATGTCTCCTCTGCCAGGACCGCTTTCCCAAAAACGAAGATTTTGAAAGATTGCGTGCCGATAGAGAAGAAGCAGCTAGGATAAGGTTCAATTACAAGTAAGCTTCGTGCATCAAGTACCAGGCTACATGTCTTGATACTATCATGGTCCAGTTTCTGCTTCAAATCAAGTATTATTCATGACTCGGGAACAAGGGATTAGATGGACTTATGTTCATGACCACCACACGACGACGCGCACATGCAATGGTCTGACGTTGCGTAGAGAGTATAAGAGTCTGGAAGGGTGTTTGAGGTGTGTGTAAACATACGATTGGCCAATCTCGTCCGATTTCTCCGAGTATATATCTCGTACGACCTCTGTCACATCCAGAGCTCTGAACGTAAAGGACCATGGAAAGGAAATAGCCCCCTTTGAGTTTATTTGAGGATTAGCAAGAGGTGACATCTTGTCAGAAACGTCCACACTTTTTTGTGGAGCACATGCATGTCCAGTACCAACGCAGTAAGCGATTGCGGGCCCTGTACTCCGTACTGTACGAATGCTGGGTAAATGAACCCACATCGGTTGATGACTTGAAGGGCAGAGCTGCACGCAACCGAATCAGTCCGCAGAGTAGGTAGGTAAGGTAGATTTTACAAACGCTTTTGGGGTCCTTGGTAGCACTTGCTTGGAGTAAAAGATGTGCACTCCGTTGGAGGATTCGCGTTCTTGTGATCTGGAGATAAAATATTGATTGCTTGGTAAATCGGTAATGATGTCAGAGTTATTTAGCCTTATGCATTCTACCTCCGTACCATGTAAATAATCGGTTCGCGGTCAATGATGTACTGTTTCTGGGCAGATGAGTGAAAAGGGGGGGGGTGAAGGCTTCTCTTCTTCCCGCTACTTCTGTCGGGTCTAAGCCTCGTTACGCGGGGGTCGGTACTGTACCTAAGTACCCCGTAAACAAACTGTAGATTATGCAGGCCGATAAATAACTGATGTTGAGAAACAAAGTCAAGTAAAATGGCTGATGGCTAATTGCGGGGTGGCGGGCTGGCGGGATCGCTTACTCAGAATAGAAGCCGAATTATTCTGCCTGCGCGCAAAGGGAGAGAGAGGAGAGGGTAGGGCGGTGTGGAGAATTAAGAATCTTGGATCCATTGGCCTGAGAGATTTCATCTTTGGAAGAGGATCTCGAAATGTTCTATTGGTGCATTGAAGCTGCAAGACTAGCAGGTATGTATGCATCGAGACGACCGGTGTCAGTAATATCTGCGGCTGACGGCCAGACAACCACCTCGACCTTCTATTTAGGAGGTAGGATGTGCATAAGAAGCTCTCGCGGAGTAGGATCAGGTTGCGAGCGTCGTGGAACAACATCCCATCTTGCGTACCGTACCGTCTTTCGATGGAGCTTATGACGGATGGCAAGTCGCTGATCTGGCATGCCCCGAACTTTATCTTGTGCGATGAGAACCTTACGAGTCAGAGAACCTCGGGTTGAGGTCTAAGCGCCGATTTCTTGAGGACACCTCACTTGAGAAGCCGTGGACTGATCGACTTTATACGGGAGTAATGGGCAAGTTGTTTGATAAGTCTCTTGATGGATGATGCATTTCTCAAAATCATGCCACCTCATCAGCAGGAAATAATATCCACATCCACCCCCCTATTTCTTGCGCCGCCCGACGGCAGTGTAGGCGAGCTGCGAAGTTGTCGACGTCAAGCGAGGCAAGGCTTCAAGGGTTGACGAAATACCGTCCGCACTACTCAGCCAGGTGACGGAGATGATTATTTAGAGAAGCCGGTAGGTGCGGTGCTTAAGCAGTGAGCGCACGATCTTGTACTGTATAGCTGTAGCTTGTAACCTTTAGTGGAAATCCGCGTGGCACTAAACTTGCACCAAGATTTAGAGAAGGCTGCAAAAAAGCGTCGACGTAAATTTTATTGGACCCTTGTTGTAATGCTGACGGGGGATTTCTGTTGGTGGGTACTGGCCGAGACTGGTTGCAGTAGGGACTCTCGGAGCACGAGGCTAACATGCATGTTTGAGGGCAAGCCGGCACAGTAGCCAACAACCAACCGCGCGTGAGTGGAGCAGGAGAAGTGTGGTTGTGGATACTGTACTGTAAAAGCTTGCATGCAGTAGTGTAGATGCATGTGGAGCACGAGCAAGGTTTACCAACTTAGAATTGATTTAGGGGGCCTATAGGGGGGAGGATGGTCCCAAGAATCAAAGATGGTAATGGTAGGCAGTCTTCTCCTTTGTGTATGTATATGGTGGAGTACAAAATCCATCCATGAAGCAAACAAGTGATACAACTCTTAATAAAGAGCCCGTCTTTGCTACCGGTATATGCATCGCGTGTTGATTTCAGGGGACAACAGCCAACAAAGGAAAAGAAAAAGAAAGGAGGAAAAGAAGTCTGTGACTGCAAGTCGCATATCAAAATAGCCTTTCTGCCTTCCCTTACCTTACTCGCCAACCATTGCAACCATCCCTTGGAGCCTTCGTACCGTACGGAGTAATGCTCGAGGCAAGATCCACCATCATTACTACTGTATCTCTTGTAGAAAACCCAAGCTTCCAGCCAATAACATACTCCCGATTATTCTTATATGGATTTCCGACCTCGTGTTCCATTGATTTTGAGGCAATATACATTTCATGACATGCAGTCCCCATAATTTCATCTACCTAAAGTTAGATGCATCATTTGGACCCCTGCCATAGCGCTACAGTACCAGGCCTACCCAACGGCTCTAAATCCTTGGACTGTTCTAAATCTTCCAGTCTTACCCGTATCCATCCCTAAAGCAACCACTCGCGCGCCTCCTTTCTTGAGACCAAGACGATTGACTTACCAAACTGCCCGTAACTTACTCGCCATCCGAAGTCTCCCTCCCTCTCTCTGGCCTGACTCCAGAAAATACATACGTACAGTATTTTGCGAAACTTAAAAGTTGACAGGCCAGGCCGTCCCCAAAACCACCTAGCCATCTACGAATACCGTACTCGACTTGACTTAGCCTCCTGAAACGCCTCTCGGACCACCTTTCTCACCACTCTTTCTCGAGACCTCCCATCCGGCCCTTCCCATCAGTGCCATCCATCCATCACAACACCAAACCAAAAGTCTGAAGATTACTCTCAGCCATAATAACGACCTATACAATAATCGAATATTGAATCATCTACCCTTCGATTTCCACTACAGTACAAAATAGCGGTGTTGCTGCATCCCTTACCGCCTTCAACGCCCCGTTTGTATTTTCTCGGTGGTTGCATCACTCCCACGCCAGCCTGCATTCCGGACGCAAGACCCTGTACCAATAGCAGCCAGCTGCAGCAATTAATCCGTCGCTACGAAGATCAACGTGCAGGAACACAACAAACCGATCCCCTTCCTACCCCTACTCATCCATCCAATACAAACTTCCGGACTCTCGTCGCAAACATCGCCATCGCCCATCCGCCAATTCACGGTAGACTACTATTTTTCCTGTCGCAAAACATCACGACTTTCCCCTCAAATCCCCATGGTTGCCGCCGAGAAACCGTCAACAAACATGCCTTACAACACTCGTCGAAAGTCGTTGTCGTTGCCATCCCTAGGCATCCATCTTCCAGTTACTCACGCCTCCAGAGCGGCCGCACGACTTTCACCGCCTTCTGCCGGCTCAAATGCTGAGAATCCTCCGACCAAAAAATTAAAACGGTCGCATGATGAATCGCCGTCCATGTCGCCTCCCCCAAAGCGAGTAACAGTAAAATACGAAAACACTCCGCCACCGTCGCCAGAAGCAGAGTCGAATGATTTAGAGGAGGAGTCGAAGCCCAAGGAGATTGATTTAGAGGGAATCAACGATGAGATCGTAGAGGGAGTTATTGTTCAGTTACAGAAGACCGGTAATAGGCCTCACTTAGTCAAGGAACTCGCTGCGATCTTGTCGCAAAGCGTCAAAATCGTTGAACAGTAAGTTATTGATGCACTACACGTATTTAAAACTGTTTCTAACGGCTTTTCTAGATCTGCGAATCCTTCAGCTATCATCTCCTCCCGACTTTCGTCATACCTCAAGCGATCATGGTCGGCTTTGGCGCCTTGTCCTGTCGCAAAGGAACTAGAGACAGTGCATCCAAGGAGAACTTATTTCTACCTGACGACTTATCAACATCAACCAATTCCCACTCCTTCGGCCCTCCAATACACACAAAGAGCTATAGTCTCCCCATCTCTGTCGAGCGCAACTTCAAGATCCGATGAAGCCGATGCGGAACGAAGACGAGAATTGTCGCCCTCACCAGAGGTTGACCTTTCATCGCCAGAATTCGATGGCGATGATATGATGGCCCCTCCAACACCCACTGGTTCGTTCCATGGCCGTGTGGAACCACCAGCTCGGAATAATCGTGCATCATCGCCTCCGCTAGAGAAGGACGAAAAGGAGTTTACCCAAACTGCCCGAGGGATGCAGAAGCGACAAATGAGTGGTGACATTCAAATGAGTGGCGTTCCGTCCGACATGGAAGGCCACCCTGTGAAGACCTTGGATGCCGACACTTTATTTGGAGATGGAAAACATCTGAATGTTTCGGGCACTACCACCTTTCTCAGCAGTCCAGCCATGAAGCCTAGTCTCTCGCTCAGCACTCTGAAGAAAGGTATCGAGGACTCGAATGATATGTGGGCCCGTGTTGAAGATACAATGGAATGGGACATGCGAAGTCCAGAATGCGTCGAGCTGGAAGAGTTGGATGGATTGTTGGACGACTTTTAAAAGAAGGGGGTATTCACGACTTTTGATCTGGGATTGCTTATATCTGGACTTCTCCACTTTGCTACATCACTTCTCACCTCTAGAGATTGCGGTCATGTTTTGAGAGATATCTACCGATGAATCTTGTTTGCTTCATTTGCTGTCTTAATACGGAGGAGGCTTGTTGCTATGTGTTGTACGAAATATACGGGAAGACAAAACGGGCAAGAGAAAAGTCAGCGAGCAGGATGAAAAGTAGACGAGATGGAGCACTATCTTTGGCAATGGCAGCTCTGGCTTGCAAGGCGTTTTAGGAGCGTTGATTATCTTGTACATACATAATAGTTGCGGGCGTTGCTATTGATTGGCATTGCTCTTGTGCGCGTTATTTTGAGCGCGATCGAGGACGATTGAGAAACGAAGAATACATATCTCCTATCCTCTCAAACAAACTGTCTTGATTCCTCATCTCATGTGCTCGGAACATTCGGCCTATCGGTCATTCTGACTACATTACGGAGTAAGTGAAGATCTAGTTCAAAAGACCTGACTCGTAGGTTTCACACGAGGGAGCTTGGGCCTCTTTTCAGCCTCGTGCCTTGCATGTTGAATACACGCTAAATGTACTGCCGGTATACTTTTCAGACTGATCAACATCACAGCAAGTACACCAGCGAAAGCCAACCACAAGAAGCATCATCTGCAGCCTTTAAATCCTCAGCGTTTCAGAACAGCCAAGACGGGTACGACTACGATTACGATTACGAAAATCATATAATGTTATGTTACGAAGCGTCAACGCTATTGCCATAAATCAAGTTCAAGTCATCACATCCACAGAGTGAAAATCTGGGTTCCGGGATCGGAATTTGCAGATAAGATGGAGGCATTATATCGCAGGAGTATTCGCAATAGCCTCAATTCTAATCGTGTGTTTCTCTTACGGAGAACTTTTGAGGTCCCACAATGCTGCAGAACAGTTACTACACGTACCCAACACGGGAAAAAACCAGCCAAAAAGCCTCTCAAGCAGCGAAAAGAATTGGAATACAGGTACCCCAATCCACAGCTCAAACCACATGATAATTCTAATTGAACCCAGACCCTCATCCATTAAACGACCTCCACCCCCACGCGCCACGGCCACCCGCCCAATCGTTACCCGCAACCCCCTCCGCTACCGCACAATCCCCATAGTCTTCGGCAGCATAACCCTCTTCGGCCTCTCGGCCTACCTCTTCTACCTAGGGATCACCCTCTCCCGACCATCACCCACCCCCATCCACTCCTCCGCTGCCCTGCAACCCGATGTATCCGCCCGTTACGACGATATAGCGGGGTCCTTTGACGACAAAGTCGAATGGACGGAGACGTTGATGGGGATTAGCAAACGGAGGATGGAGTTGGTGGGTATGGCGAGGGGTGATGTGTTAGAGGTCAGTGTTGGCACGGGGAGGAATTTGGAGGGGTATAAATTTTCGTTTTCGGATAAAAAGGGGAATGGGAAAGGAGAAGTTAAGAGTTTCACAGCTATAGATAAAAGCGGTGAAATGCTCGAGATTGCGCACGAGAAATTCTCGCGGCTATTACCTGGCATTGTGGGCGTGAGATGGGTGATTGGTGATGCTTCTGTGCGGTCAGCGATTCCTGCGCCGCCGAAGAGTGGCGATGAGAGGAGTGGGAATAAGGAGGGGGAGAAATACGATACTGTTGTGCAGACGATGGGGCTCTGTAGTGTGGATGATCCGGTGGCGCTGTTGAGGTGTTTGGGGGATGTGGTTAAGGAGGAGGAGGGCAGGATTCTCCTGTTGGAGCATGGGAGGGGACGGTGGGCGTGGTTGAATGGGGTGCTGGATAAGTTCGCTGAAGCGCATGCACATGAATTCGGGTGCTGGTGGAATAGAGATTTGAAGAAGATTGTGGAGGAGAGTGGATTGGCTGTTGTCGATGCGAAGAGCTGGCACGGTGGGACAACTTGCTGGTTTGAGTTGAAGAAACCGCGGAGTGAGCCTGCCCAGGAGGTAGCGGTTGAAAAGCCGGAGACAAAGACAAAGAAAGGGTGGTGGTGAAATACGCCCTGTTGTCAGAAATATACTTCACGAGCCAGGAGCGTGTTTTACAGATGTTCAAAACTCACAGTCGATCACATAACGCACCTACACAAGCCTTCTCCAGATCATCACGATCCGACGTCTTCACATCAAAGCGCCTTCCGGCTAGAAATGACGCTGCTCGTACAATATACGCCCAAAGATCAACAATAAAACGCAGACTAGATTCGATCTGCCACTGAGCAGTAAGTAGTAGGTCCAGAAACCCTGGAAGAGAAGTCCCATGCCAGGTCCAGTACGTATATAGTATATTTTCCTTTTACAGCTCAGTTGCATCTCCATCTCTGCACTTGATTTTTCTCCTTCTCCCCAACGCGCGCGCGCGCAGAACTCATGAACGCGACTGACTTCCTTGCGTCAACCCTATAACCCATCAACGCACCCCCTCATTTCATAACTACCTATTTACGCCCCACCCACCACACAAACTCGCTTACAGTACTTGTTCTCGTTTCCCCCACCCCCTTTCCTTTCCTTTCCTTTCCTCCTTCACCTCCTCTCATCCACATCCTCGCAAATCGATCCGATGCAGACTCATAATGCGACCCGCTGTCCTTGGTTTGGAAAAGTACGTTAGGTTCTAGCGAAGGCAGTGCTCTCGCTGGCTAGGCAGCATACGTCTTTCTACTATCCCTTCCCTACTTGAAGATGTTGATGACAATGACCAAGAAGGAGTCTGAAAGTGCCAGCCGGTCAGCCTCAATCTCCCAATTTCTATTGTCACTGGCTCATATTTCAGGTTAGTTACGAGGTTTTTACTGTCAAGTTAACCACTTCATTTCATATCACTCATGTTTGCTATTCAGTCAACTCAACCATCCGGTGACTGGCGACATGGTCTGACAATTAATTCCTACTCAAGTTGGACCTTGGCCTAACGAGCAGTTTGAAGGAGCTATCCGAAGTACTCTTCTCAGAACCCTGAGATCATATTGGTACACAATATCAACTTCACTCATTTTCTTTTGACATGATGGCGACCAAATATACCATCCATAGTCCCAATTCCCCACCATTCTTTCTTCGTTAAACAATGCCTCTGTTCACTGCCCTTGTCACCCAGTCACAAAGTGCCTCTTTCACTAAACATTGATCTTTTTGTTCCTTGGACAACACTGATGTCAAAGAAAAACAACAATGCCTATTGTTTGCCAGCTTTATACAAAACTGAGCAGAATTTTAATCAAGGCCCCCTTTAGAATTCACTGGTGCTTATTGTTTTGTCTCGAAAAGGCAATGCTCTAAAAAACAAAACAAAATTGCTTCCTACATAATGGTCAGGCAATCCATCGTTACCACAGCTCGGCCAAACATTTTTATATATGAAACTGTACCACATTCTTAGAAAGGCTTGCAGAAAACTTTTCTTATATTTCAGTCGCCGAAAGTTATATACCATGGGCAAAACATCTGCAACTCCGCACGTTGACAAACACCGATCCGGGCCATCTTATACGGATCTGCACCCTCCGCCCCTCAAACGTCTCTGCGCGGCTGATATGGCGGATCTTGTAAATAATAAGTATGTATCTGGAGAAGTCATAAATACAGTGGTAGACTTATTCAACCCAGGTAATATCCCAATGTCGAGCCCACATGTTTGTCTAGACGCGATATTCTTAAACCAGATCGAGGCATTGTCAAATGACGACGACAGATGGCACGTCGCTACGACAGTACCCAGCAGAGGGCACCCAAAGACCGTCATAATGCCCTTTTGCATTACAAGCGCGCGTGGCGCGAACGGACACTGGATCACCGTGGTTTTGGACATAGAAGATAGACTATGGACAGTCTACGACTCACTCTCTTGGATCAACCACCCGCAACATTTCAACAGAGTTCAAAACCTCATCCAACAATTGCTTGGTTGGTGGGTGGTCCCGGACCTTTTACCTCACTGGCAATACATAGCTAGCGAGGTTCCGCAACAGCATGATGGTGTGAACTGCGGCATTTACACCATCGCGTTTATAATTGGTATGCTGGAGGAAACCATGGTCTACCCTCAACCGCACTATGCAGTGAACGCTCCTGCGCTGAGGCAGCTATTCGTTCGTAGGCTTCAAGGTGTGGAGGCTTAATCGGCTTTGTTTACGTCCGCTAGACTGATACTCGCAGGTACTGCTAGAGTTTTTCCTTGTTCATAATAGATTGCATACTTTATACTTACTTATCGTCTCGGTTCCCCGCCCTCCCTCGTGTGATTCTCAGGGTTCCTGTTATTACGCCGTGAAGATAGTCCAGGTACCACATAGTTCATTTCGCGTTGGTTGAACCAATCTCAAAGTACTTGATAAGTCATTGTTTATTTATAGACACTTTCACTATCAAGGAGGGCTGGCATCTCAACTTGTTATCTTGACCCTCACACCCTCCGAACCATCCTTAGCAATCGCAAAAAACAAATCCCTACAGATCTCAACATCCCCCACATCCGTCTCAAACAACTCCAATACCCCCTCATCCCCTGCCTCGCTATATCCTTTGCCACCAAACGTACTATAAATCGCACCAAGACAAAGATACAGCTCTGCCCACGCTAGATTGATCCCCAGACATATACGCGAGCCGCCCGAAAACGCAGCCATATACTTGTCCAGGCGCCCGCTCTTATCCTCCAGCCACCGCTCCGGTACAAAGGCCTTGGAATCCGGAAATATGGTCTCGTCGTGGTGCAGCATAACGGTCGAGACGCTGACCGCTGTCCCAGCCGGGATCACCCACTAGATCATGGGGAGTTAGTTATTTCCTATCCAAGAAGGTTTCGGGAGTAGAATGAGCTTATGTTTCCAGTTTGGGAAGTATGTAAGGAGTAGTTGGAGTACATAAGACGAAACATGATGGAAGGGGATAGGGTAAAATCAAAGAGCCAGTTTTCCTTACGTCCTTGTACCGAAGCGTAGCGTCTGGACATACGCGAGGCAGGCGTACCGAAGCGCCGTATGAGAGACGCAGGCCTTCTTTAATCACGGCCGTGAGATACGGCAGTTTCTCTAGCTCGGATAATGTGAGCTCTTCGCCCCCGTTGCGGCGCTTGGCGGCACTGAGTTCCTGCTTTATGGCCTGCAGGGTTGGGGGCGAGGAGAGGATGTGGTAGGTTGCTACTGTTAGGGCCCATGCTACCGTGTGACTACCGGCTCCGATGAGGACTATGGCCTCGCTGATGAGGCGCTCGTTGCGCTTCTCGCTGGCAGGGAGGTCGCTTTCGAGGAGCGCGTGGAAGATGGTCTCGCGGTCTGTGGGCGATTTTGAGGAGGCATTTTTTACGTCCTCGATGTCGGCGTTGAAGTTCTGTTGGTTCGGTCAGTCAAGTCAGTATGTGCGTAAAGTAAAGTAAAGTAAAGTAAAGTAAAGTAAAGTAAAGTAAAGTAAAGTAAAGTAAAGTAAAGTAAAGTAAAGTAAAGTAAAGTGTGGGTTCTGACTGACTGACCTCTTTCTGTTGAGCTACGGCTGCGAGGCCGCCGCCGATTAATACGGCAATGGAGTTCGGGAGAGCGAGGAGGGCTTTGGAGAGGAAAGGAAAGTTCCTGTGGATGTTTGTCGCTTTTGCGGAGTCTAGTGAGAGGTTGTGTTGTGCGGGGTCGAAGTGAGGAGCTTCGACTCTATGGGAGGATTTCCCGAAGCAGTACTCCATGATAACATCTAAATAACCAAGTCAGAAACACACAGATACACATTACAGAAATATATGTATATGTATGTATCAGAAATCCATCCTCACCATTAGAAAACGCCGAAAGCGCATGCAGGAAATTAACCGGCGCTTCCGCGTTCTTCAACTTAACAAGCTGGCCTATCAGCGCATCGACTCTCTCCTCCACCACCGGCAGCATGCGCTTCGTATACGCCTTTGAGAAAAACGGACTCAGCGCCGCTCTGCGCTTGCGATGCAAGTCGTGAGGCACCGTGTCTATGAGACTGCCTCCTAGCCCGAGACCGGCAGTGTGCCAGGGGTCGCGCTCGCGCTTGCGGCCTGAGCCGCTGTACAGCGTATCGAAGAACTCGGGGTCGCGTACGGAGAGCTCGTGGGGGTTGATGCGGACGATTGGGCCGTATTGCGCGTGGAGTTCTTCCATTTTAAAGAGGTATTTTCCGCGGAGGATGACGTCGTAGTAGAATTCATACCTAGGTTGGGCTTGTTGAGCAATTTGTAACTTTTTGAGTTGCAGAGAATAGAGATTGGATTGGATCGAAGGTTCTCGGGGGATTTTCCTCTTTCCAGACCCGGCTCCTTTGTGAAGTTTTAGGAAAGTGCCATGGATTCAAGTACGTACCAGTATGTCAGAGCAGCGAGTCTTGGTCCTGGGAATTTGGCAATAGGACTGAAATAAAGTCGCCATATTCCTTGAACGGCTAGGTAACTAAATAACGCAATGACAGGAGCTGCAATGGTATGAAGCCCAATATGAAATGGAAAAATATCAGACATTGTAATTGAAATCGAGGTGGATTAGATTATGATAATGTAACAGGAAAGAGCAGAGGCAGGGTAGCTAGGACAGTCCTCAGTCAAAAGTGACTTCCTTCAGACCACGGGGCTTAATGTGAGGATGAACAAACAAGAAATAATGATGTCAACGGATGGGGATGGATCGATATTTAACACCACCTGAAATAGCTCCCGGCTTCAAGCCAATGCATGAGACCTAGTACAGACCTGTTGCGGGCACCAGTCATTGTGTGGCAGTTTGAGCGTTATTCTCGATCAGCCTAAATCCGATGTCCAGATGTGGAGTAAAGAAAAGAGTCTCCTGGACCCACACATATCATATTCGCCGAGATTTCCCTATCAAGACGTATATTCTAAAAGTGCTTAGGAGTTAAGAAAACTCTAAAGAAGGGTTTACAATAGCTGAGCATAGCAACGGAATTATATGGGGTACAGTAGCGTATTGATATGCTGAAAACTGGGGCGAATCGAACACTCGTTGGGGTTTCCGAATCGTTCTCCCCTTTCGGCTGCTGATCTTCCGAGGTTTAGTGGCCCTAGAACTCCGAGGGCCAATTACTAGAGGATACCGACTACAAGTACACTCACTCTACTTCGAACAGTAATAAAAGACACGTCAAATGTGTTTTACTTCTTCTCGTCTTCGCAAAATGGCCACGCAATCATTCTATGACGTCCCTTTTCGAGTAAGCTGCTTGGTCTGCGCTCTCTTACTGCATGCATCGTTTGTTAAGTTAGTTTCCTTGCAATCAAGCATCAGATTCTCGACCAAGCTTGTAATGACACTCGTTCAAGAAGTATGCGACAGGATCTAGCAATTGCAAATTTCAGGGGACGATATTTTAATGTCATAATACCAGTTTTAAGTGAAGTAAGTTTGCCATCCACTAATCAAATCGCACTGAAAGTATACATAAAGTTTGGTTTCTCACTCGAGATGCACGATCCATAAGAGGCAAAGGCAATAGTTTAGAAAATGCCAACTTTGGCGTGTCATATTATAGAGTTCGCATCCAAAGGGAGACACAGTATATAATACAGCTGAAGAAGGAGAAATATGAGCCAAGTCTGATTTGTACCATTATTCGACATACCACCAAATATTTTCTATTTTCAACACCTTCAAAAATGGAGGGAAGCAAACATATACCGCTGTGGGCCACAATCACCACCAAAATATGCAATTCGCTTGGCACCCACGCAACATAAAGCCATCTCTAAACCGACCTCCCATATAAAGCCGTGTCTCATTCCTCCAAACGCCTACAATGTGGAAAGGTAGTTCCAAATCCCATTTGAGATGTCTCAAGAAGAGACATTTCAGGCGAACAATTCCCCCAAAGCTTCGACCGACATAGGGCTCCCTCCATTTGGTCGTCGCATTTTCCGAGCTCCACCCGCTCCACCCAGCGTTTGAGTTGGCTGTGTACGAGCTCCATTATTCAGTCCAGCATCATCATCACTCTCGTCCGGATTCGCATATAAAGCCGCTTCGTCCAATTCTCGGATGTCCACCGGTCGGTCACGCAACCATGACATTCTCGGCCCGCTCCTCGCTCGCTCTGAGACCTTGAATCCATATATCTTCGGCTCGTACATCTTTCCTTTCCCAAGCCCAGGCCCTAGATTTTGTACGTTCATGCCGTTTATTTTGTCCTTTTCTTCGTCACTAGCTGTTGTTGCCATACTGCGAGCACCGTGCCCCCCTAGCGTATCCATGCCTTTCTTGCTGATATCGTAGTCGGGGAATGTGAGGAGGAAGAGCGCACCAAACGTTCGTCCGAAGAAAGCGCCATCAACAGTTTGAAATCGAGAATTCGGGGGAATGTAGACATCTAAGCAGGAAGGGCAGAAGAGCTTCACAGTATCCTCACCCGGTACATCGGAAAGTCCTACTGGTAATGTTCGGACTCCTTCGCAGTACGTTCGGGGGCATACGCCAAAGTGTCCGAGTTCGTATTTTTCGGACATTTGTTGGATACCTGCTCGAGAGCAGATAAAGCGTTGGTGGATAAGACCGTAGAGCATTTCGGCGGAAGATTCGATGATTGATAAATCGGAGGCCATACGATGGTGTCTTCGATCTGTGGCTACCCTACGAACCTTGTGATCCTCGCCTTCAATAGATTCGTCACCCTCTTCTTCTTCGTCATCTTCATCTTCGTCATCGTCATCTTCTGGCTCGACATCCAAGATCATCTGGGCTGTATGTTAGCAAACGTAGAGACCAAAAGGTTTATTGAAACATACCTCTAACGCTTCCTTATACATAGCCACCTGGGTTTGCAGTCCCGTCAGATTGAAGTCATCTTCTATGAAGTCCTCCGATATCTCTGCAAAGTATTCATGCCCCAGTAAAGAACAAAACGATGAGATCCAAGACTCTGGTGTGCCGGAGGAGGAAGACATCGTGGTTGTGAGGGTCTGGAAGCCGAAAGAGCCTCGAACTCAATGACACCAATGTGCAGCCTGCCCAAAAATCCGATACCAGCACTTTATGCTCCCACTATCTTGCCCGTCTATGTCGATAGCGGTCTCTCGGTGTAATGGAATGACGCCACGGGTTCTCTTCTACTCTGCGACAAACTCAATGTAGCTCGAGTATGTTGGTGAGGGGTCAATGCGGAGAGCCTAATGAGGGCAGATGCTGGTATGAGGGGCCACAGCAGATAGTGCGCGTTGCGCAGGTCTAGATCTTTGCTTAGAGAAGGAGGAGTACAGACTTCGAAGGTCTGGTAAACGTTGGTGTGCTGTTGGGAGAATATTGGGGCTTCGGGATGCTTCTTGTGATATCTTTAGCTGATTACCTGCATTGGTGCGAAAGACGGCGGTTAGATAGTATTTGTCGACAAAGGACGAGGTGGGTAGCACGGCCTACGTGGGCTGGTGAAATAGGCTGAGTATGGTGGACCAGAATCGAGTATCGTCGTTTGGAGGTTGGGAAGGGCGCAAATCAGCAAAGCAAAAGCCTCGTGGTGGGTGATGTTTTGATGCACACAGGGGTGGCAGAGTCGAAACGCGGCGGGGAAAATTATTAAGGGCGGCGTCAAGCACTAGTCACTGGCACGTGATGATGACCCCTTTATCACACGAAAATACTTGATATCTTGGACTGCCTTTACATTTTACTTGACAATCCATCAAAGGTCTGACTTTGAGCGGCTCAATCTCAGTAACTATATACACGAATCAAAATCGTAACGAATGCTAGACTCTACACGCAATGGCGGCAGTCCATACCCATGTTCCTACCCTATAGACCTTTTGTTGAATTGAAACCCCCTTTATCACCAGGCAAGAACGGTCTCCATTTCTTCGCGGGATCCGCCCCTTGTAAGCAATCCCTTCTGTACTCTGACGTTGACGTGACGTTCCGGGATATAAAACTTATACGCTCTCAGTTGCACCCTGTTCTCTTCTGGAACAACCCAGCCTTTTCCCGCATTTGTGGGTGCTTTCCCCTTTCCTTTATCCTTACGCGGGATCTGCTGCCTCAGATTGGACGGTTTTCCACGATGAACCAGAACATCGCCACCGCTACTAGATGCAAACTCGTCCATCCGAGATCCTTGGTGGACACTTTCAGTGACCGTTGTTCCCGCTTCGGAAAACCCTGAAGACCCCGTATTCGCTCCAAAGAATGGTGTGTCTGGATTGCTGTATTGGTAGCCTATTGAATGTGCCTTCCACAAACCAGGCATGCTCGAGTTCCTAAGGGGAAGTTGAGGGGTCACAAGACCAGCTTCCTCGGAATTTAAGATCCAAAGGCCCATCCTTGCGCATATCACACTATCCCACATTCCTTCTTGTCTTGGATTTGACCAGAGCAAGTCTACAGCTTCTCGCCTTGTGACTGGATCTCGGCATTTCGTTGCGACGAGGTGAAGCGCGGGAATGACACCAATTTCGAAACTAAAACGCGGATTCCGAGGCAGTTGAGTCTGTTCTTGCGACGAGAGCAATAGCGCACAGGTACGCACTATGTATTGAAAGTCCGAAAGTGCTGCATCGAAAACCATCTCAGAATCTCGAAGCACGCGCCTCAATAGTATGGAAACGCATTTCTGGGCCAACGATATGACAAGAGCAGCAGAATTGCTCACTATGCCGTCAAGCTGGATAGCACCGTCAAGAATAGGTTGAAAGGTAGTCTCGAAAGCCGAGAGCTGTTTCTGCCAAGATGTATGCTGGCGTGCTATTGAAGAAGGGGAGTCGCGAGAAGCAGGAGAGTAGGCCCGATCGAACAGAGTACGGCGACAAAATTGCAGAGCGCGGTCCATGAGAGTATCCCAGCATCGATGGGCAGAGTGGAAGTCTTGGAAAAAGACAGGGACTGGGATATGGTGGACTTTGTCGACGTCCCAAATCAGGGGTGGAATTCCGGGGTTGTTACCAAAGAAAAGGCAATATCCATCGACCCTCACGAACGTCTGAACGAGAATGTCTTCAATCTTTACGTTACTTTGCAGGAGTAGTGGCGTAGGTGTGGTTCTTGTACTAGTTGGTCGTTTCCTGCTTGATGATGGTATTGGAGATGGAGGTGCCTGGAGCCCGCTTGGTGGAGATGAAGCCACAGAGGATGACCCGCTCGACAAGGTCTGTTGAATGGAAAGACTTGTCAAGTCAGGTTGATCTAGAGGCTGCAAAGTAACATTTGACGCGTAGCTGGATGGCACGTCCAGATGGTGATCCTGGGCATGCATAGACAATGCCCGTTGTATCTGCGGTCTAAAGTCGATACTTGTCTCCATTGCGTCAGCACTCAGATGACTCGCCTCGAAAGGAGGCATTTCTCTTGGCTCGGAGGAAGCACGCTCCGGTGAAGGGCCCTCGATTTCTATAACTGGTCCGGAGCTCGTCGTCGAATCAAGATATTCCTCTACATGCGAAACGATAATCCTGTCCTGTGTGTCAATTCCAAATCCAACCTGAAGGTCCAAAATCTTTGACAAAGCCTCGGACATAGGTCTGCTATTTTGGCTTGTAGATCGTCGGAGCTGGGCTGCAGCCCGAGACCCTGACTTGCCGGTGTAGTAGCTTTGGAGCATTTTGAGGCCTCCATAGACTTGCTGCTGGGCGGATGAAAAGCTTCCCTGAAATTGCTCGAAGCAGATAAACAGCAGACAGGTAATGAGCGCATTTCGAAGCTGAGGAGAGTTTGACGAGGAGATGTATTGATTCAAAGCCTGGATTGCCTTGAGGTGTTGAAGAACTGCCTGTTCATGATGCTTCTTATCAATATCCTGGATGATGTTGACTTTGAGATGAGATCTAGGCGCGTTATCCAGGCTCTTCCTCAGAGCTCCAAGAGCTATTATGGCATGGCGAATGGATGTCACATTGTGGCTCTCTTGCAGAATGAGTTGGGTCCAGAAGTTGCTGCTGATCGTCCCCTCAAAGAAGCCGGGGAGTTCATGCGCCATGTGTTCAGCAAAGACTTGGAAGTATCGGCTTTCCTCTTCTGTCTCGTGGGTAGACACGCTGGGAGTGTATTGGCCCACGGATGGAATTCGGGGTCGGAGTTGAAGTAGACCGCGGGACTGTTGAGGTTCAGTGGCATATCCATCACAGCCTATGCCAAATTTTTGGCATCGGACACAATGCGGTTTTGTCTCGTCGCATTTTACTCTTCTAGCCTGAACAATCAGTCAGTAAAATTCTAGGAGTATATGCGTAGCTCATAGATTCAATGTTTTGGGGAGTCAAACTTTGCAAGTGATGCATCCAGATCTAACCTTGGGCTTGCTTGCCCTTGCCTTCTTTGATGCTCTTCCATCGTCTTCAGTGGATGGGCGTCGATATAATTCCGTGGGTGTTTCCTGGGATAACGAGGGGTCGTATTGATCTGAAAACTCGGCATTGTCCATCTTTGGCGTTGCGTTGAAATGAACGGTGGTAAGTCAGACTCTATCAAAGACGTAGTAAAGACTCAATACGCAGGAAACTTGCTTGGAGGAAAGTATAGCACTGCATCAAAAGAACAAAAGTAAATTCGATGCGAGTAGAGTTCCCAGAATGAACACACAAGTGAAATAATACTTGAGGATATCATGATTGTCAACTGCCAAGTCGAGATACATATATACCCAAATATTCAAGTGAGCGCAAGTCAGGATATGTTCAAAATCCATCTCACAGGGATCATCGAACTCTGGCGGCTATGAGTGCCGCGCTCGTGAGGCACGTTCGTTAGGGGAGGTGTATGTAGAGGTGGTATATCTGACTTAGTTCGACACCCTTGTAGCCATTTAGACGCACAGAGCATTCTGCGACTTACACACCGTGCCATCTGGCTCAGTTTCAGAGGAAACGTGAGAGAAAAGCAGCCTTGCGACTTTTGCAGAATCCCGGACGTCAGGCTGTGCAAACCAAGCACGGACGCATCCCAGAGGTAAGCAAAGATGCCGTTTGTGGAAGAGATGTGGCTGGGTAAGCTAGCTACCCCTGCTAGCTGTCTACATTCGCGTAGCTGCCGCTGGTGCATATCAGCCCTATCCTATCCATTCTCAACTGAATTGTGGCGTAACGAATGGGTCCTTCGTGCCATCTTTTTCGTCCCTACCAAGTAAATGTCCTTAATTGTTTTGCTTAACTCCTGTAGTGTTTTACTTTATGGCCTTCCCTATGAAAGGATTGCCAATATCAAATCCTTGAGTTTGCTGGATATGAAAAGCAGCACTTACTCCCACTAACATATCATAAGTTAGTGCCGCTTTTCTGTCTACCTTGCGCGCAAGGCTTCTTCTTTTGATAGAGACGGCCGTAAAACACCATAGGAGCTACTCAATTCCGATACTATCTACTAAATTGACTAGTAACACTCTATAATCATATATTCTGAGCTTAAATTTAGGTCCCAACTATAAAAGTCATACTTGGTAGTTATATTCCTTGCATTTTTTAGGATCTATACAAGGGTAGAGAGCCAATTATACATGTTTGCCGAATTCTATCTTCCTACGCCAAGTGTGTAGGTAGTAGGGATTTGTCAGATTAGGGCTGAAAGCGAGAACAGCGGCAGGCATTATCAGATGGCCCCCAACTTGGAGCGGCATGGTTACAGATCTAGACAAGCAAGTGAGATGAGATGAACCAATGAATGAATGCACTTGCAGATTCAGGTTTGGGCGCAGAAGTATGGAATATGTGGTTTCCCGAATTATAATGCTTTGCCATCATAACAATCAACTAGTTCTCGGGGCTGTCGACTTCCAAGTCCCAAAAGGTTTTGGTAGGGGCAGACAGGGGCAGCCGATTGAGGGCAGATGATTGGATGTTAGAACGACGACATAGAAGATCCACTTCCCCTTTCCCAAGCGAAGCGCTAGCCTTGAAAGTATGCATACTCCGTGTTCTCATCTTGTCTTTGGGATGTACAATCAACTAGCTCGACTTACTCGCAGAGCACAGCATACATAGACAATGCATGTTCTGTCACTTTGAACAACCAGTCATATCTTTTTGCCAGGTTTCCTATAGTATTTCCTCTCAAGCTCTGCGGCTGTGGAAGATAAGCACATACTTTATCCCTGCACAGGCGATGGAAGATTTCCGGCGAGACCGTGCGTGCCCTACCCTTCCCTGCTTGTGCATCATGCAGCGTGCATCCTGGGTCCGTAGGGCTCAGGAATGCAAAGGTTTCGACGGAGTAGATTGGTAGGAATCCGACAAACACGTATCCTGCACAAATAATAAGCTCCACCAGCTCCTAGAAAACTTACCATTAGATTGCAGACAGATAATCCATTCGTCGCATTATTCCTGTAGATGAACTAACTCTCTGAGCTCAATCAATGGCAAGCAAATGAAGATTTGTAGTGCGGCACAATCAGTACTACCTATGAAGCGGCAGTTTTGAGGTTCTTCCTACGGAGCATAGGGCGGAGCTAGACAAGGGTCGTAAGGCTGAGCGCGCTTCTCCTCGCTCGATGCAGCGAGTCGTTCCTACGGCTCGATGATATGAGATGCTTAATGTCAGTCTCAGTCCACAATTGGCCATATGTACGACTATAGAGGAATCATTTTAAATGTTGAACGGTAAATTTAACCAAGAGGATTAAGGCTAAGTATATCTTGAACTTTTCTAGTACTCTGGAATTTACCTCTATTGGCTCTAAGTTTGTGACAGATAGGTACACTTTTAAATGGGCTTTGCGTGCGTTTCAAACCCAGTTATCACCTCCCTAGCTTGAAGGTTTTTTTTGCACGGTAGCAAAAGTTGTTCTGTGGCAAAATTGACATTCGAACTAGGGGGGGTGTACGATGTCTTAGAGCTTTTACAAAGAGAAATAGTTTGTCACCTTATTCTCCTGACGATCAGCCTTTAAACAATCCATAAAGATTCAGAGGACAATAGCATCTGCGAATTTTCGGAAGAAGAATCTGAAGAAAACTCCTTCTAGGCAACAGAATATCTATCAATGTACTTGTTTTAGAACGGAGGTACCGGTAAATGAATTAGGGTTACATTTCAGAATTTCCCAGTCCCATGGGATGGTAAAAGTAACTAACTATAGTAAGGCTCTAAGACCCATCCTAGCGGATCCGATTTCTAATACTTGTAAAAGCACGCCTTTATCTGCAACATTGAGTTTCAAAGCCAGAGAGTTTAGACAATAGATCTGATTGGAATAAAGCCGCGCGCTTACTATAGAAGGATATGACTTGCAGAAGTGGAGTCCCTAGAGTAGATCATTATGTGGGGAAAGGCAGATTTTGAACGGAACATGGGTAAAGATGCTTCAATTGGGGAGTGAGGGGAGGGGAACAGGCTTCCACTTAATTCTCCTTGGAAGAGAGATGCTGGTCGAGGTGAAAACACCATAGTGGACCGTGCGGTATAAATAACCCTGCTATGCAAAGAAAGCAAAGACCAGGCCTCAGCCACGTGCTAAACCCAGACGGAACACTAATTTCTCTCTAGCCACACTTGATCAATCCCAATGCAATAATGCGGCGAAAGCGTGTATGAGGGGCCAATGACAAAGATGACATCGTCTAAAGATGAAGCTCCCTCCTTTCATCTAATTTTGTGAAAGGGCACAGCCACCATAGCCACAGCTTTAACGACAGTTTTAACAGTTGACCAATTGTAAACTTGTCTCGCAAAATAAACGTTCACACCCAGAGCAAAAGTAAGAAAGAAAGCCACACATGGCAAGCCACAAGTGGCTGTCAGCCTCGTGAGCACTAGCCACATCCACATTTTTTCCAGTCCAAGATGGTTCAATGATCCCATCCCGAATCCTACAGGCAAGGCATACAGAAAATTTGGAGCTTCATACCTAATCATGATGAACTTGTTGCCTTGCGCTTGGTGGATTTACGATTAGCGTCAAGTAAGTGAGGAGAGATGAAACACGAGTGAAATAATTATGTTGATTTCAAACAAGTTGGGTGAAGATTCGCAATCGCTGACAAAAAGCACCTGCGGGCACAAGGCAAGGCCGGAAGCTAGGTAATAGCTGGCTGTAGTTCAGCCTTGCCCTTGCACAAGACCCCGCGCTTCGTTCGTCACCTCCTCCTCCTCACAAGTCTCTTTCTCTTCTCATCTTAATTTTCTTTCAGTAAATGATAACCTCTCTAACCATCTCATCTCTAACCTGACATCACTCAAAATCCCGACCATGGGCTCTCATTACATATATCCGTCACCCCTAGCAGGCTACGAAGACGCCCCACCACTACCGGACGAGAAGGCTGCAGATGGCAAGTCATATGTCAACCCCTCGACAGGCGTCCTGAGTGAGAGTTATAAGAAGTTCACGGAGCCGTTGGATAATGGTGTGAGGGGTGCTTTGTAAGCTTCTCTATATTTCTCCCAGATGAATGATAAAGTTGAAAGCTGTTTTGAAGAGAGGATGGGAAGAAAGAAGCTGACTTGAGATGAAGTGATGTACACATATATTACTTCCAGAAAAATGAAATGCAGAAGAAGTTCGCGGCTGAACTTTGGGAGAGGATTCGACGTGATTGTATTTGTTGTTTCGATTCTCCCTTGTCCCCTTTTCACTTCTACTATCACTTCTATCCCTACTATCACTTCCCTCATCCCCCTTCATTCCCCATCCCCCACACCCCACTAACCAGTCTCCCCCCACAGTCCCCGAACTCCGCATCTACCGCCTCTGGGACACGCCCATCGGCCCGCACCCAACGGCCATGTTCGAAGTAAATCTATTCACGCCCGCGCAATTCGGGGCGTTCATACCCTGGCTCGTGATCAACCGGGGTCCGCTCAGTGCATTGGTGCATCCGAATACTGTTAACGCCGAGACGGGCGAGCATGATGAAGGGGAGAGGTATGTTTCTAAAAAGTTCTTTCTGTTTTTCATATATAAGATCCGAAGCTCTGTGATAATGATGACATTTGGGGGAGGAGTTTATATCTGTGCTGATGAGGGAATTGTAGGGATCATACGCAGAGGGCGGTGTGGATGGGAGAGAGAATGCCGTTGGATTTGAGTTTGTTCAAGGATGTGCAGGCGATGAAGGCTCTTCGGGAGAGTAAGTTGAAGCAAAAGAACGGAGAATAAGAGGTTGGTGGTAGCGGATGAAAGGGCTGTTGGTGATGGATTGAGAAGAAATGCTTTGAGCTATGAAACCATAAAAGCATACTGTGCTTTCTTGTTGCAACTCCGACGAAGCTTCGCTTGGCCTCATTCTAAGCCCATGACTCTAGGAAGTGACTGTAGCTAGTATGTTCCAGGACTTCCGAAGCAGCCAAAGCTACGCCCATCTTATTTCCAAGAACACTGCACGATTTCGATATACTTTGTTCAACGAAACCACCAGTTTACCGATGCTGTCACGGCTGGCCCTACACTCTTAATACTATGCCACCAGCCCTTCGGAATAAACAACGCTTCACCAGGCCCAACATCAACCTCAAAACCCTCCATCCTCGCATTCGCACTCCACACATCCTCATCCAACACATCCCTCTCCGGCCCCTCCATCATCTCCTCCCCCCTGAACACCCCCTCTGCCCTCCTTCCAATCTTCCCCTGCACGCTCCTAAAAATCCCCACCCCAATCCCCGGCGTAAAAAGCCTGACCCGCTTCCAGCCCGCCAACTGAACAAACAGATTCGGGTTCGGGTCTTTATGCAACGGTGTATATGTAGGGGGGATGCCCATCCATACATTCGCATCATACACATCCCCTCTCCCCGCCTCCCGCACAATTCGCGGCACCGGCAAATCATCCCGCATCTGCGCTGGCAGATCGGCGATTTGCGCTTGTGCGATGTAGAGGCGGTCGCGAGGACAAAGCGAGGTTTTGTAGGCGTGGAGGAAGAGCGATAGTGGCGCGTTGAAGCGGTGGAAAGTCGCGTCTGGCGAGTGTGCTAGCAGCGAGGCTATGACCTGGCTTACTTCATCCTGGGCGTTGCCAATTTTCGGTGGCTGTGGGGGATAGTTGGGATTGGGGTTTTGGGGGAGGATGAATTCGTAGGGTAGAATTGTGTCTGCGAATTGGGAGAGGTATTCTTGCGATGGGACGACTAGGTTTGCACCTGGTGGGCTAGGGATACCGGGTTGGATGAGTGAGGAGGCTTGAGAGAACCATTTTTGCTGTGCTGGGAGGAGAGACTGGGCTGTTTTTTTTCGCGGTGAGTCTCTGTCCTGTATTATGCGAATCGGCTTTTCTGGAACGAAAGCCCGTTGGCGGAATTGCTCGAGGGGGACGTTGTCGGTATCGCAGTAAAGGGTATCGATCTGCGGGGCATTGGAGATAATGGAGGCGGCATGGTGGTGTATGGATCTTAATGCCTTGGTAAAATGCGTGGTCGTCTTGAGCATGACTCCCAGAGTATTCGGGGGAGGGAGACTAAGTTATAACAGAGAAGACATGGATTACAGTCGAGCTTCTGAAGCTTCGCTTGGTGGCGGCGGGTGTGGCGACACGCTCCCTGGTGCTGTTGGTGCCCCGTTGGCTGCTTACTGTACGGTACCCTACTTTAGAGCAAAGACTTATTAAACGTCGATCGGGGAAGGTTTATGAGTTACTCGTTCAACAATCCCAATCCGAGTATAGCGCGTGTATGTATCAGCTGAACTACGGAAGCGTTTGGCCGGGCCTGGGTATGACAGCGGATTCTGCGGCAGTAGAACTAGAATGCCCATGTCGATTAATGTGCATGCAACTGTACTGTACATACGAAGTAATGGTTGCCTCAAAGGAACCTTTCTCAGAAGGTTTCAAGGGCAGTTCATTGTTTACGAATATGAGTAGGTATCTGTCATTTCTTTGGATCAAGTCCAGTCAATCCTCTGAAGGACGTTGACATTGCAGCTGTGCTAGCTATTAGCCTTCCTCGTCTCCTCATACCATACGGTGTACTGTACCTCGAGTACCTACGCCTCGGTACAAGGATATTGTCCGGGGTCCCCCCGCTTGACATGGGCTATTTACGGAGTACCTAGGTAGCACTAGGCTAGGATGAGGTATCCCTTCTCCTCTCCCCAGGAATATGTATAGCTGCCTATTCTTCTTTCTAAATTCCACTCCATTCCTCCCCTCAACTTTTCTCATAGTCGGCGGCTCGTTAAGATGGTCGGACAGAGAATACGGAAAGATAATGGCTACGATGCCAGCAGTTACACATACTACCCAGTCGCCATTGTTGGTGCAGGGGAATCAGGCATTGCTATGGGCTGTCGATTGAAGGAAGAGCTCGGATTCGACCAATTCAGAATCTTCGACAGGCAGTCTGGAATTGGAGGAACCTGGTGGATCAACAGATATCCAGGTGTTGCTTGCGATGTGTACTCCACCACCTACTTGTACATCCTCAGATTGTCTACTAATTAATCCTCCATATAGCCCCGCGATCTTCTATTCGTTTTCATTCTCACCAAATCCCGACTGGACGACTTTTCACCCCAGCGGTCCTGAGATTGTCAAATATCTCCAAGGTGTTTGTGAGAAGTATGAGATCATCGACAAGATCCAGCTCAATTCAGACATCAGGGAATGCAAATGGCTGGAATCGGAGCAGGTCTGGGAGGTGACACTACAGACCTTGACCGCTGGAGTAGGAGACCTCAGCGAATACGACCGAGCTCAAAAGATTGCAAGTGATGGCCCACTATCCGTCTATGTCATAGAGGAGAAAATTCGAGCCAAGGTACTCATCAGTTGCGTCGGCGGTCTAGTAGAGCCTAAGATATGGCCAGAGAATGTTCCGGGACAAGATACGTTCAAGGGAGAAATCTTCCATTCGGCAAGGTGGAGATATGACATAGATCTCAAGGACAAAGATGTCGTTGTTATCGGAACTGGTTGCAGTGCAGCTCAATTCGTTCCTCGTCTCACTAAAGATTACGGCGCTAAATCAGTAACACAACTAAGTAAGATACTCGAGATTGCTTTCATTCATATTTCAAACTTATGGGGGCGCTCTGAGACAATTTCTCATTGGTCGAGCTCGAGGCTCCAGACATTTCCAAAATGTCCTACAACCATGAATAGTGCTGAACTGCTCTAACCACCTTGAAGAAGTAACGCTAACATTTATCTGCAGTGCGCTCACCTCCATGGGTAGTCCCACGAGCCCTCCCGCCAGGAGGCCTAGAATGGTGGGAGAAATGGGCACCCTGGCTCAACAACAACCTCCCCGGCTTCAGCAAAACCCTACGCTTCATCATGGCCACCGGCGCAGAATACGACTGGCGTCTCTTTGGCTCCGAAGACTACCACGCCAAAGAACGCGCAAAACTGGAAGCTAAACTCCTCAAGCACATGAAAGCATCCGTCCCCGAGAAGTATCACGAGATCCTCACGCCTGACTACGGTGTGGGCTGCAAGAGACGTATCTTCGACGCTACATGGTTTCCCGGGCTCAAAGACCCGAGAATCGAACTCACCACCCTCCCTCTAACATCCGTCTCCTCGAACTCCGTGACCATCGGCCCAGCCAAACAGCAAGACTCGGCACCAGAAGAAGCCGAATCCACAACGCTCCCAGCCGATATCATCATCCTCGCCAACGGCTTCCAAACCACGCAATGGCTGCACCCGCTCTCGATAGTCGGACGCGGTGGCAAGAACATCCACGACGTGTGGCAGGAGCGAGGGGGCCCGCAGATGTACATGGGCGTAGCCATGGACGGGTTCCCGAACTTCTTCACCATCTTCGGGCCGAACACCGCGACGGGCCACTCCTCCGTGATCCTCGCTTCGGAAAACATGGTGAACCTGACTCTCAAGTTCGTTAAACCGCTGTTAGAGGGCGCGGTGGAGCGTGTGGAGGTTAAGAAGGAGGCGGAGGTGGAGTGGGCGCGGGATATTCAGGGGGCGTTGAAGAAGAGGGTTTGGAATACCGGGGGGTGTCGGAGTTGGTACCAGACGGAGAGCGGGTGGAATTCGACTGTTTATCCGTATGTGCTCCCCTCCCCTCCCCTCTCCCACCACCCTTCATTCTCAAACATCTTGTCGCACGTGGTGACATGTATACTTACTATATATAGATACTCGCAACTCAACTTCACACTCCGCTGTATGTTCCCCACCTGGAAAGACTGGGACATCACATACACGCGCCGCGGCCTAGCCATCAAACGCGTAAAAACACTGACGAAATCCCTCGCGGTCATTGCTGCTCTACTTTGGGTCTACAGGCTCCAAAGGAATGGGCAGAGTGTGAGGTTGGTGCTGAGGGGTATGGTGAGGGGCGTTTCGCAGGGGGTTGGGAGGTTTTTGCTGGGGCTTGAGGGGAGGGTTTAGGAAGGCGTATGCAGTAGATGGGGAGATGAGATATGGTATAGAGTAGATGGATGTTCTATTTTTACATAACCAGGGTTGGTATATATTAACTGTAGTGTAGTAATGTATGTCCTTTTAATTGTTGCTTGAAATATGCTGTCTGTTTTTCATCATCTAGGATTTCACAATTTGAGCTTTGTTACTTTCAAATAAAGGGATAACATATCATCATCACTAGTCCGAAATCAAGATGATCAAAAACGCTTCTTAAATTTTTCCTATCCCATTCTATCCATCCCATTCCGTGTATGTATTAATCAATTAATCATCTAGTATTGCATCCATCCATCACCACTGCTTAACCCAACAACCATTCAACCCATGAGTTCCTTCAAACTCTCCACCGTCGCCTCCTGCAAATTCAACCCCGCCCGCACCCGTTCATTCTTCGGCTTAGTCTTATCCCCCCACATCGGCTGCGCCTCCCTATAACTCATAACCAACTGTCCGCCGCCCTTAAGCAAGTCCTCGAAGAGCGTCTTGCGCATCACCGCCATCTGGCCGCCCATGTTTTTCAGGAGCTCGTTTACCATTACGAGTGCGTTTTCGCGGTCGAGACGCGCCATTTCTGCGGCTTGGGCGTGTGGTTGCGGTTTTGGGGGGGTGGGGGAGTCGAGGGGGAAAGTGGTGGGGGGAAGATGCTGAGGCTGATGCGGAGGCGGAGGGAGAAGTGGAGCTAGCTGCGGGGGAGACAGGTGTGGATGCGGAGGTAGGTGCAGAAGGGGAGGGAGATTTATAATCGACGATGTTCTTACCCGTGAGGAGTTCGACGAGGGGTTGAAAGACGGAGACGTCCTGCATCATATCGCTGATACACTGCGCGCCGTCGGGGAAATGCGCCATGAGCGCGAATACGAACCAGCCTTCCGAGCGCACGACGGGCCACTTGGTCTGCGACACCATGAAGGCGAGAGGCCGACCAACGTCCGGGTGCATGGTGAAGAAATTGCGGCGCACGCGCGTCATGATGTCGGGGTTCGTGAAGGAGTGCGTATTGAAGGTGCGGCAGACTGCTGTGATGAGCCGCGAGATCTCCATCTTGACCGGCTCGATGTCCGTGCGGTCGAAGAGCGCGATGAGGAGCGAGAGGTTGGAGCGCTGGTACGCGGGCGAGTCTTCGTCTTTGGAGAGGCGTCGACATACGCGCCGTACGTTTTCAAAGGTCCGGTCGATGAGGAGGCGCGCGAGGGAGATGGAGGAGTGTTGTACGGGTTGCAGGGTGTCCATTAGCCAGAGGCGGGGGAAGCCGGCCCAGATTTCGTCGGTGCCGATGAGCTCTTTGTTTTCGGCGGGCTGGGCGAGGTTTTTGAGGAAGCCGATGGCGGAGTGTAGGAGTTGTGAGTCATTGGTTTCGGTGATGATGGAGGTGAGGGGGCGGTGCACTTGCGAGGTGTGCACGAATTCTATGCATGCTTCTTTGGAGCGGGCTAGATTTCCAAGCATAATGCATGCGCAGACTTGGAGTTGGAGTTGCGGGCTTGAGAGCCAGCGGCGTAGCGAACTGGTGACCGGCGAGATAACCGGGTATGCTTCTACGAATTCTGGTAAGACCGAGACGTCTGCAAATACTTGATTGAGACTGCTGCGCATTTCTGATAGGGCTCTTGCTTCGTCTTGATCCGGTGACGAGGTACCGATTGAGGGAGCAGAATCGAATCGGGTATACGAATCGACTAGGACCGATAGACTTGTATCTATGCCTCCTTGCGCTACCAAAGCCTTTTGGAATTTCTCGTGCTTCATATATGCCACCGCTGTTTTGACAAGAGCCACGTAGTCATCCATATCACATGGTGATTCTCTATCAACTGCAATCTGAAAGAGGACCATCACCAAGTGTTCAGGAGCGTTTGCTGGTTCAGCAGCTGGTCATCTATTAGTTGAGTTTCACGGGGGAGGGGGGTGGGATTTCCATCACTTACGTTGCGTGACTATAAGATTAAGTATTCTGCAGATGTATACGAGAAATGCTCTGCATTCGTTCAAGGCGGGACCTGAGATGAGCTCGATGAGTTCTTTGGAGAGAAATGAATTCGAAGCCTGGAGTTGAGCAGGGTCTAGGGAAGTCAGCACGCTATTCTTCGCGTCTGCTTGAAGATAGATAGCTTACCAAAGTCCATGCAAATGTTGTACAAAACTGGTATCGCAAAAGGCAGCAAAGAGGTATCTTTTAATTGAAGAATTATTGAAGGTAAATAGTTTGATGCAACAACGCGGCCACGATTCTCATCTACTGAATTTAGTCTCGGCAGTTGGGGGTGATATGAGGACTTACCTTTGTCCGCACAGGAGTTTCCAATGAGGCGTAGAATATGGATTTTCAAGGCATGTCTGAGGGTATGTGCCCTTAATATTTCAAGAAAGAAATTTAAGATGCCGGAATCTCCCAATGGTATTCTCCATTTTGCTGGGAATATTAGAGAGATGCTTGGACGGTGTTGAAGTTTAGAGGAAGTGCCATATCACAACAACCGTAGTACAAGATATCAATTTCTTTGGTGTAAAAGTGAAAGCGATAGTGAAAGCGAAGCAAAGATAGGTGATAAACGTGGAAGAAACATTTTCAAGGGTTGTTGAACTTACTTTCTCGACTCCTATCCGCCAACTTCTCCGCAGCCAAATCAATCTTCTCGGAACCAGACCACCACAACTGAGCCAGCGGCGAAAGACCCATCTTCAACTTCTCCATCCTCCTCTGCTGATCTTCAAGATCTACCTCTTCCTCAACATCTTCCTCATCCTCCGCCATCACCTGATCCTCATTCTCATCCTCCGGCTCCGAGTCAAAAATATCCTGAATCTGCTTCAACATAGCGAGCATAGCATCTTCGGATAGATTCAGATTCAAATTGGACGGCCTCGAGATGGACATGGGATTTATTGGCGTCGTTCTCGAAGGGATATTTGAGGTCAAGAAATCAAGAGGATCCCGCGCCCCACTATTTGCAGCCTCTGAGCCGCCCATGAAATAATCTTGCATCCCGTCCGCCATGGTATGATGCCGCTGACTCGATTTTTCTAAGGGGGAAAGCAGAAATGAGACGAGGCTCTATCTACTCTCTAATACCAGTACAGATATGTATCGCTTCGCGAGACGGGCCGTGTTTGGAAGTAGTGGGTTGGCGGGCGGTAAAGGCGCTCGCTCTTGTAGCCTAGAAAGGATGCTGCGCCACGATCGAAGAGTAAAATTGCAACACGAGTTGCTCAAGACAAAGGGTTTCTTTTTCAATCAAGCGAGCTGTGAAATAAAAGTCCCGCAACTTTGGGGGTTTAGTCAGCCTTCAAACTGATGTTGATTGAATTGAATGAATAGAAGCGGGAGTTATTGCCGTTATATGTAGATGCAGGTAGGTAGGTAGGTAGGTACGGTAGGCTATTTTGAAATTGATTTCAATCAGGTCGGTTGAGAAGCTTACCTTCCTTGTCTTATATCTGCCGCAGTGCTTGCACGGTCGGCGTGAAAGTAGAGACAGAAATGACGAGAAGGCTTCGTCATTGAATCTTCCTTCTCAGCCTCGCAGAATATTGACTCCTAAGCGCGTCGGTAGGATTTGATGGAAAACAATATGCAGAGGCTCAGAAGGGCAGGATGTTGAAACCGTGAATGGGGGTGGGGTGGGATTCGGAGAATGCGGAGTTATGATTGGTCGCCTCGCATTCTGCTGAGTAAGCCTTTAAGCTCTATCAACGTCCTCTACTTGTACATGCACCAAGCGAGTTTTAGTCCCTTATTCCGACAGTTATTTCGTACACGTAGAGAACGTCCAAGGGAAGGCTGCCGCCAAGGGAATACGAGACACGGTATAATCGGTATTAAGTGACGATAGCTGCACCATAACTTTGTCAACCAGTTAGTTGCCGTTGCTCCGTTCGAAGAGGCTGGATAAAGTCGAGTCGTGCGACAGCGTGGTGGCGCAGTCTTTACGTCCGTATTGTAATGCAACTTGCCAACTTGAGAGCCGTTGTTATCAACACGGGAGAGCCAGGGGGGACAGGAGAGGAGAGGAAAGGGCACTGGCAAACGCGGTAAGATACTGAATGTATTGGTTCATCAACACAACAAATCTCATGAAGCATGCTCCTATTCAAGGGCAATTTTTGGAAATTAAACCTGGAATCTGCTGGGCTAAGGATCTGACTGCATGTCCAGGGCTACAGATTCTTGATGCCTAAAGCTACCCGGTACCTTAGTTGGGCTATTCACAAGTGCAGAGGCACATCTGTCATTCCTCGGAAACTCTTTTCATTCGTATGCACCAGCGCTTCCATCCAAATATGATTCATGGCATGGTATCCGGCAAAGTCCAACCACATAGCACCCTAACTGCCGCTAAAAAACCAAATGGTGGGATATCGCCAGACCAACGCCGTGAACGATTCTTGCTATAGTACAATTGTTGGTTGAAGGAGAAGAGAAATTGCTTTACCCCCGGAAAGTCTTCAGTGAGACTTTCAGCAATGAGAAAAAAAGACGCCCAAGCAAATCCAAAGTCATACATTCGTTACGAGGGCCGTCATACAGGATGAGAGAGTCGCATTCGGTGCTGCAACAGCACTAGTTGAAGTAGAGAATAACATTTTCCGGTTGCGGATGAAGCTGTTGCTTATGCTCGAGTAGAATCCAAGCCGATTCCCAAGCCAATACCTCCATTTGCATTAGATCGAACCTTCTTTGTAGAATACTCCCTGCTGTACTCTTCTGTGTGTTTTCTCTTTTCAATAACGGGCTTAGTAAGTCCACCAAAGATCTTGGATTGTTGCAGACTACAAAACAGATTAGTCACAGCTCTTCTAGGATATTTAGAGAATGCTTGGAATGGCCTGGAAGCCAAAGGAAGTTCCTACCTCTTATCTCCAGCAGGTGTTGGCGTTGTAGTTCTAGATGCCGCAACCTCAAAGGATTCGCGTGGATCGAGTCGAAGCATCTCAGTTGCACTCTGGCTAGCCTGACTCTCAGGAATATCTTGGCTCTCTCCACGGTATTCAGCAGCAGCTCGAGCAATCTCTTCAGTATCAGAAGCAGAGATGGTGCTATCACGAGACTTGTGGCGTCGCTCTCGAGACTGTTGAACTATTCCATGAAAAAGAGTATTCGCAACACGAGTCTCGGCTTGAGGCGAGAACTGGACAGATGGGAGAAGAGTAGAGTTAGCTGTGCCGGGTCTACCAGATCGGGGCGTATTGGGTAGAGATGAGAGTGACTGAACTCCACGGCTGTGTCTGTTTGGGGTTCGTGGATCCGGGCGTCTGCTAATGATTGGGGTTGAGGGTGCACTATTGTTTTCTTGGCTCAAAACCCGATCGGCAAGAAGCAAAGCAGCAAATGGCTCCTGGCTATGATCACGGGCTTGGCGAATGGATCTGTTGGTCATTGGCGTGTGCTTAGGAGTTGACCGGTATTGCTGTGGAGTCACAGGAGAGTTCTGGAGGCTGATTATATGGAGTGGACCGCCAGGGCTACGCATTTCGTTGATATGTTTGCGGTTTTGACGGATGCGATCTCGCAGCTGTTTGGCCTCCATGTGCATGTCAGAGAGATCATCATCCTTGGAGATAATCAATCTCTTGGCTCTGCGCAGCTGTTCAGAGACGTTACTTAGAAGCTCTTCGAGCTTCTGGCACCGCTTCTTGTACATATCAAGCTCTGGGGGCGCCTGTGCATCTCGAACGCGCATTTGGAGGAGGTCAACCTCACGAAGAGTCATGTCATGCTCCACTTCTAAATGCTTTACAGCTTCCTCGCTTTCAATGGTGAGTAGATTATACTGCAACTTGCAATGAGCTTCAGACATGCGAGCCTCTCGAGCGGAAATATCCATGGTTGAACAAAATGATAAGGCTTCGTGAAGCATTTCACGAAGTTCCTCAGGGCAGCGCTGGCAATTTGGTCGGGAGGCGGCCTTTTGAAGGAACCAGCAGGCTCTCTCTTAACACCGTTGACTATGGTAGGTGGAGGAGATGACAGAATCGACGGGTTTGGTGTGGGAGATTGGCGGTTTGAGGTGAGCGTATGACGGGAGTTTGGGTTCTGGGAGGATGGTGGCGGGGTCATGGAGGATGTGAGAAGTGTCGAGCCAGGAACAACCATCATTGAGGTAGCCGGGGATGCAGATCGATGTGTATCATGTCTAGGAGGCAGATCCATCTCTTGATTCTGCGGGGTAGAGGGACCCTCGAGCGGAGTGGCCGTCTCCTCGAAGGAGCTGGGGGATGACATAGTGACTGTCTTTTTTGCAGCAGGTCTACGGACAGGTCAGCTGGGTTGTGTAGCCAAGTCGCGTAGTTCGTACCAGGTAATAACAGATGTATTCGGATTTAGTGAAGGATTTGGAAAGATCAGATGGTTGGTGAAGCTTGTTGCGCAGGTACTGTACTTGTGCCTGTGTCTCGTTTCGCGCAAGAGATTCCTGGGAAACAAAACGGGCGGCGCGTCTAGGTATACAGCAAGATGGCAAACGACGCAATCGGTATCGTCTTGTATCGTCCTGAGTGAAGCAAGAGCGAGTGGGAGGGCAATCTTGTGAATGCGCCAGGAGGTATTCTTGAATCTTGGGGGGGCGGATGTTGCGATGCGATGCGATAGCAAAAGCTGGGGTCGTTTCAAAATAGCCGGGGCTGGAAAAAGGTCGGACCGGTCTCCAGGGCGATTAAAATGGACGAGGCTGGGAGACACGTGAAGTGATCAATATGATGTATGCTGCAATCAATAAGTGAAGCATTGGGAGAATTGAATATATTAACTATATCAAGCCGCAAAGAGCTTAAATACGTTCACATAAAGCTGTAAGGTACATAATATATATAATATATATATTGTTAGCTGAGGGCTCTTCAATGTCTTTTTGTTTACCAGTCCAGCCACAACCAGCCACAATCAGCCTCATGGAGACAGGGGATATCATTGGTCCGTGCCGAGGTTAATTTGGTGTCAAAGCTTCACCCGCTCAGCACTTTCCTGGCCCTGGCAACGAAGGTTAACGACGCTCACACCAGTCCTTTCCTGGGGTGCAGCTTAGCAGAGATACTTGTACCTAATATTCCGAACTCATTAGTTTTGCTGTTCCTACTCTTGCATTTCAAATCATTCGTAACAAGCTTCCATCTGCACAATTCCCCAGGTTTGTTTACAAGTACGCCCGCCTATTGTTTATTGACGCCGCAGTCAACATTATGTACAACTCCTGAATACTCTATACCTTCCCTGTTCATACCGGTGTCGCAATCACAATCCACATCATGGATCAGTCGACCAGCGGGACCAGACCGTCTGGGCTTCCTAGACCTTCGAAGCTGCCTGTGCCCCGTGCTGGCCTGCGCCCTGCTCCATCCAGAGAGAACTTGAACTTGCAGCAAACTGCAAAATCATCTATCGTCAATCCGCGACTTCGAAATGCCCCCTCCAGCGACAGACTCTCTTCGTCGAGTTCGACCTCGACCTCAACCCCATCGAAGCTGCGCAATCCTGCGACCCCATCCAAAAACCGCAATTCATTTGGCGGTCTCACTCCCTCAAATCAACACGTCTCCCAACGGCCTAGTCGTGAAACCCTCTTCAAAAAACCCTCTCGAAACTTCTCCGGTGACGACCAATTACGGCTTGATAATAGGGGAGAAGAAGGAGTCTTTCAAGAAGATGAGAGTCCTATCTTGGAAGAGTCAGAGGGCGAGCTGCTTAGCAAAGCGAAGGTTCCTAGAAGGGCCCGGCCATCACTCTCGGAACGAACAATGGAGACTTTGCAGAGCATACCGCCTTCTCCTGTAGTGCGAAAAAGGAATTCAAGCTTCTTCATCTCCGAAAGCCCTTTGCGTCCTCCATCTAGTGGCCTCCAATTCTCCAGGCCGGGCTCTAGTCACCTTTCAGATGGATCCATGCGGCCACCATCTAGATCGGTGAGCTCGAGACCTAGCTCAAGCGGGGGACCAGGACTTGGACTTGTCCAAGCCGCTCCTGTGGATTTCCGTGCTTCTACAAACACTTTCAAGACTCCATCGAAACGACCCAGTCTTGCAAACATTGGAAAGTCACTTAAAACACCATCAACTATACGCGCCAATATACCCCACACACCAGATACTTCTACCTCAAAACAGCTGTATCCCAAGTATGGCGCATTGGCACAGCGTTCGCCAAGCCCTGTCAAATCCACAGCTAGGATACCAGGCGTCAGACAAGGAAGCAAGACAATTGCCTCCCGCCCACTGAAACCACGTGCTTCTGTCAATGGATTATTCCGCAAGCCTTCAATGCCGGCATTGAACAAAGCTAGTGACATCGATCGAATTGGATTTGACCCAAAGAAGCAGTCAACTGCGTTTTCAAATACATCTTCCGAAGCTACTTCAACTACTTCTAAAATCTCTGCAACGACTACAGCAGCTTCTGTATCGTCAGATGTTCAAGATGTTACCCCAAGGAAATCCTCTATGGCACTTCGTGATCAAATTGCAAAAGCTAAAGCCGCGAAGCGAGCTGCTGCCACAAAAATGGCGACTGATACTGGATTAAAGGGCCAGGAAGTACCTGTGATTCCAAGCGGGACTTTCGATTTCGGTCTTGCGGGTGACCCTTTCAACCAGCAAGTCGGCCAGAACAGCTCCAAAGGCATTCTTCGCAAGCGTATCGATTCTGCACGATCCGATGGGCGATTGAACATCGCAGCAATGGGATTTAAGGAGATACCCCAGGAAGTCATGAATATGTACAATTTGGATGCGATTGAAGATGGATCATGGGCCGAGACTGTAGATCTGAAAAGATTTGTCGCGGCTGGTAATGAGCTTGAAGTGATTCATGACGATATATTTCCTGATATTGATCCACGTGAGCACATGGATGATGAGGATGCCAAAGGAAATCAATTCGGCGGGCTGGAAACGTTAGACCTGCATGGAAATGTTCTGATAGTTTTACCTCTTGGATTGAGGAGACTCGAGATGTTGACAACCCTAAACCTCGTAAGTAAGTTGTACAAGGTGAAGTTTTATTACTAACTGCATATAGACCAATAACAAGCTCGGGAATGAATGTTTTGAAGTCATCTCCCAGATTCCGTCCTTGCGAGACCTGAAGCTTGGAGACAACAAGCTGACTGGTTCTCTGGATGAAAGAATATCTAACCTGCAAAAGCTCGAGACTCTTGAATTGCAGCGGAATGCTTTGACATCTTTGCCTGAGGGAATTGCCGAACTCGTGCATTTGCGAGTTCTCAATGTCAACGAGAACAGTCTCACATCACTGCCATTCACGACTTTACGCAACCTGCCTCTCGTTGAACTCCTAGCCGCAAAGAACAAACTTTCTGGTGCGCTTGTCTCAGCCGACGTGGAAGAGCTACCAAAACTTCAGCTTTTAGATGTGACATCTAATTCTCTCACTTGTTTGGCAGCCTCCGGTCAGCTCAGCCTTCCGTCTCTCCATCAACTCAGTTGCTCGTCCAATCGAATCGGAAGGCTTCCTGACTTAATTTCATGGATATCCCTTCTTACAATTGCTGCTGAGGACAATAGCATTGTAGATATTCCAGAAGGTTTCGTCTCACTTAGCAAAGTCAAAAATGTAAACTTCAGTGGCAATAACATTAAAGTTATAGACGAAAGAATTGGATCTATGGACAATCTCGATATTTTCCGAATTAGCGGCAACCCTCTAAGAGACAAAAAGTTTGCTGGAATGGATGCCACAGACCTAAAGCGCGCCTTGAAGGCCCGAATGGCACCACCTGAACAGGAGGTCGATAAGGAGACGGATACTGATGGTGGATTCTATTCCGCTCCTGTCTCGCCTATCTCTCCAAATCATTCTTCGTTCGAGTGGCCTGTCAAAGCTGGAGGCGTCTTGGATCGATCCAATACGCAGTCTCACTCGCTCAACCCCGTTTCGGCAGCCGAAGCTGCTGCTAGAGATCCAATCAAGGAGCTTCAGTTGCACCACAACAAGTTCAACGAGATACCAGCTTCTGTTGCCTTCTTTGCGGCAACTCTGACGACACTTTCCTTGGCCCATAACGAGTTGAACAGCGATAATTTCATGAAGGATGATTTAGAATTGCCCATGTTGAAAGAGCTTAACTTGAGCTCTAACACGTTGAATTCTCTACAACCTTTAATTCAACATCTTCATGCACCTCATCTGGAGAAGCTCGACATCAGTTTCAACCGACTGACGTCCCTACCTCCTCTAAGACAACACTTCCCGAACTTGATTGCACTCTTTGCTTCCCACAATACCATCAGAGAGTTATCTCCAGAGTCTGTGAAAGGGCTGAGGTCTTTAGACTGCAGCAGCAACGATATCAACAGTCTCAACGCCCGCATTGGCTTGCTAGGTGGACCGGGAGGATTGCAGAGTTTGAATGTAAGCATGAACCGGTTCCGAGTCCCCAAATACACCATTTTGGAGAAAGGAACAGAAGCTACGCTGGCGTGGTTGAGAGACAGAATTCCTGCTGGGGAAGTTAGCCCTCCTGAAAGTCCTGCTGAGACCGATTAATGCATGATTTTGTTATTGTGTGGGTATTTTTGGATTCCGGGGTGGAGTTATAGATGAGCTCATGGAGTCGCAGGTACTTTTAAGCCCTGTATAAATTAATCAAAATTGCCTTTGAAGGTGATGCTGGTGTAGTAATACATAAATAGTAATAATAATTATACCCTCAATTGCTTCTAAATTTTATAACACATTCTCAAAAAACATTATCTCCATCTGCACGTGAGTGAATCCTTTAAGCCGAGGTCGAATTTTAGGCGGGCTACATACATACCTGAAATTCCTACCAGTACCATCACAGTATCTTCAAAACACCCACAACACTTAATGCCACCATAAATAAAACACACAATGGCATCGCCCTCAAACGAAGGGGCTAAGTCCCCACACGATCGCATCTCCGCAAAGTCAACAGCAGACCCGATCCTGCGCAACGCGTTGCGCTACACCATATCGGCCAAAGAGTACGAGACCCTGCACAAATACATCATATCGCGCTCCAAAGTCTTAAAGAGAAACGCTCCCGCTGTCGCTCAAGTCGAGAAGCTTGTCGAGAGGCCTGGACGCGATGACTATAATGCCTCTGCTGTAAGAGCGAGTCTGAGGCTTTTCCTTGCGACAGGCGCGGCGTTGAAGGCATGGGGAGCTATTAGTGAACGCTTTCTGGGGGGTAATAGAGTCCGGTATGTAATCTGTGTTTAGACTCGAAGGGTTTGACGCTGATAGATGATTTGAATAGTGGAAAGAGAACGCCATTATGGAAATCCACAAACCTGAGATTATCTCTCTCCCTCTCCACAATCCTCCTCCTGCACCGCATACTCTTTCGGTTCTTCACACGCCTACGTGCGCATCTTCTCACACCTGAAGCGCGGCCTTTCCGCCAGCGAAACAAACGTACTTCCAAAACTCTAACCTCGAGTCTTGCTCCTGCTATAGGCGCGAGTTTGGCGGGTCTTGCCCTGGCTGTTTATCCTAGTGAGCAGTTGAGGGTTACGATATCCATATATGCTTTGAGCAGGGCGGCGGAGTTTGCATATAATCATGCGGAAGATGAGGGGTGGATTTGGGGGAAGGAGGGTAGTAGGTGGGAGAGGCCATGGTGGTGGGGAAGTTGGCTGCTTTTCCCGTTGACGAGTGGGCAATTACTGCATGCTTTTGTTTTTCATAGGGATTGTTTCCCTAAGGTATGCCACAGCTGCTTGACGTCTGTTGGACACTTGCTAATGATTACAGGCATATGGGGATTTTATTTTGAAGAACTCGCCCGAGTATATTCAGCATCGCCCAGAAGATTATCCATCCAACCTCCCATGGCCAAGCACCTACGAAATTGTGGACAATATCGCTGAAATGGCCCGTCTAAACTACCCGTAAGTCCCCTACGTCTTTCAGTCTAGAAACACAATTAATAGACTGCTAGGCCATTCGTCTCCCCAATCCTCTTCCCAAACACCCCCACCCTCCCCGCATCCCTCTCAAGGATCTCACCCATCACATCCCCCGCACACCCCCTCATAACATCCCTTACCTGCGCCACGCTCCACCCCTCTGACCCCTCCTGCCTGCGCACTTACCTTACCTACTGGCTCCGCATCTTCCCATCCCTAACCCGCTTCTTCACACTCGTCTTCACTATCTTCTCCATCCCCTCCTACCGCGCCTTCTACCGCGCACCCCTCAACACGCTCAACAAACTCGCCTCCCGAATCCTACTCTACAGCACCTTCGTATCCGGCTCCATCGGCACCTCCTGGGGCGCGATCTGTCTCTTGCAATCCCTCTTACCCAAAAATGTCTTACCCACGCAACGATTCTTCCTCGGCGGCATGATCGGGGGTCTGTGGGGCTTCGTGGTCAGACAACAAGCTAGAGGGGAGTTCTTGTATAGTGCGCGCACGAGTCTGGATAGCTTGTGGAAGGTTGGACGGAAAAGGGGGTGGTGGAAAGGGATGAGAGGGGGGGATGTATGGGTTTTCGTCGCGAGTTTGATGGTTATTAATTTAGTTTATGAGAGGGATCCTAAGGCGGTAAGTAGTGCGGTTGTTCGAAGGGGGGGTTAGTTGTTTGAGGGGAGAAGGAGTCAAGGACTGTGTGGCTGAAGAGAAGAAGAGGATTGAGGAGGACAAAAGAGGTTCTTGATTATGGGGTGGAGGTGGAGATGGATAATGAATATATGTTTTGTGTGATCACTTTTAGCGGGTATGGGTTTGTATAACTGTAATCTGGTTAGAAGGAAGATTTTGCGTGGGCGCAGTATAATGGACCGCATTGGAAATATCAATTGACTTGAGAGTTACTAGTTTTTGTGCTATAGTGCTACATGGTGTTTCCTACCTTTTCAACTTTGATTGGGCAAGCGCCTCTAGTCTGCTGTTTAAGTTCTTGAATTGAGTAGTGTTTGAGTTTTGCATTGGGCTTTTGATATTATGGACTTGCCAGCATTGTTTCAATCAAAGACGTATTGGCAGATCCGTGGTGACGGCATATTAACGTGTCAAAGCAGACGTCTGATAATGTGTTGTTCCCTACTACTATTACTCTTCCGTCCAGCGAAGAGTCCTAGCGACATGGCATTTGATTTATCTCAGCTAGGCACATATAGATAACAAGATTAGGTTTCCACTCGTCTAGACACGACTTTGAGAGCCTTGTAAGGAAAACCGTGCAAAAAGAACCTAGCTCCCAGAAGACCAGGGAGGTTCCGATTCGCTCCTCCGGCTCCCTAGAGGCTTTGGCAAGAGGTCTAAATAAGGGTTTTGGCTGGTTGAACTTTGTGGCGCCATAAAGCATTATTGCTTGTATTTCAAAGAGTTTTATCGTCTGGAATGTTTGGGTGTCATTGTGGTGGAGAAATCAGACTCAGAGTGTGTATGGGGTCAGCTTATGATTGCCTGTTTGACCCGTATTGAGTGCGTAAGATAGCTCTGCATGCCCCAATGCTTGATATTGTTTGTACAATCTAAATGCTTTGTGCTGGCTCGATATATCATTGCCTGTTTGTCGCTCTTCGTCCTTCAAGCAAGTTACCCTGCAAACTCCTAGTCGACACCAATATATATAGTGTATTGCTTTCGCCATAGTGAGACAAACATCCCTCTGCAACGCATTTCTCTCTTCAGTTCTCCATTCCGAAAACATCTGACAATGACCACCCCTATCCCTGGAAATCAAAGCAACTATACCACACTGCGAGGGGTTACGGAATTAGTTGAATTGGGCTGTGCTACGCTTAAATACGTCAACTCCCAGGACTTTCTCGATCGTGGAGGAGATGCTACATTTCCGCAGGATAATCAGCAGCGCCAAGCGCCACTGAATCTCAAACAGTGGTATTTCGAAAATGACCTCGTCGCTCATATAGACCCTGGATTTGAGGATGTTCTGCATCTTGGGGCTGCACGTTTCGAGATATACACCAGCTCGGGTGACACTCCTGAGGGGGGTTTTGGTCTTTCTGTGCATCTCCGTGGATCAATTTTAGATACTTCTGGTGCTGTGAAAAAAGCACTGGGGGAGGAACTCCACTTCTCTGTGTGGATCTTCTGGGACTGCCCTACTCGGTCTGCTCGGCCGGATTGGACTTCTATCGTCGGTATTGTGAGACATGCCCTTGTTTACATCTTTGAGCGGTTTCCTATTGATGGCAATATTGAGAATTATGTTCCGCATCCTACAGCAGACCGATTATTAGTTAGTTCTGAGAATGGCACTATATAGGGCTAGAAAATGGGGTAATAGTCGGTTCGTCCTTCTTTGCTCGATGGTAGAATTTGATGGTGGGTACTTGATTGCGTCCTTTTTGTCGTTGGATCTAGCAGTGTCAGTGGTTTATGTGTAGATAACAACAGCGGTCACAAATTGAACGGAAATTCATGTTTCATCTTCAATGATTTGATTTGTTAGCAATTCATAGGATCTAATATTGATAATTAATAAACGGAGTTGGGTTGAGTAGTGATGCTCGGAGCCAAGGTCTAAGAAGTTCAGTCGTGAAGGATAAGCCAGCTGTCTAGTACCTTTTTTCTTGATAGCTCTTTAAACATTGCAATATCTATTCATTGAAAATGCATTTTTGGCATATCCTGTCGGCTTAAAGAAGTAAGGCCGACTCTAGATCTCCCTTTATTGACGTAGGACATGCAATTGAGTCCTAAGTTTGAACACTCGTATGCTTACAGAGTAGTAGTATTTTACAGTTTCATAGAAAAATCATTGATGGCTCCTTACGATTTGGAGCGTCAATACAAGCATAGCTTTTGTTTACCTCATGTCCAGAGTTGTTAATTAAGCGAGGGCGCGAAAGGGGCAGGAAGGCAGGGACTCAATCTTGCATTCTTGCTCTCACGAAATTTTGGTTTACGGCAAACGCTGCCTCGTACAACTCACTGCTCTATTTCACCGTATCTTTATATTCTATTATGATAGCTAGAATGTTCGTGGAAACACGATCACGAGATCGATGTTGATTTTGCGCCAATGTTCTAACTTTCTTGCTCTCATGAAATTCAAGCTACTACTCGAAAAAGCAATACAGTTTTATCCTCAATTTACGCCTCTGATGTCTTTGACTCTCTATTTAAGTTCTTCGTTAAATTTCTATCCCTCACTCCGTAGTTTGAATTCATGAATAAGCCAAGCTTTCAAGTCCAGAAGTGTAGATATCTCCTATAAAAAGGATTATCATTAACAGGTACTTGCCGAGTAAGCATTTCAATAGCAGTTTCTTCTTTAGCTACATATGGTATATTATTAGCTGGTCGAAGTGCAAATAGTAAATATGCTTTTTTGGGACCACTTAGAAGTACAGCACAGTTAATAAGTTATGAACTAATATTAAGTTCATCTATATTACTTGTTATAATGCTAACAGGAAGGTCCATGTTCTTGCGTGTAATTAGAATATTTATTGGAGAGGTATCAAGTTTTCAAGATCTGTCTCAAGATCAAAAAGATCGATTCCCGTGACAGAACGAAGAGGCTATCATTAGAAGTACGCTGCGGAATAAGAATAGCATTGCGTTTGTTTGCTGTCAGGAACACACTTGCTGTCAAATTACCAAGTCACATATGGGAAAATGGTGTAAGCGCGATGCGAATGCTTTGCAATACCGCAGCGGGAGACCCCATGGAAAGGGTCGCAACAACCATGACTTCATTGAAATTAGTTATTCCTTGATGATTCAGCTAGTCGCTGTATATTTAAATACTCCGGAAACCAAAAAATCGCCGCAAGAATAAGAAGACTATTGGCTAGTAACTTGAGCATTAATCGGCAAGTTACCAGCTTGGTTTTTCGAGAAGTCACTCACTTGCTTCTTAATCACGCAACAGCGACGCTCGTCAGCCCGCTCCAGAACAGGTATATAATATGCGGATCATTTAGACAATGAACCGTAGCTATCACTTTGGGGAAACAATACAAGAGGCTCGATGACTAAAGAGACATATATGCTGCATATAGACCATGGTATTTGCAAGTGGACTTCGAATCATAGATTACAGGAGCAAGTGAATTGAATAAATATTGACGTTCAATGTGAACACATATAAACTATCAAGGCTGACTTTCCGTCAAGACCAACATGCTGTCACGAAAAAAGATGCCGTCATCTTATCCACCACAGAGAAACAGAACAAGAAAGTCGATAATGCAGTCTGACCCGAGTAGTAACGAGCTCATCCTTGCGCCTCCCTCTTCTAGAAGAACCTAGTCCTGCCTTGCGTCTTCACTCGAAGCGTTCTTTCTTGTTAGTATCCTTTGCTACGTAGATTCCACAGTTACTGGGACCAGTATATACACTTTCGAAATCAAACACTGGTACTATTCCGTGCAATTCCAACAATACACACAACCACCACCCACCAAATCAATCCACTCAGCCAAAGACCACCTCTCTCTAAACAGTAAACAAGCAAAGCATATAATTAATTCATTACCCACACTACAGCCATCTGTTCTTCTTTTCTCGTCTCCTTAGCAGCCGCCCCAAAAATAGCACACAGCACGTGCACGTTTGAGCTCTTTCCTTCTCTAGGCCTTGATTCCCCTCCAACAAGACTTCTCAAGTACAATTAAGTACAGAACTAGGGAAAAAGCTCAAGGAAGCAGAGAAGCAATTAGGAACGAGAATGTGAAAACAAAGCAGACGAGACTGACAAAACAGAATGTCAAGGGTCTGAATGTCAAGGTCGAGTTGTTTCTATAGCTCTCGAGATTAAAGGAGAGGGTATGCATTTATAGCCTCACTCGCACTTATGAGTTTCGAAGCCTTGCTTTACAATTTGCAGAGAAGTAGGAAAGTTATGGACAGATGGACGGCAGTTTATGGTTGAAATGGAAAGGAGGGAAGACAATATTTCGACTGTCAAATATTACACGCCCATAATATCAGTGGCGGCAGCAGCTTCGATTATACACTAGATTCCCTCCTCAGTTAACTGTGCTCGTCGCATTCAAAAAATGCAATCAAAGGGGTATCATGCACCCAAAAACCAAGGACCATGCACCCATGTATGCGGTCTGAGTCCATATCCCATTTTTATCCATCCTATGCATGCTTCTAACCCCAAACTCCAATTAATGCATCCATCAGTCATCAAACCACCGCACTACCGTTATGTATGGAGAATTCCACACGCTCACAACTATTCCCGCAAGAATAACTCTCCTTAGCCACCCTCACATACTCGGCTGGCGATGTATCGTACAACCCAAGCACTCGCAATCATCACCACACGGACAGGTCACCGTGTCGCCTCCACAGCTATCATCCGAGAAGGGGTAATTGACGAAGAAGAAATCGGAAGCGGAAAGACTTTGTTCCTCGCCGTTGCCCGATGTCGTACTAGATGGTGTGTGCACGGTCGGAGACGAGATCTGGTCGACGTTTTGGGGTTGCACAGGAATATTTCCATTTGTGGTTGGGATGGGGTTTTGGCCGTCGGTGTAGAGCTCAGACGGCTGCTCCATCGACATAGATGCCCATGCAGAGTGTACATAATTCTGCGTTGCGACGTTGTACGGATGGGCAGCGCAGCCGATACATTGGCATGTGTCACCACAATTACAGGTATGTACAGTGTCCATACTTCCAGGCATGAGCGATCCGTTGAATGATGGAGCTTCAGGGGGTATCGAGACTTCTGGTTGTGGTTGAGAATAATAATTAGATTGTTTGCCTTGCTGCCATGCGGACATTTGTAGTGGATTTTGAAAGGATCCATATGCTGCAGGGTAGGTAAAGACAGTCGCCGGAGCAGGAAACCGGTGATAAAGCGCAGGATTGAAAGGCATGCTTTGTTGCGGCGGCATCTGATGTGAGCTCGCTGGGCTCATATTGAGTGGCGTTCCGTTCATCGACGTTGGTTCTTCCTTCGGTATCGTGGGTTTAGGAGCACAACAGCTCCCTGCTGTTATCTCTTCGGGTTTGGGAATAGTGCTTGCAATTGAAGTACTCTGGTTATTCTGCTTGGGCGCACAACAAGATCTGCCATTCGCTACAGGCTTAGGTTCGACATTTACAAGATTCACAGGAGGCTGAGGAGCGCAACATGAGCCTCCACTTGTAGCTTTCATTGACTCGCCGTTCGTATTCGTTGCTGGTATAGGTATAGGACTCTCAATTCCGTAAGAACCGTTTCGAGAATGTCCCCCACTCGTGAACCCATTGTCATATGGCATAGGAAGCGGTTTCGTTGGGTTGGGATGATACTGCTGTTGTATACCGGTATATTGTGGGGCATAACCATAAATCCCAGCTGGAGGAGCCGACATTGGATATCCTTCTGGTAAAGCCATACCGAGTGGTGCAACCTGGCCTCGCTGTTCAAACGGAAGTACATTTACGTTGTTCATATCCATCCTCTCAAACTTCGCGGGGTCAAAGGACTGTTTCCTGCTGGACTGAGGTCGAGAGGACTTTTGGACCTTGAATGTATTTATCGTAGGTGAAAGCGGCTCCAACACTCCCTGGGCTGTAATAGTTCGGGAAACAATTTGTGCGGCCAGTGGTGGCGATGCTTCACCTCCACAATGGCACGCTTGCTTTCTTGGAATCGCCGCAGTCACACTTCCGCACATACAAGATTCTCCTCCGGGATGAGGACATTGGCTGAGTGGCCGTCCAGGTTTCCTCACTGGAACCATCAGTCTCTCGCACGCATGTGTACATTTCGTAGATCGATGGCCTCGTATGCATGGCTCGCTGGGCAGAAGATGTCAGCTTAGGCTCTGTATGGGGACTGAGATCTTATGCAGAATGGAGGTATGTCATAATATGGAGTGCTTGACGTTGGATGAGGCTGAAGCGCAGGATACAAAAGTACCCGCCTCGGTCTCTGCCAAACCATATGTAGGAGGACGTACCAGGCCATCTTCATTCCATTGATCAGAGGCATCCTGGTAAGACTCGGCTTTCGCCCTAAGAAGTAGATTGAAGATCGGTTGGTTGCAGAAGCAGGCTTCACAACGCTTTCTCTGGGACGTCAAAAAACCCCTCACCGTCTGTTTTGGTACCCTTGCTGCAGAGGCGCGTTCGTGTCGCTACCCGGCGTATGGAAAACCGCGGAGACGTGAATCAAAAGTCTAGGACAAGGCTGCTTCCTAGAGGCTGTAAGATCTAGGATGCGGCTGGGCAGGCTGATCAGTAGCCTAAGCTAAGACAAGACAATTGGATTGGATTGACTCCGGTTGTGTATGGGCCATGCACCATGCACCATAGGCTTTGGAATAAGGACCGTGAAGTGCGGTGAGGGTGAATAAGAGCGAGTTTGCGCTGATTAATACCAAGATGCGGTGGGAGGGCTCGAGGAGGGGAGGGTTATCTAGGTGACTGCTGAAGAGTGGGAACCGTGAACGAAGGAAGGCGGCGTGACGTGACCTCAACCGACCGGCAGTCTCTTCTCTGCCCAGCAAAACGTTCAATTCAGTTCAATTCAAGTGGGCTGACATTGGCTTGGAGGTGGACGTTGGAGAGAGACATGGAAAGAGCAGTGACAACCCCGCGGTCTCGTATCGTGGGTGCAACGAGCGACCTTGTGTATTCGATTTCCTGCGATTCCCGGGTCGGCCAAGATCAGGTGCTTTTCCGGTCTTCGCGGATTCCTATTGCAGAAGGCAGGAGCAGGATTGTTCGTGGTTGTCAAGCTTTTCTTTTCGCAGAGGAGAGTCGTCGGGAGTCGCAAAGGAGGGAGAGGGAGGAGGGGCAGGGGCGGTCCCTGAGCAAGTTTCGGGCCAATAGGCGGCAAAGTTGCACGAACCTGAATGCGGCCTGGAACCTGGACCCTGAACGTTTTCTGCATTGCCCGCATTGGCATTAGCAGCGTGATCTTTTTGCTTGGTCTGGGCACTCACCGCAGACGAGCCTCACATAGATTGATTGCAGAGGCATGACTTTGTGGACTGTGACTTGTTGGTAGATAACGAGAGAATGGCAGTGGATAAGTAGTTGGTTACAGGTCGTCGTTCCAATTAGGAAGAGAAGTCTTGTTCTAGTGCAATAAATGTATATTCCTGGTCTCGGGAGTCTACTGTAACTTTGCAGTAATCTAATCGTGAGCTGGTAGAGGTGGAGTACTGTACTGTACAGGACTGTACGAAAAGTACACAACCTGCTTTCACAAATACAGTACGCCACGTGTGATTGAGACATTAATGTGTTCAAGGCACTCTGATGTTGCGAGACGGAATAGAGAAAGCTGCAAAGATCTGAGAGGCCTGCGTTTGTTTCCCATCCTCTTCTCTTCTTACTCTCGAGTATTATCAGAATTTTCTTCAAGCCCACAAACCCTTCCCTAATCCAGACCCCGCGCCTTGGAGAGCCCCCCGTGTTCCAAGCCAATGCTTTGGCGACACCATATACTCAATCTCTAGTCAAACACTAACATCTCCCTCTTTCTACTTGCAACCTGCAGCCTTATTCTGACTTCATCCAGCCAGCAGTTCCAACCCACCCATCCACGTGATCCACCCCCCTTTTCCCAAATGGCCAGAGCGAACCCCCCACCCCAAGACACAGACTCCGACTCGGAAACCATGGACCTCTTCACCGACCCCCCAGACTACTACCCACCCTCCCCCAAGCCCACCACAGAAACCCACAGCCTCTCCTCAGGCCGCGTCCTCTCTCTCCGCCTCGTCGGCCACAACCCTCTCTGGGGCCACCACCTCTGGCAAGCCGGTCGCATAATCTCCACCTACCTCGAGACACACCCCTCTCTCATCGCCTCCACCACCGTCCTCGAACTCGGCGCCGGAGCTGGACTGCCTAGTCTCGTGTGCGCGGTCCTTGGGGCGCGGAAGGTCGTGGTGACGGATTACCCAGACCCGGATTTAGTCGCGAATCTGTGGAGTAACATCGAGTCTGCTGCACTCGATGGAAATGGAAACGATGGCTCAGATGAGAAGAACATCGTAGCGGAAGGTTACTGCTGGGGTGCAGACCCCGCACCCCTACTCTCGCACCTCCCTCCTAGCGCTGGAGGCTTCGATATCTTAATCCTAGCAGATTTGCTATTCAACCATTCCGAGCACGCGAAGTTGGTTTCTACGATCACGAGTACGCTGGCGAGAAGGGAGGACTCCAAAGCACTGGTTTTCTTCACGCCGTACAGACCGTGGCTGTATGAGAAGGATATGGCGTTTTTTGATCTGGTGAGGGAGGCTGGGTTTGCGGTGGAGAAGGTGCTGGAGGAGAAGATGGAAAAGGTTATGTTTGAGGGGGATCCGGGGGATGAGGAGTTGAGGAGGACGGTTTTTGGGTACGTGGTCCGGTGGAGGTTATAGTGCTGGGTGGGTGGAAAATGGGGAGTCGTGTACAAGAGAACGAGTAATGCGGATCTTGGAAATGAATCCCGGAGGTGTCCTTGTCAAGAAGGGTGATATCTACTGGCTTTGTATAAGGCCAGCAAAAGCGTCTCCTCGAGAATGGGAAATGATGACGATGTTTGCATGGTTTCCCAAACTCACGCGCGGCAAAAGCCTCGTTTGGTTTCTTACTTACCTTTCAGCCAATGAAAGCAAGTGCTTCAACTCCAAGTCTCAAGTCACAAGCTTCAAGAGAGTTGTGTGAAGTGCTCTCCTGATCTTCTCTATAGTGCAAGTTGGTCGTGTATCCCTCCGTACCTCACCTCGCCCCCACCCCCCATAGACCGACACATACCCCAGAGCGCATCGACATCCTAGAATTCCAAACCGCACCCATATCTTTACTTCCATCCCATCCATCCATCCAAAGCAACCTCAAAGCATAATATATTCCGCACTTAACCTCCGAAATCATTATCATAGCCCCCTTCCCCCCATACACACTCTACCAGCACCTACCACTTGAAAGCAACTCATTCCCAAAGCGCCTCCTCTCATATCTATCCTTTATTACAAGCAACCTAAACATCAAGGGTCCGGATATTACCAATCAGGCAGCAAATAGAAACCCTTCCCATCCCCCACCCCCACAATCTACATAGTGTTCGATATGAATTTTGCATTGGCCAGTCTTGCAAGCACTCGTTTGGTACTCACCTTAAGAGGAAAGCTGGAGTAGGGTAGTGACATAGCTTTGATGTACATATAGTCGTATTTTTGACAACCTTCGTGTCGAAATGAGACTTAGATTAATTGAAAATTATATCAGCACTAGCTGCCAGAAAGTTCAAGAGCAAGAAGTCCCTTTCCACGCATGAGCACGCTATTCTTCGACCCTGTAAAGGACTCCTTCTTCTTACAAACAACCCCAAGCAAAGCAAAACACACAGAGGTATCCGCGAGGAAAAGCAATCTCTACCCTGCAACCAAACACCAACCAAGTCCCATATTATCCCATATTATCCCAATACCAAAAAATCATATCATACAGCATAACGGCCCCCATTCCCACCCGCCGCCCATTCCCCCTCATCACTAACATACCCATCCGTCCTCTCATCTTCAGACTCCTTAACGCCCCACTCCCTCGTCCTCGTAATAATCATCTTATCACTCCCCACCGAGCTCCTCCGCCGCGGCGTCGCTCGCCTTGCATAACTCTCGCTCCCCACATTATCAGGCCGTAGTTTAGGAATGCTCTGCGCCCCGTAATGGAAGTCAGAGAATGAAGGGGATATTTCGCTGTGCATCTTGCGAGGCTGGACTGGGGGTTCTGAGGGCATGCTGGACATGCGGATGCTGCCGCTGGGACGGGTTGGGGTCTTAGTGCTGGTGTAGCCTGTGTGGGGGAATTAGTGTCGCTGCATTAGCGGGGAATAGGGAGTAGAGGTGAGGAATGTCTCGGAATCCAAGAAGTGCTCAGGTAAAAATGAAATGAAACTTGGAGAATTTGCTTACTTGATAGGAAGGTACTGAGTTTGCTGCTAAGACCGGAAGAATAGGAACTGTCCATTGGTTCGATAGAAGAGCTAAGGGCGCCTGAGGACAGGTTTTCTATGAAGGGTTTGAGGAAGGGAAGACAGGCAGCGAAGACTGCTGTGTTGAGATCGATTGTGGTGAGCAGGTAGGCGTGGTAGGAGGAGAGGGTCTGGTCTGGTTGAGAAGGGGAGCTAGTTGTTGATAGGAGATAGAGTCTGAAGATTGCGAGCGGTACGATTCTGCGGAGCAAGTCAGTTATGGGGGTTTTTGAATGCCGAGGGAGCAGCAACTCACATTATTCGGGTTGCGAAGACTATAAAGACGCCGAACTTCTTGCCTCGTGGCATGCAAAGCGCCCATACGAGATATCCTGGAAGAATAACGATAATGATATCTGTCAAAATGTCGAAAGCACCAATGATATTCCAGAATAAAATCTTCATGTAGATCAGCAAAGCATGCTCCAGAGGTCTCAATCCATACGTACCGTATCAAAACATCGAGACGTTATTATTGCCCAACGAGTAGGTGTACATTGAAAAGCAGTTGCAAACTCCGCGCTGATGCCCCAGAGAATGACGACTCCTTCAAGGACCAAGTTGAGAATTGCGTAGTGTGAGCCTGGAGCTAAAGCTCTGAGATAAAAGAGCGTGGAGAGTTTTCCTAGCGAAAGAGTCGGTGTGTAGAGCAGTTGCGATGCGTAACCAAACTAATTGGGATTTAGTTTCATTCATTGGAACGAATGTCCAAATAGTGAGAGTTCACCTTTTGAAAATTTGTGATCATTTCTTCGGTCAGATTTTCTTGGGGCTGACCGAGACCATTTGAGACTATCATAGACAATGTGACAGTATGAGCAATCGCAAAGACCTAGGACAACGGCATTAAAATTTAGATACCATCTGATTTGGGGGAACGCACCATCGTAACAAAGATGATGGTATCATCGACGGTCCACCTTCGCACGATACTGAACTTCGACCCAATTCGTGTAAACACACCAATAATCATTACTGTCATTCCTAGCCATGCCGCGATGTTCACCACGGGGCCTTCGTTGGTGTCTGAGACAGAGATTTTGTGCTGTGAGGGAGCCATGGTCTCAATCAGGAGAAATCTGATAATTCCTGAAATACGTCCCGTTCAATCTCATCGAATGTATAGGGAGTAGCTAGCCATGGGAAACATTGAAGTTAATTTAACCTTTCTTTCTTGTCGGAGGGAAAGATAGAGGTCAAGCAACCTTTCTTCTTTCTTGTCGCATGTTAGACCTTCCTCTGCAACGCATGGCATGGCAACTAGGAATATATCAAACAACACAGAGGGGAAAAACAGGAGATGAAATGCATTGATTATGTGAGGCAAAATGAGAAAATAAGGAAAATGAGGAAAATACGTGGTTTGATGGTTTGATGCAGGTAGTTGCTTTTGAGGCGCTGACACCCAACGTTTTCCAAGGATATGCGAAGCACGACCACCCGGCGAGGTCCCAGCATATTGGTGTGCACCCTTGCATGGGCTTACATAGATAACTACAGTACTTGTAGGTCTTCGTACCTAAATTTGTGTAACCACCTGAACGAGATAACTAGGGAAATTCCCGTGCTCACCGCATCGTCTTACTGAACTATCTATCTCACGCTGGAACCTCCTCAAGCGCGAATCCACAATACTATTCAGCCCCGAAAGAGAGTGCCCAGTGTGCGGTTCCAGAAAGCCAAGTGAGGACCCATCAAGCCTACTAGGTACCGAATTATGCTTTTGCTACCCTGTGCCCCTCGTGCGTCTATACGAGTACTGTACCCTTGCGAGGGGGTCAGTTTTCCGTGGGTTGGGAACTTGGGGGTGGATGGGATGTACGCGGAGTACTCCGTACGGAGTATCAGATAACTGGTAAATGCCGTACAGCACGGAGGATAACATGTTCGCGGGAAGCGGCTTCACTCCCGGGACTAGGATTCTCCAATTCTTGCGAATACAGTATACGCCGTACTCTGTACTTTGGTACGGTACAGTACTTCTATCTGGTATCGGGCATGTTTGAAGCAAATATACAGTACAGTAATACAGTTCTGCATTGTAAATACGGACTATACGAAGAATCCTGTCTAGCAAGGTTCTAAGGCTGTAGATTGGCCGTCTTGATGATGAACTGCGTGGAGTGAGATGCTTCAACACCTGTCCAAGTAGAGCACGTGACTCCGCGAATTCACTAGTGGAGATCAGATATGCTTGTTTTGGCGACCTCGATACACCTACTCTGTACTCAATCAAAATATCATCTCATGGCCGCGTCTGCAAATCTGCAATGCAACGTCTTCCGAAGCTGGACTGCCCCGGAACGACAGATGCGGCTGGCTGCATCCTGAGTCTCATACCCATGCCGGCAACGGCGCAGGGTATATCGGGCTTGCATTGTCTCGGCAAGAAGTGATTGGTAGGCTTGATTTCATTACTTTTCATCGTTGCATTCAACCATGCTTGGAGCTTTCATCCGTGTGTCTGCTGTATCGAGCTCTAGGGAAAGAAGTGATAGCATTTCTCTCCGCGCTTTATGTCACTTCTCCATCCCTCTATTCTCTCTACCTACATTTCCGTGACTTCATACTTTCAAGTTAAAGATTAAGACTATTTCCATATTGGAGAAGATGGATGACAAAACTATGGAGTTGGGGTCCTTGGGGGCTGTCGAGGTTTTGCCACATAATAGCCCTGCAAACTCTGAGGGAAAAGGAAACACCACTAGAGACGACGAAGAAATGGCATACTATGGCAAAAGGCAGCAATTGAAGGTTGTTTCCCTTGGAAACCGGTAGCAAGGAGCGAGACTAATGTACTATATACTGCAGCGGAATTTCGGCTTTCTGTCAATCGCAGGGTTTGTCTGTAGCTTGCTGTCTACTTGGGAAGGAATGTTTGCGTTAGTGTACAATCGCTCATTTGGAAGTGCTTCATCTGACTTATATTCTCAGGGTCTTTCTCCTTGGGTTTCAAAACGGAGGACCCGCAGGACTAATCTATGGCTATATTTTCTGCTTCATTGGAACACTCATGGTCGTCGCATCGTTGGCGGAGATGGCATCAATGTAAGCAGGCCAAAGGATCATAGTGCTCAAGTGCTAATATTAGACAGGATGCCCCTCTCAGGAGGCCAATATCACTGGGTCTCAATTCTAGCTCCTGCTAGTTCTGCAAAGTTCCTCAGCTACATCACAGGTAAAGCATTTCTGACTCCAAGAAACATGATATAGTTTAGACTAATACATTTATCTCTAGGTTGGCTAACCGTCATTGGGTGGCAGGCTGGGCAAGCAAGTGTTGCGTTCATCAGTGCTCAAATGATTCAAGGCATGATAGTCCTCAATCATCCAGACTACACTCCGACTCGGTGGCAGGGAACCTTGATTTTCTATGGTGTGATTGCCTTTATAGTGTTTATCAATACATATCTCGCGAGATGGCTTCCGAAGATTGAAGGACTAGTGCTTTGTGTCCACATACTGGGATTCTTTGCCATCCTGATTCCCCTCGTCTATTTGGCTCCCCACGGATCTGCAAATGAAGTATTTACTACATTCATCAATGGTGGAGGATGGGATACCAATGGACTGTCCTTCTTTGTCGGTCTCACTACTAGTGTTTTCTCTTTTCTAGGTGAGGACCATGCCATCCAGAGTCTAAGAAACCACTGACATACATCAAGGCGCCGATTCTGCTTGTCATATGGGTCAGTTAGGTCCTTCTTGGTTGGTGCTAATGTTACTAACAGTCTTGCAGCCGAGGAGATTCACAATGCATCAACTATCGTCCCTTGGGCTATGATAAGCACAGTCATGCTGAACGGTGTAATGGGTTTCGGCATGCTGATAGCCCTGCTATTCTGCTTGGGCGACATTGATGATGCGCTCACAAGTCCAACTGGATTTCCGTTCATCGAGATTTTTCGGCAAGCAACAAACAGTAACGCTGGCACTACTGTCATGACCGTTCTGATTATGTGCCTCATGATCGCTGCGGCAATTGGAATCATGGCTACAGCTTCTCGACTGCTGTGGTCTTTTTCTCGAGATAATGGTGTGCCTTTCAGCAATTATATAAGTCGTGTATGTGCAACACTGCGATGATTGAGATGCTTGCTAATCTCACAACGTCAGGTTCATACCAAGACAGCGCTCCCTCTCTATTCGATCTTGACTAGCACTACTATATCAATTCTCATCGCTCTAATCAACATTGGCAGTACGGCCGCCTTTAACGCAATAGTTTCAGTCAACGTGGCAGCATTTTTCCTATCTTACATGATCCCCATAGTACTTCTCTTACACAAACGCCTACGGAACGATCCAGTCAAAGACAACATACATTGGGGGCCTTGGAAAATGGGTCGTATTGTTGGTCCAATCGTCAACGTGGGAGCTATGATTTATACGCTTATCAGCATGTTCTTCAGCTTCTTCCCCTCGGTTGAGGAAGTGACACCAGTCACAATGAACTGGAGCTGTCTGATCTTTGGGGCAGCAGTAATGTTTAGCATTGGGTTCTATATCGTTTTTGGAAGGCATACCTACAAATGGCCTATCGTGGATCCTATTAGAAGAAATCAGTAGTAGCGCAAGGTACAGGCCAGGATAGGCGCCTTGTAGCTTGAGTATAACATCGAGCAACTTGGATGTTCGCAGTTGGTTATCTCGATTGTTAAAGTCGATCGCGCAGCTATTATACAAGTCTTCACCCAGTAACATCTGTCTCAACGTTCCAGTTCCGATATTTCATCTCTTACCGATGCCTCCACATCATAATACGAATTTTCTCAGCGATCGCACCATGGCTTTGCCGGGAATACACTAGACCCCAACGTTTACGCCCGATAACAATAATTTCCCATCTCGCTTCTCACTTTCCCGAGGTCTCACACGCTTCGACCCGACACTCTGGGACCTAGGTAAAGTATCACCGTTGCATTGCATGAATGGCCGTTGAGCATGGATTGATATGCAGTGCAGCCGGCCCGCGACCCCGAGGTCCGAATACGTACTCACCTCCAGAGTTGGGTTACTGGGTCAGTGGGTATCAGACGCCTACCCTGTCTAACAATTCACTTTTGAGAACTGCGCTTCCAGGATTCAACGGCTGGATCAAGCAACGCCGAGCAAAACTAACCGAGACCCCGTTCCCGGGTTGCCAGACATCTCGGGAAGCTCAGATCCCTCCCGAACCCCTATCCCGCGCCCGCGTCCAAGCGTACAGTATCACAATCTCCCTAGCACGCATGCATACAAAACACCTACCTACACATAACCATCTACTCTTTAGCACACGTATTACTTCGTATTAAAGTGAGAAAATAATGGGAGAATTGCGTCTCCTCCCCTGCGATCCATCTGACGCAGCCGAGATCCTAGCTGAGCAATTCGCAGCTTTCAGCTCGCCGAACGAGCCATGTTTCTTTATACTGTTTCCCAAGATTGAGGCGCGGGAGAGGGCTGTGAAGAGGATGCTGGATTGGTGGGTTGGGGATGAGAGTGCGAGGTATGTGAAGGTTGTTGACGTTGATACGGGTAAGTTAGTCCTCATACAATAATTGTCTCGTCTGTCATGAGATGGCTGGATATTGGAGTATAACAAAAGAGAAAAGCTGACACGCAGTAGGTGCAATTGTTAGTGCTGCGAAATGGTGCATTTATGAGAAGCCTTTGACGGATGAGCAATTGCACGCGAAGCTTCATGTCGATTGGCATCCTGATGCTGACACTAATGAATGGGCTGAACATGTTCTCCATGTAAGGATAGCTGGCTCCCTGGTTCCATCCTTTCCCTTTTTGTAATGTTCCGTCTCATGTGCTCTAAATCCTCCTCGAAAGTTCCTGAACTAGCACTATAAGCTCCCTATACTCTTGAAACCATCTTGAATAGGCAACAACTGACTCCCACGTCATCTAGTGGATACATCAGCATCGCTTGGAAAGAACGAAGGGAAAGAGGTGTTGTGGTATGTATTCCTACTGTTGAATCCCCATCTTCACTCGCGACTACACTCCCTCGCAAGACGTTCGTTCCCCTTGAATTGAATCCAATCTACAGCCCAGAGCGGATCTCCATAACTCTCAATACTAACAACATCTAGTCCTCGATATGATGTCCACACATCCAGCACACCAGCACCGAGGCGCTGGCTCCATGCTAGTGAAGTGGGGAACGGACATCGCAAATTCCATGGGTGTGGACAGCTTCATCGAAGGAACGATCATCGCAAGACCTTTATATGAGAAGAACGGATTCGTGGTATCGCCAAATAACTGGATTGTGGTTCCTGTGCATGACAAGTGGAAGTCGCGACCGGAGATCAGATTCTTCTTCTATGAGCGACCTGCAAGAAGTCCATTGCCAAATATAGGAAGTTGATGTTGATGAGACTGGCCGGGTCTGAAGCTGTCGGGCTATATTGTTGACAAGGGAGGCTTGCTTCTGTAGATGGCTTGAATCAGGGCAACGGATTTGGCAAGGGGATTTTAGGAGAACACAGGCATGTTGGATCAATCCGGTTAGCTCGTATGCGGAAAGGCAGATTTCAGGACACAAACGCCTAAGTACTGGGGTCTGTCAATTGTATGGAGTACCTTCAGGTGCGCACCGAAAACATTGAAACAGTGAACAGCGTTATTAGGCCAAGCCGGCCAAATTAGGAGACACTCTGAACATCTCCAGGCTGAATATTCTCCTTCTCTCTCACACTCTCTCAGGTATGGCTTTAACGCGGCGATGTACGATTGTAGTGTCTCATCGAAGAACAAACAATTGAGAATTGATGAATATAGATTTAGTGCGATTACATATCTGGCGCTGCAGGGCATAAAGATATTGGTAGTGGTTCACACCTATATCCATCTGGTTTCTCATGCCCCTGTTGGTTTGCATGTTCGTTGTTACCGCAATGATCGCAGTTTCGGAAGAGCTGGGGTCCTATATGCTAAAAGAAGCAGAGAATCCGCAGGAGCATTGTGTGTCACGCTTGGAGGAGAAGGAGAAGGAGACATAGAAGAAGCGACAAGTGGATCGTTCGAAACGCGATCCACAGATTGGTTCCGTACCGTATTATCTTACAACTTTGGGGTTATTTCTGGTTTTCCCGGTATATATCACATGTGTTTTAGTTTTTTTAAGAAAATATGGGCAGACAGATCAATATAATGAGCTGTAGAGGTTATGATCAAGTAGGAAAGATTTCTCCAGTAGGAAGGAGATGTTCAAGGGAAGCGGGAGTGCCTTCAGTATTATGCAAGAGCCAAACTTTGCACTTGTTTGCTACCTGAAAAAAGCAACGCCCTAACAGAAAAAATAAACAAGTGAAGCAAAATATAAAGCTTCATGTCGAAGTGAAGTGAAAGTTGCCCCTCCCCTCCACATAAACCGCGGGGTAGCTTCATTCCCCACGTGACGGCCGCCTAGAATCTCCGATTTCAACCTCATCCTCATCCAACCTCGCGCCACATCCCTCCCAACATCCCCTCGATCCAAACAGCAATCATGGCGTC